CGTGAATGAGCTCGTTGGACAGCCTTCCAATGATGAATGGTTACGCGAGTACGACGAAGAACGATTGCGCTCTAGTGATGGCAAGATCGTCGCTGATCATTGCGCTTCATTACGATGCGTTCGCGCAACGACTATAGGAGGGCGCATTCTCACGTGTGTCCTTGACCAAGGCGCAGAGGTAGTCGTGATGCCAAAGGTAGTATGGAAGGAACTCGGTATTGGATTGCGATCAGACTATCGCCTTAACATGGAGTCTGTCAACACGTCGAAAGACGCGACTCTAGGCGTAGTAGAGAATGTTCCATTGGACTTTGGAGGCGGACCTATGTACTTCCAAGTGCAAGTCACGGAACGCGCCAACTTCGAGATTCTCTTAGGTCGCCCATTCTTCAAGCTTACCGCATGTCGCACATTCGATCTCCCTGATGGAGAGCAGGACATATTACTCACGGATCCAAATACGCGCAAGGAACTACGCATCCCTACGCTACCATGGCGCAAACCATGTCCGCGTTGCACGAAAGGGATGACGTGTGTCGAGCATTCAGTTCACAAGGAGGAAGGGAAGGGTTTTTAAGTATCGATGATCTGCATCTTTCGCGGGGAGACACAAACGCGTCTTCCGCGACATCGTAATTAACATGGTATCAATCTCGCATCGCTTTTCATTCTCGCATCAATCCTGATCCGTCGCCTATAACGCGCGGAGATGGAGTCCATTCATCGCTCTTAAGGAGCAGCAATATCTCAGTTTCCGCTTTAACGAACACTTCATCATTAGCATTAATCCCGCATCCGTCATCGCATTTGTCTTCGCTAACGTCCCCGCTTCGATCAGCGCATTACGCGCATCTAACCTCTACCCGCACAGTGATAAACCAAGCGACTATTGACGCTTTTAATTCTTGTTATCTCTTTGATCCCGTTCGCCATGTGCTGGTTTATAAACCAGTCACGAAGAAGGTGCGAAGCGTACCTACCGTTACTCCCTCAGAGTATCACGTAGTGCGCGAGCTATCACCAGACCCATTAATAGGAATATCCCCATTACCCACTCACCCCCCAGATTTCATTCCAGGTATCCGCTTTACGCAAGCGCGCGCAGATAAGCTCGACTTAGATCCAGCTAACTGGCTGTGGCCAGAAGAGCTTAAGTTAGTACGTTGGCTCGTTCGAACTCATGAACTCGCATTCGCGTGGGAGGCGTCAGAGCGTGGTCGCCTCGATGAACGATACTTCCCACCGTACAAGATTCCAACAGTGCCACATGTCCCATGGTCCCAACGCAACATCCCTATTCCGCCCCTCAATTATGGGCGAGGTGACGCGCATTATAAAGGAGAAGATTTCCTCAGGCGTATACGAGCCTTCAACGGCTGCGTACAGATCGCGATGGTTTTGTGTTGTCAAGAAAGACGGCAAGTCGTTGCGCTTAGTGCACGACTTGCAACCGCTCAACGCGGTTACCATACGCGACGCCTCAGTTCCGCCTTTCGTCGAACACCTAGCAGAGTCCTTTGCAGGATATGCGGTATATGGCATGATGGACTTATATTCTGGATATGATCAGCGCGCTCTTCATGTCGACTCGCGCGACCTAACAACTTTTGGAACGCCCTTAGGCCCTCATCGATTGACTACACTTCCGCAAGGTCACACTAACGCTGTTCAAGTGTTTCAAGGCGACGTCGCCTTCATACTCCAGGATGAGATCCCCAACCACACTTCCCCTTTCATTGACGACATCGCGGTTAAATCAGTTGAAACGCGATACGAGGTTGAAGGAGGGGTATACGAAACCATTCCCGAGAACCCAGGGATACGTCGTTTCATCTGGGAGCATTGCATAGTCGTCAATCGCATCCTCCAGCGCCTTCGCAATGTAGGCGTTACCGTAAGCGCAACCAAGTTCGTTCTCGCTGCGCCTAGCACGGTTATCATTGGTCACAAGTGTACCTTCGAGGGTCGCGTACCAGAGGACACAAAGGTACAAAAGATACGCGATTGGCCTGAACCTAGAAACCAGACGCAAGTGCGCGGATTCTTAGGCACATGCGGAGTTCTACGCATCTTCATTCACAATTTTTCGCGCATCGCGCGCCCGCTAATTAATCTTACCAGGAAAGACGTCCCCTTCGAGTTTGGACCTGAGCATCGGGAAGCGGTACAGACGCTGAAGGACTCAATATTACAGTCCCCCCGCATTGCGACGGATCAACTACGAGTGCGACAGAGAGGTCATCTTAGCGGTTGACACCTCGAATATCGCCGTAGGATTCATCTTACTGCAGTTAGGCGAAGATGGGAAGCGTTACCCTAATCGTTTTGGGTCAATCGCGCTTACCGAAGTCGAGAGTCGCTACTCTCAGGCGAAGCTAGAGCTATATGGCCTATTCCGCGCGCTTCGCGCAGTACGCGTTTTCATTTTTGGCGTCGTTAACCTCACTGTGGAGGTAGATGCGAAGTACATCAAAGGTATGATCAACAATCCAGATTTGCAGCCCAACGCGACCATCAATCGATGGATCGCGGGTATTCTTCTTTTTCAATTCAAACTCGTTCATGTTTCTGCTGCCAAGCATGCAGGCGTTGATGGTCTCTCAAGGAGACCCCCTGTAGATGAAGATCCTGATGAGGATGATGACCACGAAGACTGGCTAGATCGCTCGTACTCCTTCAGGATCGCGCTTCTCAATCAGCGGACGCATCTCGTCGAGGCGGCGACGACGTCACTTACGCGTCACCCGCACTACGTACCATGCGCGATGCGCCTAACACGCTTACCAGATTATCACGTCCTTTTAGATGTTGCAGAGCACACTGCAGAAGAACCACCAATTCCGCGTTCTAAAGCAGCGAACGCGCTTGACGAGAGACTAGTCGCGACCAAGCTTTTTCTTTCTACCCGCAAAAGACCCGCTAACTTAACAGAAGACGAGTTCAAGGCCTTCGTCTTAGAAGACAATCTTTGGCGAAGAGAGGCACAAGGCAGGCATCAGCTTGTTGTGAAGCCGCATAAGCGATATCGCATTCTCAAAGAGGCGCATGACGACTTAGGGCACAAAGGCGTATACGCTGTGCGCACGCGGTTGCTCCTACGCTTTTGGTAGCCATATATCATTGACGACATCAAATGGTATGCGCGCACATGTCACGAATGTCAAGTACGACAAACGCGCAAGCTTCATATCCCGCCAATAGTACCTATTCCAGGAGGACTATTTCGCCGTGCGCATATCGATACTATGAAGATGCCTAAAGCAGGCGGATTCGAGTACTTGGTACAGGCGCGATGCGCGCTCACATCATACCCAGAATGGCGGATGATGTGCAAAGAGAACACGAAGACGCTTACCGCGTTTATCTTCGAAGAGCTCTTATGTCGATGGGGTCCTATTACTGAACTGATCACTGATAACGCGCCAGCGTATAGACTCGCTGCAGATTCTTTAGCGGAAAAATACGGAATCCACCCAATCCGCGTTTCGCCTTACAACTCTCAAGCTAACGGGATAGTAGAACGCAGGCATTTGGATGTCCGTGAAGCAATCATGAAGAGTTGCGACGGTGACGAGACGCGATGGCATACAGTCGTGCACTCAGTATTTTGGGCCGAGCGCGTGACAGTGCATAAGGCGACAGGCTTATCGCCTTACTTCATGGTACATGGAGTCGAACCAATCTTTCCATTTGACTTAGCAGAAGCGACGTTCTTGGCGCCCTTGCCAGAACGAGGCGCCTTTAACACTACTGACCTCGTAGCGTGGCGCGCGCGCCAATTACAAAAGCGTCTAGAGGATTTGAACGCGATCAAGGACAAAGTAGTGCGTGCGCGCTACAAATCTATTCGCGACTTCGAGCAAAGGTTTAGGATGACGATCAAGAATTATGACTTCGCGCCTGGCGCATTAGTATTGGTACGCAACTCGAGAGTGGAATACGAGTTGAGCAAGAAGACGAAACCACGGTATCTGGGACCTATGATAGTCGTGCGTCGTACGAAAGGAGGTTCATACTTATTAGCAGAGCTAGACGGTGCAGTGTCCAAACTGCGGTATGCCGCGTTTCGCATCATACCATATTACCCGCGTAGCGAAGAACGCGTAACCGTCACCAGCATTACGGGCTTGAACGAGGAAAGTTTAGATCGCCTCGCTGAAGAGAACATCCCAGAACCTGATGACAAGGATCCCGAACTCGCGCTTGACGAATAGCGCACCATTACGCCCTAACTTCCCTATTCCGCCTATCGTATCACGCTTCCGCCTATCACTTCCGCCTATCACGCTTCCGCCTATCACAATTCCGCCTATCACTTCCGCCTATCACACTTCTCCAATCATATTCCGCTTCTCCTATTCCGCCTTCCCTATTCCGCTTTCGCCTCTCTAATCCGCCTTCACACATCCGCCAAAATCAAAAAAAAAAAAAAAAAAGGCTTGTCGCATATCTCAGTCTTACCCCGGGTTTCATCCGGTGATCTTTTTCTTTTTCTCTTTTTCTCGCTCTCAAAGTTCATATACCGCGCATTGCATTGCACATATCACCAACAGACTCTACTAGACGCAGCATCTCAAGAAAACCGCTAATAAAACACGTACAAAATCACCAACATCATTTTCTCTATAGCGCGGATCACCAAACCATAGACTTTCGCCTTCGAACGAGCGACCGCGCCGCGCCCGTTATTTTTCTTTTTTTAACACTACTCATTCGCCTAATCAAAGACACGCGACAATAGAAGAAGAAAGACGCACGAGGAAGACAAGACGGGCGTGCACCCTGCGAAAATGCTATATCAATTTTTCAATTTTTCATCTCTAAAAACGTGTCTCACACATACTAATTACTTTAATTTTCACTCAATAGCGCAGCGGATCAGACAAGGACACGGACATGGACATGGACATGGACAACGCAATATGCAAGTACAGTTATACAAAAGGCGCATTGGCGCTTACAGGAAAGGCGCTATAGGAAAGGCGCTATAGGAAAGGTATCTAAAGGTGGTTAGAAAGGCGCTCCTCCACATCCGCCCAATCCTGAGACATAGCAAAGAGTTTGTTGCTAAGGATCAACAAATCAGCTTGATGGGCGCGCGCATGTTGACGCAAGTTCAGGACAGTCGCCTTCAAACGCGCATTTTCTTCCTTGAGACGCGCATTTTCAGCAGTCGCCTCCTCAAGCGCCGCCTCCAAGTCCTTGGGTTTACCTTTTCCCTTAGGCACAGATCCAGACACGATAGGATTGACAGCGCGAGGCGGAACAGTGGCGGAACCGCGCAAAACCTTCCCCCCAATCTGGCGCTCACCAGTGATCTCAATCTCCATGTCGGATTCGCCAGTATCATCTTCATCCTCCACAGCAAGAGAAGACGCAGTTTCCTTAGCGGAACCTCTCCCACTAGCGCGTGTGGCGCGCGTCTTGCAAGCGCGCGAAGCAGAAGTGCGCAGATTGCTAGTCCCTATAGCGCCTTTGTCAGACATAGGCGCCAAATAGGCGCCAACATAGGCGGAACTGTAACACTCACTGGAGAAAGTGCAGGACTTCTTGGAAACGTCGCAAGGAGGGCAGCGCCTGCCATAGGAACCACCGCATGGAATGTTGGACTCAGCACAGCGGTTGCAGCGAGGTGGCTTAGGCACAGACATCCGCCCACCAGCGCGCTAGCGCCAAGTCAAATAATGAAAGTGAAAAATAATAAGGACGCACTGGTTCACCCATATTCGCCACTCCGCCTTGCGGTTCCGCCTCTGACGCTTGCACAGAAGGCGCCAGTTGCTTACTAGGCACCATAGGACTTTCCCCCACCACCTTAGCCTTCCATCCCTTCACTAACGCCTCCAACTCCTTGTAGGACTTGCGCCCTTCCTTAAGCAAGCCGGCATCGCGCTCATTGAGGTCAAGCTCGACGCCTACCACCTTAGAACGGTCGTAACACGCGTTCATGTTGGCCTAAGGCACCACTGTAAGGCGCCAGCGCAAAAATAAGAGTGAGTACTCACCATGACGGACTGCCACTCGCGCATCCAGGCCTCCTGGTCCTCCAACAACTCTGGCTTTGGGTCAGGGACAGCAGCAACACACCCATCAAGCGCTGTCAGAGTATCATTCCACCCTTTCAACAAGCGGTCCACATCTGTCTCCACCACAGGGTCCGCCATACGCGCGTCTTCACCACTAGGGCGGTCCTCAGGGACAGGAGAAGGAGTAGAAGCTAACATAGACGCGTTGAAGACAGGCATGATGAAAATTGTTGAAAACAAGAATCACGAGAACGCTCCCCATCTCTTATCATCAAAAATCAAATTATGTCAGCGATACTTGCATTCATCAGTTCAAGTCCTTTACAGTTCCACGTCTCGCGATCACATGACATTGGCCATCACTACTCTTTCAGGACGATTCTCGCGCTACATCAACTGAGTGGGGACACTCAGTATTTAAGTCCCCCGCAGATGTAGAGACTCCATTGCGAGTAGCCTCACAAAGGCCGTATTTCCACTTCGTCTCCACTAACGCGCGCTATATACAACAAGGCGACTTAAATGCGCTAAACGTGCGACGCTTCCGCCTAATCCGCGCATCCGCGCATCTGGCGCCTATAGCGCGCCTCTATAGCGCCTTTCGCGTTACTACGGTGCCTTTGCGCGCGCTTTCGCGCTTTACCTTCGCGTTCGCTTTTCCAAGTCGCCTGTCCTCCGCACATCCTGTCCTGTCCCTCTATGATCCGCTGGTGCGTCTCCCTTTATCTTTTCAACTGACTTTAGCTATATACCTCGTCTGTTTACACATAATTCCTTATTCTACAACACAACAACTCTTTTTCGCTTCGCTTCCGCTTCGGCTCAGTGCCTGGGAACATTTACCTTAGACATGGGGACTCTGATAGATTTTTCACTTACTTACTTACTTACTCACTACATCCCATCATCCTGCATCAGTGTATACTGTGAATCAATTTCTATTCATTTGCAACACAACCACTGCGCGACTCTCTATTCTTTTGCAACAAGCTCTCTTGAGAAAATCTTGAGAGACCTTCGCGCTACTTCCGCCTCTTCACTGCCCCCTATAGCGCGCTTGTTCCGCCTCGCGGTTCCGCCTACGTCGCGCTTTCAGCCTTTCATCGTGTTAACGCGCGTTTCGCGTTTACAAGGCGTCTCGCACCCGCGCTTTGCGCAGATTCCCTTGCTGACTCGTTCAGCGCATCCCCTCGCATTTACTCGAGGAACAGACTCAGTAAAGATCCTCTTGGGCCGACTTCTACTCGCGTTCGAGGACTACTGCAGGCGACTTATCTTATATTTTTCAGTATAGACCCACTCACGATTCCTCATCTTCAGCGTGTAGCGTGAAAAAAATGTAGCGTGAATCATGTCTCCCTTCCTGTAAAAGAGAGAGGAAAATAGTATGGGTTAAACTTAGTTAGAATAGCTGATAGATTATATAATCAACCCCTGTAAGGTAGTATATAATTGAATAAATGTTTCTTAATCTTACTTTGAGGCTAATGATTTGCCTGTACTTAGGTTCTTACTTAATCTCACACTGTTTGAGATGAGTGAAGGTGGGAAGTGCTCCATTTATTACATGGCAAAATTGGGCTCCTTATATACCTTTTGGAGGCCCTGATTACAAAGCATGAATCATCACATGGATTGGTAAGAATGTGCTTACTAACAATGCCATTTGGTGTGTTGAGTCAGCTTGTTTACTAATTTACATTATAAATACAGTGTAGTTTACAAAGCATGACAAATCATGGCATGAGTCATCACATGGATTGGTAAGGATGTGCTTACTAACAATGCCATTTGGTGTGCTGAATCAGCCTTCTTACTAAGTAGCTTATAAATACAGTTAGAAATCTTACAAGCATGATGAATCATGACAAAACATGATGAGTCAAGCTCAATCTTTACAAATCATGATATCTACCAGTCACATGACATGCTTACAAACATGCTTAGTGGCTGAAAAGAAAGTCTGTTGGCTGAATATGCCTGAGGAAAATAGAAAGAGATGGAATGTCATAGAACAAAATAGAAATACATGGAAAAATGGAAGTAAAGATTGAAAGTGAAAATACTAGCTAATGACTAAGGGGAAAATGATGGGGTAACTTGGTGATAGGATACAGTAGGGTCTATTATACCTTCCTTATTATACCTCTTGTGTATCTGTCATGGTATGAGTTGCATACCATGCATGACAGTGGAAGGAAGTGACTTGCATCAAATATGCCGTGAGGCCGAGGAGACCGATGAGGGCGAGGAATGATAGCTGCGTGCTAGGGGGAAGAGTGGGAAGTGGGCTCTCAAGTGCTCCTCTGGATACAAGTGGAAAATCGTCCCAAGGGGATTGCGACTGAGAAAGATTCCTCTATTGAAAGGTGAGGGGGGATCTTTAACCAGCAGTTCGGTCTCTAAGCCTGGAGGGGACACTAAGGCAAGTAATATACCCAAAAGCGAAGAGCGCTAGCTAAAAGCACCTAAACGCGCTGATAAGGCGGAAAGTGCGGAAAAGCGCGCTGTAGAGACTCGCGTTTCTGCAGGCACATATGGGCACATTTCGCACCTTTTCACAACTCATGACAATTGGCCTTCAATGCACAACTTGCACCATCAGCTATATTCGACTTCTATCATGTCTCTAGTTGTTTTACACATAACGCGCAGCTTTCCCGCGAAACGCGCCATAGGCGCGCTACTTTCCCACACAACGCGCAGCATTCCCGCGCGCGCTCAGCGCGTTTCTCTCGCACTTGTTGCCCTACTCCATACACAACTTCTGCTATGTCTCCAGTCATTTGTGCATACAATGCACAGCTCTCCTGCAAAGCGCACCATAGGCGCAACACTTTCTCACGCTTTCGCGTTTCGCGTTCCCGCGCGCGCGCTTAGCGCGTTTCTCGCACTTAAGCACACTCCATCGCGCATCATCCAGGAGCATCCATCCATCATCCAACCAGTTCCTAGGTGTGTCCCTTTTCATTATCAGACCATATTTAGCCTATTACACTTTGTATTTCGTTATGCACCCTTACTTTACATCACTTTACCTCACTTACATACTTAGAGCGCTCCCTATTCGGCTCCGAGCCCTGGGAGAGCGCTTAGGTAGAACTTACATACTTTCATGTTCGTTTGACACCAGATCTTTCTACCAACAGCTACCTACCACATCTTTCTACCACCATGTACTTGGCAGTTAGTTCCATGCAATGCATGCGTCCGTCGTCGTCTTAAGGCCCTAGCATCAGTCTAAAGCTAGTGGCAGTATCAGTATCCATCTATATCTGCACTTTTCACCATATTATCGTCTCTCTACACTTGTGCGCTGCTCGCACTACCATCCCTGTTCTCTGCGCATTTTCGCCCTTTCGCACTTTCGCCTTCCCGCACTTCGCGCATTTTTTGCGTTTCACTTTTCCCGCGCGCGCCTTGAGCGCGTTTTCTCGCGCTTACATCGCCCTTTTGTCGCCTTTGATCAGGGTTGATCAGCATCATTTTGTGGATCCTTGCTTTCTTTGCTTCCCTTAAGGGTCGAACATATCGCACGGCATATCAAGACCCAACATAGAGAGTGTTTGCTTGTCATCTGACTTGCGTTCACCTTTGTTGTGTTACCCACAGCGCTTCAATACCAAGGCGCTCTTCGTGCGATCACAGCGGAGTGCTTCGAGTAGAGGCGACAATCAAAATGGGAGAATCAGGGCTTTGATAGATGTAGAAATAGACACTTAAAGGTGTCAAAGCGCCAATTAGATGGAAACAAGTGTCTTCTGCTAGAAACTTCAACTATACACTTTCTGATGGTAGTCGAGCGGGAGTGAGTCCCAGAAAAATGAACATGCTGACGTGTAAGTATGCTAAGCGAGTTCCCAGGCCTCGGAACCAAGTAGGGAGCACTAAGGTAGGTGATGAGGTAAGTCAGGGTCCATAATGTAACATAGTGATAAGTACAAGTGCCTGTGTGACGCCATATGAGTTCTAGTGAAAAGAGCACGCACCGATGGACCTTGGAGGACTAGGACAGGACATGCGGAGGACGGGTGACGGATCCTAGGGAAGTGTGATGAAGTCTGATGTAATGCGCTCAAACGCGCTGGTACGCGCCAAGGCGCATATGTGCGTAACTGGGAAGGTGCGAGCAGGCAGTAGCGAGGGTTCGTCAATGTGAGGATGAGAGAAGGCGAGGCGCAACGCGAAAAACGCGACAGCGTGAAATGCGACAAAGGCGAAACGCGACAGAGGCGAACGCGACGAAATGCGAAACACGACAGAACACGACGAAATGCGAAATCGACGAAAACGCGAATCGCGAACAAAATGCAAATCGCGACAAAATGCGAAACGTGACGAAAACGCGAAATGCGACAAAATGCGAAATGCGACAAAATGCGACGAAATGCGAAACGCGACAAAATGCGAAACACGATGAAATGAAACGCGACGAAACGCAAATAAGACGAAACGCGACACAGCGCGTTGTTACGGATGCGCGACTGCAGGAATGTGGATACTCGATATGCGAAAGTGTGTATGGGTAGAAATGCGCTAGCGCGAAAGCGCGTTTGTCGCGTTCGGGCATGTTTCAGATTTAGAAGGCGCGTTGCATGGATATCGAGGGCGTCGTGAAAAGCGTGAATTTGGCCCATATGAGCCTGGAGAAATGCGAGTCTCTACACTGATGAAGACGACGAAGAGGCGATGCAGGGTGAGGGAGAGAGGAATACAGATGATGCTTTCAGGATGGAGTCGTTAGATGACCTTTATCATATAGGGCCCCAGGAGGTGAGTAATGCATTAATGTAATGCATTACACCCTGTTTTGCTGATGCATTGTCCTCTCCTGTCCCTAATGCATTACTGTGACCCTCGTACTCACCCCTCAGGACAACCAGATGGGGCTGCAAGACATCGCTCTGGGCCTGGATATCGAGACTCAGCCAACTAGCAGCGCATGTCTCTCTGACGAGGCCAAATCACTTTCATTTGGAGAGTTCAACTTCTGGAGCGCGGGCATGGAAGAATTCAATACCTTGTTCACCGTCTTACAGGACTCTTTCGACCCTAGTTTTGTCAATACTGGCCTTGATCCCAACTTTCCCCAGCCTCAACATGGTACATTTTATCACGCTTCTCCTGATTTTGCCCTTGACAACTTTGCAGCTGTGCAAAACCCGGAGTATCCAGTTGAAAATTTCTTTTTAAATTCAAGCTATCTCCATAGTGTCCATAGTGACGAAGCGCTAGGCCTATCTGTTGCCACACCTCACAATTCACTGTCGTCTCTGACCACAAACATCTCAGTTCCTGACATCCTGTCCCCAGTTCCTGTCATCCCGTCCCCAGTTCTTGTCATCCCATCCCCAGTCCTGGACATTCCCTCCCCAGTAACGACCACATCGCCCATGCCACCTGCAAATGCACAATCCAAGTCCACCAAAGCAGTTGTGTCTGGTGGGAGGTCTCATTGCCTAGTAGGTAACAAGGCCAACGGACAAACGAACGGCAATGATATGGTCAGACCTACAATTGGACTGACTGCAGAGCTGCAGCCAGACAAAGCTCCACATTGTACAGCACGTCAACACATCCCATCAAATCACACACAGGTACTCAATGCAATTGGATTGTTGAATGCTCGCGTCTGTGTGACATTTGGGGAGGCCAAAGAGAATGATGGACCACCAGTCACGCCAGCAACGAAGCGCGAGGCCAAGCCTACCAACCAACCCAACAAGTAAGACCTTTCTCTCAAGTTCCAGCTATACATAAGAGGCTCACAACTCATAGAAAACAGAAACACAGTTGAGGTTGGAGCAATAATAATATTTCATATACCCACTCAAGGCTTTTGTGGTGGTTGAGCTCGTCGTTGTACATGGAGAGATGGAATGTTTTGAATGATATAATTGTCGCCAATGCGGCAATGCCCATGATATTTTGTATCTATGTTGTAGTTTCTGTAAGTCGCTGAAATATAAGCGGCAGCTCGCTTCATATACATACATTGCACTCGTTCTGCACCTGGGCCATGCTACATGATTCTCAGAGTTCATTTCAAGTTTAACTGTCTAGGGATTAGCATGGGTTCATTTATTCGACTTCTGGGCCAAGAGGCAGCTGGGCATAGGTCGCATGGAAAGACGAAGCGGATAGTCAAGTCGTTGATATGGCATTAGATGCTGAGGGTGGGCTTGGAATTCTGGACTTCGGGGCAGAGGTAGAAGTAGGTGCATATATGACTTAGGAGACCAGTAACGGTGACACAACGACATGTACTTGATGCAAAATGGTATTTGGTAAACTCCCTGCTACCCAACCTCCCACAGATGTAAGTTCTTGGATGTTGAGAAGCTGATCCATTGGAGCCACCTTGGGAGTCCCGTAAGATAGCCACAAGTTCCAGAAGTCTCCTGTCTTCGGAGATAGCGGTGGCAAATGCAGAGCGATGATCATTGAAAGGCGACAGCATAAGGACTGCAAAGACTCAATTCAGTAATGGTTGCTAGGTGTGTGGTATTGATACATACTTGTCCCGGAATTGAAATCTTGGCCAGCCCCTGCAAACCATTCTCGAGAGTTTGCAATTATGAATAAAGAGGCTGGGGTGGGTGGTTCTTGGGATGGGGGAAAGGTTCTTGGTTTCCTGGGAAGGGTGAACACGAGCACACTTATTTGGTTGTTGAAGAACAAGAAGCTACATGATGATCAGTTAAAGAATACAAGATAACAACTGAAAGATGGACGCACATTGATATCCCTCTCCCCCAGCTCACATAACATTGTCTGAACGGCCACAGGTGGAAGCAGTGCTGAAAAAGCATGGGATATGTGGTAGAAGGTAGATGGTGTGGTGCTGGGCGGGAACGAGTTGCGATATTACTACTGTGGATAAGCACAGTACAAACAACAAACAACACAGACAAGGTTACTAATGTGAACACCCTCAAATGTACATCAACAAGTCAAAACGCACCTAGATATGCAACGAAGGAAGATCACAAGTGTCCACCCAGGGTCGTGATTTGGAGATCTAAAAAAGGGCTGAATATAAAAGTAAGTATGATGGGTAGGAGATGGAACTAAAGACGGGCACCAAAGGTCATCCTATTGAAGGTGCATGGCTATATATAAAGGTGTGACCTATTCCGGCAGTCAGTGTAAGATTCTAATGCATTACAACTTACAAGGGGCACCAAAAGCCCGCACATAATGCATTACGCTGTCCATCATCGTTAATGCAATACAAGTGTCTTGTAACTACACTACATTAATGCATTATTATGACAGGATGGCCTGATCATCCGTCTGTCAAGCAAGAAATTGGTTGCTGTCGCACTCAGCCGCCAACTGTCCATAGTACATGTATACATAATAGGGAGTTAGGGTTAGGGTCCAGATTGCAAGCTGTTGCACTGGGGTCCCTGGCCAAACAATTGCCTTTTCTATCGAAGCTGATCATTGTTGTTCGAGCTGATCCCCAGTGAAAACCTACATGAGGCAGATCGAGGGATGTCAAGGTGCGATCAGACCTTGACCAGCCTTGTTGGATGACACACTTTCTGTATATATGCCTCGATAACATTCGAGGAATATTGAGGCAGGTAGAGTAATTCTAGTAGGGCTTTTTGGCCTCAGAAATCAAAGAGCCACGTTATCGCATAGTACTAGTTTTACAGCAGCGAGAACAGGCAGAATTCAATTATACATTTAATTGTGCAGCTCGTGTAGTATTACAACAAAGTAAGGAGAGTAGTAGTGATTGTACCAACAGCAACTTGTAACAGGGGACGAAAGCTCATGCAAATGACAGCGAAAGGACGACAGCAGTGAGAGAATGATAGCAAGAGAATATAGCAACGGAACACAGCAAGAGGTGAAAGCTGATCCGAATGATAGCGACAGAGAATGGGCAACTTGGAGGAAATGCAAGGGTACTTGTGTGACGGCGTCATGTTGAAATTGCTTCAGCTGAGGCAGCTTTCTGGGCCTGTAGTAGATCAAATCCATCAGATAGAGTCCACACGAGAAGAGTGAAATAACATGAACAATCTTAGCCTGGATCGAGCGCCGTTCCCAAACCTCTCTCTCTTCTAATACTAGCGAGTTCCAGTAGTCAGTGAATTGTCCTAGCGAGACGGTGCAGCCCTTGTTGTTGCTGACATAGTCAATGCCACATAAGTTTCTCCATTGTGTTCGGTAGGTTAGATTGATCAGACTTGCATGTAGTATTAGAGAGTGAAAAAACACACCGTGCAGTAGTCGAACTTCGACTGGGCCTAAAAATTGATTCGTGACTAGAGGCTTTCTTTCGTCGACTCACCATGAGACTATCATTGCTGTTACCCAAGCTGTCATCGGCAGGTAGAGGTAGGACCATAGTAGTTGGAGTGGCGACTGAAGAAGGCATACTCCGAGTTGCATTGAGAGAAGATGCTAACCGATGGAGGATTGTTGGTTCGTTGGTCGAAGCTGTAATAGTATTAGGCTCCAACATTGAGACCAGCGCCAGGTCAGTCGAGGATGATGCCACACTGGGAAAAGCACAGAGTGCAGGCTGTGCAGCAATAGGATCAGGTAAGATAATATCCAAGTCTGTTGCGTCTTGGGGAACATCATGACCACCGTGACCAAGAATGACATCTCCAAGTTCATTGCTTTGAAGAGGCTCAGTGACATGTTCTTGGAGTGTGTCATGCTCATTCGAAGGGATTACTACTGGGTGGGGAAGTGCCGCTGTCAATGCCAATAGTGGATTTGTATTTACGACTTGCTGCAGTAGGTGATTGTGATCTGAATGAGTCCAATGCTGAAAGAAAAGACAAGACAAAACATACCACTCGTCGAGCAACATCAACTGTTCGTCGTGGGCTCTGGATGTTCGACTTGGATGGTGGTAAAGATTTTGTCTTCTTGATTCGATCGGATGTCACAGCTGTAAGCGATGATGGCCGTTTTGAACTCTTGATGCCAGGTTCTGCTGCTGGCAGCATAGCAGGCTCGAGCTTCAGGTTGGATGTAGCATCCTTTTTCTCAAGTTTGACCTTGGTCTGTGGGTCCCGGTCATCCTTCGGGCGCTCGCTCCATTGAGAGTAATAGTGTATAGCAAATGTCTCTGCTTTCCAGTCGTTGTTGCAAAAACGGAACTGAGGGAATTTTTCGCGCATACATCGATAATAGAACTCCTTCCCCATCTTGTCGGTGCATTTCCACAATGGTGCAGCATATCCATGCTTTCATAAAGTCTTCCAGACAGTTCTCTGGTAATCCCGCATTGATTTCTGAACATCAGCAGATGCAACTGTACCAAACTTGTCCACAATGTAAGATAATGTTCCGGCATCGGTGTCGTCACTAGCCTGAGCTTGCAAGATACCACGTGAATTTTGCTTAGCGTTGTTGAAGTCCTGCTTTGTCCACAGCAAAGATGGTCGCTCGTCATCAAGAAAGTCATCTTCGGCATGAAGAGGGAAGTGGTCCGGTTGATTGGCGAGGAGGAGGATCAGATCGGATACATTCGTGGCAGATTTGGGACGGTCGAGTAAGTCAATACGTGAAAGTAGTTGTTGGTATAGTTTCCTATATGGTTTTATAACATTAAAAATAGTTGGTATTAGACACAAGAGACTTACTCTGTCGCTCTAGCTTCACCTTCTTTGAATGAAAGCTCATTCTGGAGATCTCGAATTTTTGAACGTAGGTCACTATTCTCATGGAGCAAAGAAGCATTATCTCACTGACACTCCGTGTACTTGGTGTGCAACATAGCAAATTCACTGGACAGTCGCGAGAGTGAGTTTTCAGAAAACGAGGTTCCACTACCATCTGGTGAAGCAGCATCCTGGGGGTAAAAGAATCAGTTATATTCAGGTATACACAGACATAGCACATTTACACTATTATAAAAGTCTCGTTCACAAGACTGGTTGTGTCCTATATGTGCCTGAGATCCTCGGTGGGAATGTCCAAGGATACTGCTACATGATCCGCTCAATGAATGAAGAGAAGATGTGCTCGGATAGTCAGAATCATCCTGGATCAACATTCTGGATTGTGGGAGAGTGTAGGAAAACCCATCATAGAAAAATTTTGTCAAGTCTATCATGAAGCACACGACAGTATCAGAACAAATCCTCCTCATCTGCATCTTCTGGAATACTATAGCCCCCCATATCTGCTACATCCAAGCCTGGTTTCTCAACTACATAGAATCGATCTTCTCCATTGATCTTGTGTGGAACCATTGCGACAACTGATTCAATCATTTTCACGTTGATGACGACAAGTGCAGCATCTCCTTGATGGTGACATGACCACAAGGTGTAGTGCGAAGCCTGAAGAAGTTTGACATCCGGTGGTGAATAGAGTGTGATGACAGCAAGAGTCTCGGGAGGCCGATCTGCATGAATAATAGCTTGAAAAAAGTAGTACACTTCAGCAAATTGAAGTTTTCCGTTGTATGTGAGCTGTAAATGGAGCTCAATGACATCAATAGTACTGGCAGCAAGTGCAAAAAATGTTACTCTGATGTTGCGAGCTTGCCAAACATGTTCACGATCTTCTTCACACCACAATGAGCGGGTGGTCAGACCACTGGGCAGACGGAGGCGAGCTGAACGAGCAACTTTCACAGGTCCAGGACCAAACAAATGAAGAGTGGGTGACTGCGGAGCATTTGCTTGAACATACTCTTGTATTGCTGAAGATTCTGATATTGTCGTTGCACGTGCTGTGCGGTCATGCTTAGCAAGGAGTGCAAATCCACCACCAATATCCTTTGCCCATGCCGGCAGAGTTGATTTGAGGTTGTCGTGGTCAAGTGCAGGCATTATGATCTTCAGAGTGTTGGTTTGTGCCTGTCGTAAGCATCGTTGACCAAGATTTGCGAAAGGATTTGAATGCTGGTGGATTTGACTGCCAAAGTCACCAATAGCTCACTCCATCGGCCACTGAGAACTGCAGATCAATGGGCCTTTTGTGAAGACTTCATTGGCATAGTGGAGGGGGGCATGCACACTCTGACGAACAAAATGAAGTCGGTCAGCACGTTGCTGGTAGTACAAATCCTCAAACTCATCTTCAAACTCTGCAAAGCATCGTGCAGCAACAACAAGTTCTTCTCGTGTAATACTTCTCTGGCTGATGAGCCGAACACCACGCACGAGCTTGCAGAAACTCTGCCAGTATGGGTCTGGGAGCACATCATGAAAAACTGCAGGGCCGAGACCCCACATGTATAGTGTGTACTCCCATGCCTTGTATCCACTCGAAATCTTCTCAGCCAGGTTGCGAGGTGGGCGATCAAAGAACCCTGGAAGATAACGAGAGGATGCTGCAACAACACGCCCATGGTCCTTCCAAATATCTCCGTAAGTGTTGCCCAGACCCACGTAGAGACATGATCAGTAGGATCACATTTGAAGGTCCCGCGCCACAGTGGAATCAGGAGATCGGGAAGGTTCAGTGAGCAAAGGTGCATGATATCAGAGCCAAAACACCAAGGGACACCAAGAATGCAATGTTCGGGAAAGCCAAGAAATATTGAAGGCTTCGAAATCCCTGTCTCTAGACGCTTCTGTTGATATTCTCTCTCCGTTCGACTCGAGAGCAGTGCGACAAGATTGTCCCAATACTTGTTATGGGCACCATCACATGAACCAATTGCGTATGGGCTGATATCAGTTGTGATTGCAGTCAGGGACATCATAATCGAGGGGCTTCTTCAGTGCAGGATAATAGTGAGAACCACCTGGTTTACTGGCGTCCTGGGAGTCCACAGTAGAGACAGCACCCATTTTCCCATGGTGCCCGACAAGTCCATTGAGATACATGAGACCTGGGCCATCTGCAGTCGCGATGGCGAGAAAGAGATTGGAGAGGTAGCGTACATCACGATGGGCATCCCATATAGGCAATCCCTCTTTCATAATTGCAGCGGCATGATGGAAACTTGGATAGAGGAAGGAATCGAGGTTTTTTGGCTTGTTTGGTCCAGGGACGACGAGTCCAGGAATCACAAACTTCTTCTTGTATCGTGTATCCAGGAGAACGATCAAAGACGATCCAGATTGAGATCCAGCAGTCAGACTGCTTGTTCTTGTAGAGTTGGGCACCGTCGACAGACATCATCAAAATAATGTCATCATCCTTGATCTTCCTGCCTTGTACAGCCTTGATATAGTCATCTCCGTCGAAGAAATCGCTATACGAGTCGAGACTGCCTCTTCGTTCCAATTCCTCAAATATATCCTGTGTTTTTTCGTCACGGTAGCACATCTCCTGAGCACTCTGTGGATCCCGGTACAGTGCCTGTATTTGGGGCCAATCGGGAGAGTGGGAAACTGCATGCGAGGTTTCTTTGTACGTCCGGAGGTCTTTTCTAGCAGCGCTTGATCATAGCGAAACTCATTACACTCTGGACAGTGTTCCAGGTGCGAAAACGGACCTGTATAGCCGATACAAGAGTTGGGACACATGTCATGCATGACAGAGTAGACGCCTGTGATATCTTCAGCAATTTTCTTCGTTTGATAGAGTGTCGGGAACTCCGCAGGATCAAGATTATTTCCTTTGATATACGAAAGCCGTGCGTGGTCAAAATCAGAGTCCGAATGCTTGAGATGCATGTAGTTTTCGAGAGCAGCCCTGACATGGGGATCATCGATCGTCGCAGGGTATTGTGGTGGGTTGCGAAGGCGTCCAATAGTCTCACTATCAAGTCCCGAGGCAGGATCATCTAATGAGGCAGCTTGGAGGCCTGCAATGAAGGCGAGAGAATGCCTGAGGTCATCGAGCTTCACGTTACTGTAGAGATCATTAAGGATGTCTTCGTCTGCATCAACAGATTCGGGCATCTGAGGCAGTTCATCTAATGCAGCGTCATTGTCGAATATATGATCTGAAAACTGCAGGCGGGCATGGTCATTCTAGCAAACAGTTGGAAAAAACCATTCCATCAAATTAAACCTTACCTCAACATCATCGCCATCTTCGCTGTCATGGACATTGCCTCCATCTATACCACCTTCAGGTCCAGTTTCCGGCAAGTTATGCTCTCCAAGGATTGGTTGAGATGACATTCGAGCGCTATTGACCCTTTCAGCAGTGCTCTCGATCCTCAGATCCTCTTGCAGAGGCTCTGGAGAAAACTCCTGATGCCCAGGAGAGTTTGGGTGGTGCAATTGAGTGCGTTCAGGTAGCCGGTATGGCTTGTGTCGTTCGTAAGTGCTCCTGCTGATTTTTCTTAGGTTCCCGAAGCATTTTTCAGAGCAGTCGCAAGTGTACTCCTTCTTCTCGCGAGGCATAGCAGTTGATATGAAGCAGTGCAGAGGGAGAAGGGACACACCAGAATATGCAAAGCTCGCAGAGTAGAGACTTAGAGTGTTATGTCAGTCTATTTTCTGCTTTGCGAGCTTTGCACTTGCTCGATTAACGAATGACGCAGCTTTGCGGACAAAAATCAAACACAAATCATGCATCGTGTTGTTTATGTAATTGCACACTATCTACAGCTCTCGATTTCCCAAGTGTGTCACTATCCAACTCTATCTCCGTCGACCTGCCTCTTGTGGGTTTTCACTGGGGCTGATCACTCTTGCTTTCCATAGTGATACATTTAGCCTACGGATACTGATATAGTGGACTAGATCGATCTCTCTCGTTCAAGAGAAACAGGTTTTGAGTCTGTTGTGATAACAACTTGACTAATCTGGTTAGATGGATCTCTGAGGAAACCCTCCATGAGTATGTCAAGGTGTGTTTCGATAGAAAAAGACATGTCATTAAGCAGGTTTCGAACCTGCATAATTGAAGAGAAACAGATTTTGACTCTGTTGCGGTAACAACTTGACTAATACCAGTTAGACGGATCTCTGAGGAAACCATCCATAGGTCAATGTCAAGGTGTGTTCCGATAGAAAAAGACGTGTCTTTAAGCAGGTTTCGAACCTGCATAATTGAAGAGAAACAGATTTTGATTCTGTTGCGGTAACCACTTGCCTAAGACCAGTTAAGATGAACTTCTGACGAAACCATCCATGAGTGAATCTTCAAGGCATGTTCCAATAGAAAAAACACCTTGTCGTTGGCAGGTTTCGAACCTGCACTGGTACAGTCTAAGAGACAGATTTAGATTCTGTTGTGGTAACCACTTTGGCCAGGACGAAGTTGAGATGAAGCTCCGAGCCTGAGAAAACCATCCATGAGCGAATCTTCCGATAGAAAAAAAAACAGGCAAGTTTCGAACCTGCACCATCCAAGAGAAAACAGATTTCGATTCTGTTGTAGCAACTTAGCCAGGGACCCTTCACGAGTTAAGATGAACTCCGAAAAACTGTCCATGAGTGAATGTCAAGGTGTGATAAAAGGAAAAAAATTGTTGAGCAGGTTTCAAACCTGCAACACATATCTGTCCTGTCACGCTTATCACTTGGTTAAGACTGGTCAATGTGGACGGCCGTGGTACGAGTCGAAGAATATTATGCATTGACGGCAGAATCACATAGGACTAGCAGTCATTTGCCAACGTAAAATGACAAAAAATGGGCTGACCTTGTGCCACAAGGTAACAAGGTAACTTAGTAAAGTTAATCCCACAGACACCGACTATATGGGTACACCAAGAAATAGTCGTACGTACTTGACTGGGAAACTCCAACAGTTAAAAACAGAAAGGATGGGAGTGGACTGATGCCTATCTACACCCATAATACATATGCTGAATAGCACACTACGATAATTCACCAAGAAGTCAAAGTCATTTGTCGGTAGCGCCGATCTCGCAAATACGGAGACAATGATCCACGTAATTGATCCATCACGCTGAAGAGAGAGAATTAATTTTCATCGTCACCTCAATCGGCCGCTGTAGCAAAAGCAAGTCATCACCCTATTCCGTCGACAGTGGTGCATCCACTGACCGTGACAGCCTGAACATGTCGAGTGATTTGCAACATTTCATCGGGATGTCCATCGTCCTGCGACGCTCTAACGTGCAGTCCCGGGCGGTAGACGTCATGGCATATATGGCATTCGGAAGAATGTACTGCGTCTGCATTGGGCTGCGCGTAGTGTCGCGCGTTCAGTAGTGCGATGTACGAGTTGACATATACTAAAATGATACCACGAGTCAGCATGATCCTCGTCGTCGAGGAATTCTTTGGCCATACATTTAAGCAGTATAAATTCAACAACCTTAAATGCGTAGTTTTTTGGCATCACTGCGAACTATAGACGGTCAGAGAGAAGATGGCCAGCAAAAAAGGTGTGAGCTCACTGTAATGATAATTGTCATTGAACACATACTGCCCGGAATATAAGTCAAGGTATGGGGTAGACTGAAATGAGGGATACCTCGTCAAACAGCCTGTATTGATGATATAAATCATGAGCTTTGTTATGAATAAATCCATTCTAAGTACTATATGTCAGAATTTCAGACCTGACAGCGAATGGGCTGCAACTTGCCTCGAGAACCCAGTACGGGACGTAGCGAGGATATAACATAGCGATAATGCAATAATAACATCAACACAGGCAATAGTGCCCAAATATACGTATATTGCCCACTCGATTTTGACCAAATCGGGCATTACATGGACTTCCTGATACCTACTCGCTATCAGCGCTTAGAGCACTTGAGGAGTCCGCTGTCTCACTTACATGTACCAAATAGCGGCTTTATCATGTTAAAATGATGAAGCAATAACAGTATGAATGAACTCTTACCGATGGCAGGACCTGAAAGGATTCTCCAAGATCATGCGAGGAACATTACCAGTTGACAGGACTCACCTGAAGTTAGGACGACGACAACACCCTGGTAGTAGATCAACAAAATGAAACATAAGGCTAGAAATAGAATGACGGCAAGCCTACCACTATGATCGGCAGAACTTTTGATCGGCCCTTGCTAACTAGGTTCACCGCATAAGCCACGATAAATCTGTTGATAGGGGGGAAATACCTGTGCATATGCGATAAGCATATATTCTACGGACCAAGAAAGTATTGAGCGAATGTTGTATATAACACGGTACATAGAACATACAGATGTTCCACAAAGATGGTGAAAACCTATGGAGTGCATGTCTGAGGCGAACCATAGGACTTAGGAAGTATGGCTTACGGTGACTACCAACTGAAGCTGCACAGGCACATCAATATGACAGCAGAGGCTCACGGAGGAGGTAGCAACTCACTTTGCAACTCCATATGAATTCTATGAGCGCACCAATGTTCGCGTAGTTGATCACTAAATAAAAATAGATGGAATAGACAATCAGGGCCAGATGCAGAGCGTCAAGTATCCTAAAAGTTCAGTCATCTCGACGTGCTCGATAATTACAACTCGAAGAGATGCCCACCAAAGCAATATGACCTAAAATAGCTTCAATAACAGAACTGACAAGGAGGCAGCATAGACGTACGACCAGCTTGTAGAATGTTATTCCTGTACTACTTATGCGTCTGAAAGTATATGAAAACCTGAACGATGGTGACACCAAAGAGACTGTTCCGTGAGAGGAAACATTCAACTTATTACTGAGTAGTGATGAACAGTTTACTTACACTGCTGCAATGATGACCCCAATAAACAGTGCCCCAAACGTGTTCACGAGCTGAACTTGAACATGTGGGATGAGGTCTTGCGTCGAGGAAGCCATTGGCATTATTGACTAAACCAATTACACCAGCAACATAGTAGTACCACCAGGTTATATATCCCACAGCTCGGGACAATGAGTTTAGAATTTGTCTGATCATATGTATGATGAGGCTCTGAAGTTCCTCCGAAGGGATTGCATGAGTAGATGCAGGGTTGGTACCAGTACCACAGGCCAAATTCAAAATTTCAAAAGGCATCGAGTTGAATATCGATTGGACACAGAACAGGATAAAGCTCTTTTGAATTTTCAATGAAGTTTTCATTGATGCGGACTTCGCAGTCCTTGATCACGCGGTACGCACGTATTTGATATTTGCGATTGTTGATATCGACGACTCGACAGTGAAAAGAACATATTCTACGTCCATGTGAAGCTGCTAACGGTGAACCAATGTCTTCGTATCAAGGGCCGACCACTGGAATGGCCCGATGAAGCAATGGAGTGGTGGTCAAAAGCAAAGTAGAGCAGGTGCGGCATATGTAGACCGGATGGTGGGCATGTTGATTGACAATGATTGTTGACCACTCACTTCCCCACCATCCAGTCTCGCAGAAAGCTTCTCTTCCGTAAGAAGAAGAAGAAGTCAATGATGATGATGATAACGGCCTCCATGGGGACGATCCAGCTGCGTGGTGATCCTTCTCCTTCCCCGATTGAAACGAGCATGGGTCATAAGACGAGCCATAAATGAATACGGCGTCGTCTTTCCGAAGCTCGAGCCCGTTCCATCTATATCAATCCCGGTTCACATCTAACAGTTAACATGATGCATCATTGTTACCAGTGTACCACTGCATCCTCGCCTCTCGTCCATCAGACATATACATCTTATTGAAATTCGTATCGCACTACCTGGGCATCGACACGGATACTGTCTTTGAGGGATGTTCAATACGATCCCTCGAATATCCCATTCAACAAGCCATGAATCATGATGATCAGCACTCACAGCCGGCGACAAAGGTTGTTCTTTTTTGTTCTTTGCATTATTCATCATAACGCAATCTTCCTTCGAGTATCCTGGACGTACACCGCGCGCCAACAATGGGGAGACTCGCGCTTTCAATGGATGCCAAGTCCTTCCACCGGTCCTCGACCACTTTAAGGATCCCTTCGCACACGGACAACTATACACAGCCCGGTGGTGTCGAGGGTACGCAATCTATGTTTCAACTTTCGGAGCCCCAATTGCAATGAAGGAAATGATTGTATGAGACTGCTTCTCCAAACAAGCCGACCGTCGTGCATAGCCCACTGCGACCTTTCGTCTGGAAGAGGTTGCTTATATATGTTTAATTGTCGAGATTGAGGTCACTAGCTTGCTTGCATAACTGGTCAACCAGACCCTTCAATCAACATTGAAAGGAGACATGACATTTGCTCGTCCGGATGTGAACTCTGCATACCTCTGGTATACTTTCACCCTCGTTGAGTACCTTGGAACATTCTTCTTGCAACATTTAACATTATTGAGTCCGATGCGCTACATGAGTCTCATGACGGGGAAGCAATACTGATGGAGTAGCGAAAGGTAGGAAGAAAGAGATAATAGATAATAGTACACAAGAACTGTATGCAAATGCGAAACAGTGGTCCACACCCTACAGTATTAGTGACCATTAGCTTGTTGGGGAGACACAGCAGAGAAAAAGAACGAGGCGAGCCCGTAATGGAGGAAGTTGTGACTGCACCGCTGCTGTATTTGGTGGGGTAGTGGTAGGAGGGGGAGGAAGTGTCGTGGACACCGAGGCAGTAGGTTCAGTATGCGGTAAAGACGCTCGGGCCTGGGCCTGCTGACCATGCGCTTGGCTTTGCTGCTGTGGCTGTGTTTGTGTCGCCTGTCGAGGTGATGCACAGCAGAGAAAGAGTATGATATGGGCCCACCATGGAATGGGTGGTGACTGGGCAGGTGTTGCACCTGGTGCACTAGTACCAGGAGGGCGTGTGCGTGACTGTTTTTGTACCTGCCGCGGAGCAACAGCCAATGGCTTGAGAGAAATCATTGAGCCACCGTGATTGAAAATAGACGAGAAGACATACCTTCTTGTCCCGTACTGCAGCAACTTCCACAATGCGAGGACCGCGAGAGAATATGGACCGGTTTGAGCGTTGCTGGAGTTCGGTTGCTGCATCGGCATTGGATCGAGAGTGGTGGAAGAAGGACGAAAAGCGTTCGAGAAGGGCATGTATATTCGCAGAAGAGGGTGCGAGAGCGCTGCGAGGGTGGTATGCGGAAGAACGAGGATGGGTAACACGAGCCGTGGAGGACTGAGTACAGATGTTAGAACGAGAACTAGTCAAATATGAAGACGACTCACCTGGGGGCCATTTTGCATGCCATCGAAAAAGCCTGGCGATATTCGACGGGCTTGAATAGGTGGACGTCGGGTAGCACTGCTCTAGAGTGACGAGCTTAGAATGGTTGAAAAGATGAAGAAACTAGGCACGTACGTCCTTCAATGACTTTCGAGCTGGGACCTGCAAGTGGAAGATTAGTGCGATTTGAAGAGCATAATACTTAGACTCACATGAGGAATGGGTAGTAGGTGTTCAAGGCCAGCGTCTTTGAGGATGGCGTGAATGTCCCATGTGTACGCATTTTTCAAGTGACCAGTGACCAGTACTTTTCCATCAGTCGAAAGGGCTGCGCAATTCACCCAACCTTCGTGTTGAAGGGGTGGTCCGATTATGAGGTTGGTGTCGAGATTCCATAGACGCACTGTTCCATCTATCGATGCACTTGCAAGGAGGCGGTCGTTCTGAGACAAGGTGATGGCATAGACTTCGTGTTTATGACCCTTCAGAATGGCGATCTGCTCCCAAGTGGCTGTGTCGAATATCCTAATTGGGCGTTTTGACGCGGAGATGAGCTTCTTTCCATCAGACGTCCAAGCCAAGCTGTTAGCTATCCAATCGTGTTTGAGTGTGGCGAGCAGTTTGCCTGTCTTTGCATCCCAAATTCTTACTCCGTCCTTCAAGTTGGATCCTCCAGTGGCAATTTGTGTGTTATCGGGCGAGCATATCACCGTGTACACATACTTGAGCCCGGTCTTGATTTCCAGAATTGTTTTTCCGGTCTTGACATCCCAGACTCTTGCTGTCCCGTCCCAGGATCCGCTCCCTACTCGTTTACCATCCACACTCCAGCAGACTGATGCCACTCCCTTAGTGTGCCCTGTCCACTTTGCAACAACCTTTCCCGTCTCGACGTCCCACAACTTCACTTTCCCATCGCTACTTCCGCTAACGATAGTCTTGCCGTTTGGCGACAGTGTCATGCCGCACACCGTTTCATCCTTCTCACCATCTCGCCAGTCCTCGCCTATCTGTGCGTTGCCCTCCAGGTCCCATAGTCGGAGTGAGCCGTCCCACGAACATGTGATGATGTGTCGTCCCTTAAGCAGGTGCACAACACCTTGTACCCTGTCAGTATGGCCTCGCATCGTCCTGCGGGGCATGATCGCTGGCGTCTCTTGCATCTCTCTAGGGGAAGACATGGTTAGCGCTGGAGGTCTCAAGTATGCAGATCGTGCAATATGTGCACGAGAAAAGTCCGCCGTGATCTTTCAATAAGAGCAAGTTGTCTGTCGACCACAAATATTGGCGATCACCCAGAAGTTAACTTCGGAACTATATGAGCTGCGGGTGTAGTTCGAGAATGCGCAAGAGGTCCTTGCGGGTATGTAAAGTCGCTGGTGAGCAGGTGGTCGTTGCAGAAGACTCTTGAGTATCACTCACCAGATTCACCGTTTAGACAAACACAATGTTCGATTACCAACGACTAGTGGGCGTTTAGATTGGAGTCGAGGAAGTTAAGCACCTGTTTGTTTAAGCTGTATTTTTAAAGGTTCGTCCCATGTGTTATCCTCGTGTTCACTTTACGCCAAGTGCTGTGTGGATGAAGCGCTCAGGTCCGTAACTGACGCTATGTGCATCTTTCCGTATCAATAGATGGTAGCAACAACGTTCGACGGGGAGTCGCGTCTCTCTACTATACTACTTCAGATGTTTCTTCCGGCCTGTTTTCGAACTCAATGTCGTCAAATCTCCAACGTCTTTGCGGGTTGCGCAGCATGTCGTCACCTGATGCTGTGTTCGGAAGCCTGCTAGTTATGGTGCTCATATTATTTTTTTCTGATGGCCCCCTCCCTCGTCATCTTCGATACCAGTGCCTTGTGATGCCAGGATGAACCAATCATGTAAGAGCCAGTTCGGTAACCCAAGGTAAGGTGAGTTTGCCACCTTGAAACGATTATATAATGTCGGCGTTGTAGATGCCGATGACTGAGTCTCAATTGAATATCAGTAGTACTAGACTTGTTATCGATGATCTATCAGACCATTGCTCACTGTATTGATGGATGCCATCAACCCATTAATCCAACAGCTGACTCTGGCTCAGGCTGCTCAGCCGCCAGGTGGTCGGGCATCCAAGCAAGATCACGCACGAATTCTCCAACATATTGCACTGGTTGTCAGTGTCCTTCTTACTGCTACAGAGTCCTTGCTAGAAGACTCTATACCCGAGCCATATCACACATTGGCCCTCTCAGGTCAAGGGTGGGTCATGGAGCTCATTTTGGGCCACCCAGAGCGTATGCACTGTGAACTTGGGATGCACACAGATGTATTTCACTCGCTTATAGCGGAACTTCACACCTTGGGTCATGCAAATTCGTGCTATGTTTCCCTTGAAGAACAACTCGCCATCTTCCTATACACGTGTGTTACGGGACTGACCATCCGCCATGTTGGTGAGCGCTTTCAACGGTGTAATGATACCATCTCAAAGTAAGTCAATTGTTATTGTTATATATGATACTAACGAGCTCACACTTAATTGTAGATATTTCCGCAAGATGTTGACCATTTTCGCATCTCCCCCATTCTACACCAATCATGTACACTCTCCTGACGACACCTACCACGCCCCACACAAGATCCGTAATGACCCTAAGCTCTGGCCCTATTTTAAGGACACTGTTGGCGCGATTGACAGTAGTCACATCCACGCTCACCCCCCATCATTTGATCGTCCTGCATATCGGAATCGTAAAGGATTCCTTTTGCAAAATTGTCTCTTCGCCTGCGACTTCGACCTCACATTCTCTTACGCTCTCACTGGCTGGGAGGGATCCGTTACAGATGCACACCTTTATGATGAGGCTCGTTCAGGTGGCTTGTATATCCCTCCCAGCAAGTATTTTCTGGCAGATGCGGGGTTCCCTTTGTGTCACGAGCTCTTAGTGCCCTACCACAGTGTCCAGTATCATCTAGCTGAATGGGGGCGTGCTAATACCAGGTATGTTTTATTTCTTTTTACTTGAAGCTTCCTAATATCTATTCTATGTTTGCAGACCAGTCAATAAAGAAGAGTTATTCAATTTGCGACACGCATCTGCTCAAAATGTGATTGAGTGCATCTTTGGCGTGTTAAAACGCCGTTTTCGCATTCTCTTACTGTCACCTGAGTATCCTATGACCATCCAGGCACGTATACCTGCCGCGTTATGCGCGATTCACAACTTTATATGCGCCCACAAACCTGATGAAGGAGAGCACGCGGATGACGATGAACACTTCGATTATGATAACCCTGAGCACCAAGGGATCCCTCAAGACAAAGGAGTTTGAAGAGGATGGAAGCATGAAGGAAGCGCGTGAACGTATCGTGCGCTGCATGTGGGAGGATTATCAAGGCATTTTGCAGCAGTGGGGTTCGTCAGATGATTCCTTTGATGACAGTGACAACGAGATGTAGTAGCACATACAATTCATTCATTTATTCATGCAACTAGTAAGACAATTGTACCGCTAAGAATTGGACCCAGGAGGCAGTATCATAGGTTGGATTCCCAACCGCTGGGCCGTTGAGATAATGAAAGCATGGTGCATCTCCTTGTCAGTGGTTTGTGTATATATGTCAGTAGCTGCAGGGTCCATAGCAAAAACTTGTTGCATCATAAGCCGCTCCGCGAATGGCAAGTCAGCATCATCAACCTGCAACATCTGCATGGCCCTTGAGCGCTGGTCCATCACCCGATCCTCGGGATAGACCATGCGCTCAGAAATCACATCCGTTAAGCGGTTAACAGAGCTCTGGAACCCCATCACAGCTACGGCAGTGGTGGTCTTCGACATCTTGACATCCGCTGTACCACTACCCCCAGTGGCACCGCTCCGAGTCTGTGCACGGCCTGATGTTGTCTTTGCTCTTTTGAGAGAGCCTGGCTTAGAGGGAGGCAGCGGCATCTGAGGGTCTTCGTCTCGCATAGAAACCGAGGTAGAAGGAAGTGAGGTAGTTGACTCTTGAACCATGTCAGAGTGAGAGCGTTTGGAGCTAGGCCAAGATACTAAGGATGTGGAAAGGGTGTTATTGCTGTCAATAGAGGCGGGACGTCGAGAAGTAGGAATAGAAGTAGGGGCAACCACTGCAGGGGTGGCGCTGGGACCAGCAGGAGCAGCACTGACACTAGAAGTAGCAATGGTGGCGCCCATGGTATGATTTTCAGCTGCTGGTATGCTAGCGCGGAAGCTTGAGCTTAAGGGAGGGGGAGCTGTATGCGGTTGGTACCCGGTATGCCCTCGCGCGCCACTGTTTTTTGGTATGATATCATCCATTTGCTCAAAGTATCTCCATCCCGATACACGAAAAGGGCGCATGTGCGAATTTCCCTAGATATAAAACAGTAAGCTACCAGTACAAAATGTAGATGACACTGTGAACCGGACATACCTTCTTTGTAATATATTCGTTCCATACCGTGGTTGCACCCCTGCCCGTGATATTGGCTCCTCTGACATTATCCCAGTGGACACCAGACGTCTGGTGATACTTCTGAATAGCGTTATAGATCTGTTTTAACTATACAATATCTAATCAGTCTATATCTAAGCGATATATTGGTATATGATTTACTGCTCCCCATTTCGTCTTGCACATCGTTCCAGTCTTCTGTGGACCCTGCTGCAGGTGCGCAGCAATAGCCTCTGCAGCACCATTGTATGTTACATCTTTGAAGTTACCGGTGTCAGCGACCTTCTCCCGATTGTCATACAGGTATTGGACAAGCTGATCAGTCTCTGTGTCAGTCCAGACCACCCTGTCTGCATGAGATGATTGCTGAGCCATAGAAAGAATGTGGACTTGAGCAGATAACACTATAGACACGACACTAGCCCAGATGTCATTCCAATCTCGTAGATCTTTAGTCGTATACCGAGGTATGCATGCAGACATGTCAAAGGGAAGTTCAAGCTCCGTCATCAGGCTTCAAACCGGGACCACCATGCCAACATTATATAATCGTTTCAAGGTGGCAAACTCACCTTACCTTGGGTTACCGAACTGGCTCTAATGGTCACTATCTCAGACACATCTACTGAGGTCAACACCTCGCGACTTGCGTTTTCAACGACCTTAGGTCGAATTAACTTCACTTCGTGCGAAAACGAATATTCTACTGTATTGCCCTTCTACCCCCGTTTCCTGTTTCCTTCTCTTTCGGCCAACTCCGCCAATCAACGTACTTTCCCACACCACCTTTCGAGGTTCGAGAACCACATGATGCCTTCCCGTCAGGAGAATGATCATCACCGAGTCCAGCAATCAGTCCACGCATGTTCATTTTTCACAGTGGATTGAAATCACGATCGACATTTGCTTGATCTCTTTCGGATCAGATCATCGAGAAAAGGTATTCTCTGCGAAATCAATCTCGACCATCTTTTGAGGTTCTTGATTCTTCCGGGGATTGCTTAGGATGCATCATGCCACGCCACTATAGTCGAGAAGCATATGAAAAGTACTGAGCTTGATCCGCTATGTTACAGAACTAGGGTGGAATTTTCAAGGTCATTGGACGTCGCTTGTCAGGCCCCATCCCACATATTTGCAGTCGCAACGCTACAATTGCACGACTCAGATCAATGTATGCGTATATGTACATCGTGGTGGGCGACTTGTTGATACGATGTGAGGTGCACTAGTACTACATCCATGCTCATCCATCACACAGACAAGGAAGAATTCATCTCCGTTGTCACTGCAATCGACTGCCATGGCTAAAGCGTGTCATTAGGTCCTCAATGACACCAGAACTAGCACCGACCTTGACAAAACGAGAAGGATGCACAGCTTCGTCGTCGGGATGTTTAAGCACGTCCTTCCGGGATGCCTGGAGCTCGTCTTCCGACGCTCTAACGTGCAGCTCCGGGCGGTAGACCCTACCGCGGTTGTGGAATGGGTGAGGATTGTTCGTGTCTGAGTTAACCTGCGTGTAGTATCGCGCGTTCAAGAGTGCGAGGAACGAGTTGACATATACTTGAAATAGGACCGCTGGTCAGCACGATTTTAGGAAAAGGCTTTAGCCATACATTTAGCCAATAAAAATTCAATGGCGAGGAAGATGAAGTTGGTCGGCATGACTGCGCACTGTAGGTCCTCAGAGAAGAGATGGACAATACAATCCCTGGAAGCTTACCGTAATTATAGCTGCCAATGAACATATGCTGCATAAAATATTAATCAAGATATGGGATAGCCTTGAAGGAGGAATACCTCGTCAGACAGCCGGTATTAATGATATAAGCCATGAGCTTCGTTATCAAGGAATCGGTACTAAGCATTTCGTATCAGTAGTATCTCAGCGCCAGGTAATGAATGGACCGCTCCTTACCTAGAGAATCCAGTACGGGAAGTGGCCAGGAGGTAGCATAGTGATGATGCGATAACGATGTCGGCAAAAGCAATCGAGCCCAAAGTCATGAACGTCGTCCATTCGGCATTAAGCAAATCCGAGAACACATGACACTGATATCTACACACTATCAGCACTTCGTGTAGCTAGGGAGTACACAGTTTGACTCACACGGCCCAAATAAGGGCTGGCATTGGGTTAAAATGATGAGCCAACAACAAGAGCATCGTTTAAACAATTACCGATGGCGACACCTGAAGGGATCCGAGTCTTCAAGATCGAACGAAGAGCATTTCCAGCTAACAGACTTACCTGAGTTTGAGAATATGATTATGCCCTAACAAGGAATCAACAGAATGAAATGCTGTAGAACTTATATCAATTATAAACCTACTACTATAATAGGGAGCCTGAGGGTTCTTGATTGGCCCTTGCTAACTAGATATATCGCGTCAGTCGTAGAAATACATCGATAGGGAGACACATACTTATCCATATGCGGTAAGCATACAGGCTATGGTGCAAGAATGTATTATGTATTAATTATAGGTTGCACGTCACATTCCACTTACAGATTTACCCCATAGACAATGAAAACCTGTAGAAGTGCGTGACTGAGGTGCACCGCAGAGCTTAGCAAATACAACTCACCTCAAGGATTATCTGAAGCTGTATAAACCCATAAATATCACAGTACTACGAGTCTGAACCAAAGTAAGAACTCACTTTAAAACTCCATACAATTTCCGTGAGCTCACTGACGTTTGCATAGTTGATCACTAGATAATAGTAGACGCAGTGGGTGATCAAGGCCAGGTGCAGAGCATCGAGTATCCTAAGGTTTCAGGGGTTGAACTCCGTAATCTCGACGCGCTCGATAATGGCAACACCTACCAGAGCCAGATGACCTGACATGGCGTTCAGAGCAGAATTGATAGAAAGTGGATGATAAACGTACAGCCAGCTTATATAATGTCATCCCTGTGCCACTATGCGTCTGAAAGTAGATGAAAGCTTGACCGCTGCATAGACCAAAGAGACTGTTCCGCAAAATAAGTCAGGACGACAGGAAACGCACAGCTTTTGCTGCATAACGAGCAAATCGGTTACGAACACTCCTGCAAGGGTAACCGCAATAAAAAGTGCCCCGAACGTCCTCCCGATGTCAAGTTGTGGGATGAGGTCCTGCGCCGAGGAAGACATTGTTGGTTGCAATCTGCAATGCGTCTAGGTGTTAAGTGAGGCTACAGTGCATTGCCACCTGGGGTCTTACAGATGTGGCGAATCCTGCGCAGGTGTCTAACAGAGTCATTGACAACTGGATTTATGTAAAAAAAAACCCTGTGATGCCGCTGATGCGCACTGGTATGGACCGTATGGTTCCGCTGATAACGGAGGCACATCTATCACATGTTTGGTTGCCGTATCAGCCGTGGCACATCAGATGATCAGGCTAGCATGACACCAGTTTTGATTGCCCGTGACTCCAAATCCGAGGCTAAGATGAATTTGACAACTTGAATGACGTGTATGGAAAGCTGGACACTCGTGCTCAATTAATATTATTACATAAGCGCAAGCAAGTACAGATGGGGCCATGGGCCCCACATCACCTCGGGCAGCACTTCTCGGTGCCCATAAGGGTCTACGAGACCGCTATGGGAAACTAGTCTCTCCCGCCATCTAATTATAGTTTATGCTCTGTGGACTCGTCCTGGTGGAAACTACAACTCTCGGGACAACTTGAAGTTACAGGGTTCAATAATGCGATAGACTCTCGCAGTTGTGAGGAGTAGACTGGCTCACTAGCCAATGAGGACCTTGGCAGGAATTGCCCCACATACGGCAATCAGGCTAGAAGCTGGGACAAACTTGCCTTTGGGGATTTGAGACCGCAGAGTTATAATAGTCACGCGTTTGAAGGTGCCGATGAAGACCGACCCGCAGTCATGTTCACAACAGAGCGCCTAGTCCTACGTGGATTTGAAGACGACGACCTAGATAATCTTCTCGCGCTCCGCAACGATGCTCGCGTTATGCGAGGGGTGACTGCCGAACCCATTGCTCCGCGACCAACGAAATACAAAGAGTTCCTCAAAACTCTCGCAGAGAACTCGACCATCTGGTTCACCATCGTCCATAGGGAAACGGGACAATTCATGGGGCAATGCAGTATCAAAGTGGTAGAGCCTGTGAAGAACCGGGATGGATTGTTCGGGATATCGATGCTTCCAAAGTTTTGGGGAAAGGGTTATGGCACGGAGGCGACGAAATTTACTGTAGATCATGCGTTCAGAGCGCTGGGAGTTCAACGCATCTCGTTGAGTGTATTGGAGGGAAATGAAGCCGCCATCGCGGTTTACAAGAAAATGTGAGGCAATTCATACAATGCTACAGGATAAAAACTGATGACTTGAGGCAGCGGATTCAAGGAAGAGGGTAGGAAGCGACGAGCAAACTGGATCGATGGCCATTGGGAAGATAGTTTGAGCATGGGTATTTTGGACGAAGAGTGGGCTGAGATGTATTGGAAGAATTGAATCAACAACTCACATCAAACTAATACCACACCCACCACTAGTGACTACTGCCATGAAAAGTCGCTAGTACTGTAGATCAACTCTTTCTACATGTCCTACATAGAGTGCACCTCTCAATTGGACATAAAAAAACTCTTTCTACGCAAGTTATCTCGAATGACCTAATATATATAATTCTAAGCTGGCGGTGATACATTTAGCCTACGGAAACTGATATAGTGGACTAGATCGATCTCTCTCGTTCCAATTTGATAAGAGCTCGCAAGAAGACGGATAGACAATACTATACGCATGCTCATCCATCACACAGACGAGAAAGAATTCATCTCCGTTGTCACTGCAAGAGCCGGCTCCTGTGGCTAAAGCATGTCATCAAGTCATCAATGACACAAGAGCTAGCACTGACCTTGACAGATCGAGAAGGATGCACAGTATCATCGAGATGTTTAAACAAGTCCTTCCGGGATACCTGGAGCTCATCATCATCCAACGCCCTAACGTGCAGTTCCGGGCGGTAGACCCCGTGGCGGTTGTGGAACGTGTCAGAATTGTTAGTGTCTGTGTTAACCTCCGTATAGTATCGTGCGTTCAAGAGTGCGAGGTACGAGTTGACATATACTTGAAATAGGACCGCTGGTCAGCACGATTCCAGGAAACAGCCTTGGTCATACACTTAGCCAGTAAAAATTCAATAGCGACAAAGATGAAGTTGGTCGGCATGACTGCGCACTGTAGACTCTCAGAGAAGAGATGGACAATACAATCTCCGGAAGCTTACTGTGATTATAGCTGCCATCGAACACATGCTGCATGAAATATGAGTCCAAGATATGGAATGGTCTGCAAGGAGGAATAATACCTCGTGAGACATCCGGTGTTAATGATGTAAACCATGAGCCTTGTTATCAGGGAATTGGTGCTACATATTTCGTATTAGTAGTATATCAGAGCTAAGTAACGAATGGACCGCTCCTTACCTAGAAAACTCAGTACGGGAGGTAGCCAGGAGGTAGCATAGTGATGATGCGATAACGACGTCGGCAAAAGTTATCGTGCCCAAAGTCAAGAATGTCGCCCACTCGATTTTGTTCAACTCCGAGAACATGCTGCACTGATATCTATTCTCTGTCAGCACTTCGCGTAGCTAGAGAGTACAAGTTTCACTCACAAGGCCCAAATAAGGGCTAACATCGGGTTAAAATGATGAGCCAACAACAAGAACATCGTTTAAACAATTACCGATGGCAACACCTGAAGGGATCTTCAAGATCGAACAAAAGAGCATTTCCGTGTAATAAACCTACCTGAGTTTGACATTATGACTATGCCCTAACAACGAATCAACAGAATGAAATGCTGTAGAATCTATATCAATTGTAAACCTACTACTATGATGGGGAGAATTCTTGATCGGCCTTGGCTGACTGAGTACATTGCATCAGTCGTATAAATTTATCGACAGGGAAACACAGACCTATCCATATGCGATAAAGATACAGGCTATGGTACGATAGTGTATTAATTAGATGTCGCACATCACATTCTGCAAATGAAACATACGAATGTACCCCTTGAATGATTAGAACCTGTAGAGTGCGTGACTGAGGCACATCACAAGAGCTTAGCAAATACAACTCACCTCGAATAGTATCTGAAGCTGCATAAGCCCATCAATATCATAGTAAGGGCTGCACGGAAGACAAAAGTAAGAACCCACCTTAAAACTCCATACAACATCCATGGGCGCAGTGATGTTTGCATAGTTGCTCACTAGGTAATAATAGACGCAGTGGACAATGAAGGCCAGGTGCAGAGCATCGAGTATCCTAAAATTTCAGGGAACTCCGTAATCTGGATGCGCTCGATAATTGCAACTCGAAAGAATGCCTACCAGAGACAGATGACCTGACATGGCATTAATAACAGGACTAACAGAAGGTGGTACAAACGTACAACCAACTTATAGAATGTTGTCCCTGGGTCCCTATGTGTCTGAAAGTAAACGAAAGATTGAACGCAGCTTAGACCAAAGAGACTGTTCCGCAAAATAAGTCAGGACGACAAGAAACACACAGCTTTGACTGCGTAACGAGCAAATCGTTTACGAACACTGCTGCAATGGTAACCCCAATAAAAAGTGCCCCGAATGTCCTCCCGATGATAATGTCCGAAGGCTGCGTTGAGGAAGACATTCAAGTTGTTAACTATAATCTCTAAATCCCACAAGGCATTTAAGTATTGATTAGCTAGCGCATTGCAGTGCGGGCTCGGAGGGTACACCTGTCACATGTAGTAATTGAAGCACAGCCTGAGCTCGCAGTGGAGATACGAAGGCATCACCGTAGTAATGATCGGGGCGCCACGCATCAGCAAAAGACCCATAATTTTCGCTTGTCAGAAAGAAGTTTGATGCTTACGGTGAGCTTACGGCGTTGGTGATGGAGCGACGCGATTGGTGGGACAAAGTTATCTGTCGTAAAATGTAAATTTAATGACGTGGTAGCGTCACGACTGTTAAATGGGGAGAAAATAATGGTATTATATTGAAATTCCTGTTTGGAACTACTAGTCTAGGGTTCGGAATGCATCGGAATGCATTCCGAACCCTAGACTAGGGCCATTTGTGATCAGCAGTGATGACCGTTATACATCAGTAAACTACAAATTTCGTCACAGACATCAACATTTTCGACAGTTCCCACAGTAACCCACAGAGGGACAGCGCTCACAGCAAACCTCTCCCAGGCAGAGCAATTTCACACACTGCTTGGTATTTTACTTTCAAATTTGTTAAGTCCCGCATTACATGTACTACTTTAATCAAACTTTTGCTAGTACTCTATACTCTCAAACTCGACCCTCATCATGCAACTATTATAGACGACGGCATCAACATGCAACGACTCGCCAGCCGCCGCTCACCATCAATATCCTCTGCCTGCACCCTCTCACACCCTCTCGCAGATTTTTTTCTTTATTTTTCATTCATTTTCACTAATTAGTAGTAATTACAACCTTCCCGCACACTGTCAGGATGTGCGTGATATCTTTTTCGACCTACTTACTCGACGCTGATGGTGCCATGGCCATGTTCTGCTCTCAGAATGTCGTTTTCACTTGTTCTCACTCAGCCCTCACTCATTCTGACTTGTTCTCGCCCGTTCTGACTCGTTCTGACTTGTCCTTGCTCGTTCTGATTCATCCTTGCTCGTTCTGGCCCGTTTGGACTCGCCCTCACTCGTTCTGGCCTGTTCTGATTCATCCTTGTTCGTTCTTACTCATTCTGGCCCATTCTTACTCATCCTTGCTCGTTCTGGCCCGTTTTGACTCGCCCTCGCTCATTCTGGCCCATTCTGACTTGTCCTTGTTTGTTCTGACTTGTTCTTGCCTGTTCTTACTCGTCCTCGCTTGTCCTTGCCCATTCTGACTCATCCTCGCTCGTTCTAGCCCGTTCTAACTCGTCCTCACTCATTCTGACTTGTCCTTGCTTGTCCGTGCTTGTTCTGGCCCATTCTAACTGGTCCTCGCTTGTCTGCGCTCAGTTCTCACTTGTAGGTAGTACCCACGGGTAAACCCCTCAACTATGATACTGACAACGACGATAACGACAACGACTCGACTGATGATGATGACAACTCAATGATAATGACGACAACTCGACGATGACGATGACAACGACAACGACAACATCGACTCAACGAACGACTCGACTCCAATGACTTGACTCCTCCAATGACTCGACTCCTGACGACTCAATGACAACGACTCAATGACAACGATGATGATGACTCAACTCCTCCTCCTCAACGACAGCAACAACAACAATGACAACAAGTGACAACCCAATAATGATGATGATGACAACGACAACGACACAACGACAATGACGACGATACGGCACAATGAAGCGCTGCATTTGCACGACGTCCGTCATAGATTACTTAATGTCTAGTAGTACTTGTTCATTTGCAATGCATTTGTTTTCATTTACTTTTATGTGTAACTTGAGTTGCAAAAAAAGCGATTTCTAATATATTCTGTGTAACTAGAGGGCTACTGTGGAGCTCTGGGAAGCTCTGTACAGAGCTGTACAGAGATTTACAGAGATGAGCCTGTCTGTCCAGTGGGGACCAAGCTGTGGCTCTTGTGAGCTGTACAGCTCTGTACAGAACAAAGCAGTTTACTGATGTAAAAGATCGTAGCAATCATACATGGTATCATTCAATGGCGCTGTCACTACTAAGATGAGCTACTGACATGTCTATGTGAACTCTGTGCTAAATGTATGATAACTTTCCTTATCAGTGAAGCTGTTCAGAAAAAACCAATCATAGCTCTCCAAAGAGGTGGCCGAAGAAATCTTCTCGTCCACCTTGTTACCATATTCTGGTATCAATTCGACAGTGTGTGTTACATCCGTCAATGACACCACACCACCACACCTATAGCGTTCGCCATGTTGGTCTATCATGTATGTGCGCTCTACCGTCCACATTGCAAGTTCTGGACAATCGTTGGGATTAGCAACACAATGGAAGAATTGGACTGTAAAGGAGTGGACTGGAGAGGAACGTCGGCAACACTAGGTTCGAAGCTCGCGGAATCTTTGGCTGAAAAATAAGGCGAACTTGTGCAACACGACTGGCTGAAATTCATCCCGAGTTAGTGTTAAAACACGACTGCAAAAATAGACTTACTAGTTTGGCCGTCATCACCCATGACATTGATTAGGACAGTATCGCAATTTCCGAGGGGGAATGCATCACTCGGTGGGTATGCTTGTACCACCCTGCTCGGCATGATGACTCTGTGACTGAAAAGCAGAGTGAAGCTGTAGTCGAAAATTTATTCCATGTGCGAAAGCGTCCATATCTGTGGTCCCAGCGGGTATGCTCGCCAGTGGAGAGGGATAGCTGATCAATAAACCGAGAGAGCGTGTGATCGAAGTCAAGAAGTGAATATTTGGTCTGAATACTGACAGGGTGTTAGAGCATTGAAATCTGGTGTTAAAGTTAAATGGAATGGCAGTGAGAGCATCTTCAGAAAGAATGCCCTTAGGAAAATGATTCCAAACTGGCCGAGGTCCATGAACAGAGTGCGCTTCATCAGGGAGAACGCGAAGAAACCCAGGAAAGTGCTGGATTAACGGTTGTCACTTCTTCATCTTCAATGTGTATGGCATTGACGAGTGATGTGCCACGAGAATAGGATAGCGTGTACAGGTTAAATAGTTCCATGGACTCCTGGCGATTGAGGATCCGTACACACTGTTCCGTAAAATCAGTAGACCGCCGATTTGTGCGCTCTGAAGAGATGCTTGCAGTGTGTGATGAGTAAGCGCTCTGTCATATCAGCCGAAAACTGCATCAACGTGCCCAGTCTCTCAACCGTGCCTCGGAAGCTTTGCAATAGCTCGAGTTTCGGGATGAAAAAATCTTCTTTAACACCCTTCTTTCCCCTCCTTGCCCCAGCATCAATGATAGCATCCTTGAATGCGTGAAAATCTGAAGCGCTTGAACCATTGAATGCAGGGAATTAGGAGAATGAACAGGATTCTGAGCAAGATAAATGAACTCTATGAGCGCACGGATTGAACGAATAAATCTGGGTGCAGCGACGCCTGCAATTGAAGCAACAATGGTGCGTTGAATGTCTCGGTGCTCCCGCCCTGTCATTTGGTTGACATGGGTGATGCCTTTGGTGAAGTGCTGTGTTCCTACCCGTTTATGCTGAACCATGAAGCGAGCATCGAGCTCGCATTTTCCTACTGTCTCCTTGACCCAATTGAGTGGATGGTCTGCGAAAAACTTGATGCAGGTATGCAAAATTTCACTGGTGAGAAAGACGGATGGGCATGCAAACATCCAATTGCTCCAATATGGCATGTGAACTCCGGACAGGTGAGCCGCTTTTGCTGCCTTCTGGAATTTATCGAGATCCCAAGGATCAACCTCTTTGGAGATCTCATAGATAACCTGGAGCGTATGATGCCCAGTGCGAGGAGGGTAGAGAACACCATCACCAAAATTTGCTTGTATTGTCATAGTGATAGGAGATGCACTTTTACTGACCACAGCGATCATTGTAGCCTCTGGCAGGTCACATACGTGAGCGACAAGTGGTGTAAAGACATAGCAAATATATCGGGAAGGATCGGGCATAAAACAACCATCCTCTGCAGTGATCTTGAGGTTGGCGCAGACAAGATCGACACATTTGTGCCATAACCGTGCCTGCAAAATGCCCTGATAGTCAGGATGCACACAAAACTTAGCAATAGGCATGTAAGCAATACAATGCCAAGCTCGTAGTGTGGCCTTAGAGCGAACTTCTGAGTCCAGGTTACCAATCGTGATGAAGAGCGGGTGCATCTCGAACCCTCCAGTGATGCGTGTCACAGGTGTTTTATCCGATCCCAAGATAATCGGTACTTGTGTAGTGCCTACTGGTAGATGGTCCTAAGAACACAGAATCAGTCTTTGAACAGGCAAACAAATAAAACTGACCTGGATTTTCCATGCCATATCAGCGCTCATATAGTCTCCATATTCACGCTGACCTCTGGTATTGACAACATGCGGCTGAAAGGTGATGTGATTGGCAAAAACGGGATCACTGAAGAGTTGTTTGATGACCTCTAAAGCATCACGCCAGATGAGTTGTACAGGATAAGTCGTCTTGTAGCCTGTGAACTCTATGTTTGAGACCTTCCATGGCACAAAAGAGGGGAGTGCATCGACCCAGTCTAGAAGTTGGTCTTTCGAGGTGAAAGATGGCCTTGGGCGGGTGTGAAACTGTAAACATAGACTCGGGGTCAGACCTGTCAAATAGTGCTCTGAGTCAAGTCCTATCCTACCCATTTTAACTTCAAAAACTTGTCAATCTGAGTTTGAGTTAGGTTCTCAACTAAAAACCTTCCCAGTTCCCACTCTCCTTCGTCGTGGAAAGGGTAATAAGTGTTTATTTTCCTCCGATAATCATATTCATCTTCTTGCAACCTGTCAAACAGGTTTTTGCCGACACCAAAGACATACCCAGCTTGAGGATGATAATGACCAGTGGTAGAAGATGTTGATGAATGAGAACCTCGCAATCCAGGTGGAATTGGGAATTGTTGTGGACATGATTCATGCGGCCAACAGGTAGACTGAGAATTAAGGTGCAGGATAACTGCGTCAATGGAAGGGAACTCCACATTGCAATTGGGACACAGACTGGCATAGGTATGTTAGTCTGGATCATAATAAAGCGATAGAAGATACTCACATTTGCCAAAGCTAACCAGATGGCTGAGCAGTCTTCTTTCCTTGTTAGCTTTGCTGATGCTTGCAGTGCTAAGTCTTTCAGACTCCGCAGACTGTGCATTCGCAGGGCATTCCCATACTGATATCAGCCTATGATATTACTAGGTTTCTTTCATATATCAGTAGGTTTCTCCCAGCGTTAAGTTCAAAGTGCTTATAGACAATGTCTTCTCCATCTCACTCTCAGCCCAGTAGTCCCCCCACAGTCTCATCTCCTCCTCGCCCCAGTAGTCCCCCCGGTCCTCCATCAAGCAGCCCTCCATCTTCTCCTCTATCCAGCAGATGTGCCACCACTCCTGGATCGCCCCTTTGTTATTCTGGCTCCAAGTCAGGGAGCTCCCCCAATACTATGCATTCTGACTTATGTGCTTCACCACAAAGCACAAGGCGAGAAAGAAGACTTGGGACGCCTAAGCCTGCTGCAGAGACGGATAGTATATTATTTGATCCGTTTTAATCTCCAAACCCTCAACGCGCTGCTCGACACCAGTTCATACATGACAGAATGAGCAAGAAGCAGCATCCGTATCCCATGTATCCAGCTCCAATCAAGGTCCGTTATGCAGCCCGTGTCATGGGGCGAGAGCCCAACCCGTATGTATCATTTGAATCACTTCTCAAGGTATGATATATTTCTTCCCTCAAATTACAAAGATTGATTTTTTATGTTTAAAAAGCACACTGGAAACTTGGAAAATGGCCTTGCACAACTGCATCCATCAACCTTGTACAAGGGATACAAAGCCAAGCTTGCTGCTCACGAGACTGCCCGCCAGCGCCTTGTGGTAACTGCATAGGAAATTGAGGAATCAGAACGCTTCACTACTTTCCTTGATGCCTTGCATGCTGAAAATGAAGAACATTTTGGGTTAGCAGACGAGGAGTTGCAGAGCTTTAGAAGGTTTTTTTCTGAGTGTGACCGCGTGCAAGTTACAACAATAGAGATTACCTTCAAGCCATCTATGAAGATGAATGCGAAATCCTTCGTGTTACCTCAGCTTAAGCTGAACAGATCTCAAAGATCTTAGGTTCACGAGTCAAAGGTGCATTCTTGCAATCCGGCACTGCGGAATCGCAATCCCAGCTCTCTAGTCCTGAGATCAATGATGATGAAGATAACGGTCACATTATTCTAGACGATTCCTCGGACCTGGATTCTGAAGAAGAAGAGTGTCTCGGGGTGGGGGCTGGCGAACTGCCTCATGATGTGATTAGCTCCATCATGTGAACATGATCGGTGGCTATCCAGCCGCATGCCCTTCCAATCGTAGTATGTGAAGAGATTTCTTGAATTCACTGTACAATACTGATCAATTGATAATAGGTCATGTAATATGCACGCCGCTAGTAGTGTTACTGTTTCATTATGATGACCCCTTATTGCATCGGTTTGTCACTTGCATGCTTTACTTTTACATTATACCCCTTCATCTTACCCTTCTCTAGCGTCTTCTCATTGCTTCTCGATGACATATATCTTGTTTAAGTATGATTTGTAGAGAATGCTATGCGGATATTTATCTGTACCCTCCGCCCTTACTATGCCCTCAACCACTCGAGTCCCGCCAGTATATGCCTCCCAAACACGCTAAAGGTAAAACAACGATTTTAAAACCCACTCATGGGTCTGGTCTAAACCCTGCGCACTTGCCTGCGGAGACTCAACTGCATCTCAGTGATGAACAACCACGCGAGCCTATGGCAAACACTTTCAATCCACATGAAGTGTTCAGCTCACAGTGTGTTTTTCTCTGTCTCAGTAGCTAGTACTGATACATGCGCTACTCCCAGCAGCCACAGCAATCTGTCTTTGGGTACACATGCCGGTTATGTGCCCTTCAATCATGACAACTACGACAATAACCCTGGCCCATCATCAAGCGCTCGTCCTGATCCTTTTTCAAGCGCTCACACAGGTCCATCATTAATCGCTTGCGCTGATTCACGTGACGGTTATACACCCTTTCACCACGATAACTACAACACATACGCTAGTTCATCATCGAGTGCTCATACTAATCCATATGCCAGTTATGTGCCTTTCGACCACGAAAACCGTGACACTCACAGCGTGAGCACTGATCCATCGTCGAGTGCTTACATGGGTACTGCCCCCAACTACCAATCCTTGGGTCACTTTGGTACCAGTCATGACATTCCGCCGTATCAACCCTCAAGCTCCTATGGGAACTCACTGTCTGGATATGAGAATGCGCAATCTGGCTATGAAAATCCGTATGGATCACTTGAGAGTAAGTCGCTTCCTTCATCACAAATCAGAAATGGCTGCTAATGAATCTCACAGGCCCATACAACAACCCCAATCATCCCAATGAACTTTCGGATGTTGACAATATGTCAGGTACAGCACCCAACCCACATCACATACAGGTGCCGCCATCGTTCGACAATGACGAAACTGAACCACCTCCGGAGCCCCAACGCAGTCCTCTCCCCGTTACAATGGGTGAGATACCGGAATCGCAGGTCATCCATGTAAGTTCCAACTGTGTTTCGTTTAATTCACTAAAAATTCTACATTCTAGACACTAGGACCTGCACAATCATCTAATAGATGACGTACTCGAAGGATGCCCAGCACACCATATCCCACTCACCAGAACCCTAATCCCACTCACCAGAACCCCGATCCCACTCATCAGAACCCTACTGATACTGCTGCAACAACGCAGGCGGCTGCAAGCCGTGCAGAAGCGCCAAATGAACAGCATTACTTTGAGGTCACGGGAGCTGTCCGTGATCAGATCTTCCAGCGCTCACAAGAACTCGTGGTAGGCATCATGTTTACAAAAGATGCTGTCCTGCATGATTTGGGAATCATGCATGGACATGACTACTAGTTATCCCCCTAAAAGACAAAGTCTGTTAGCTTAGTCCTCAGACTAGTCAACCCATACCTTGGTATCAAACCTTGGTCCAATAGTTTCAGTTTTCCCTCAGTGATTCATGAATCCACCATGTTTTGAAGAAAAATCATATGTGAGATGGGAATCACATAATGACCTAGTTGATATGAGAAGCAAATTGAAGGTTAAGGTATTGCCTTTCCTTTGGCTTATTCACTTTGGCTAGAGAAACCCATAGAGAAAAGTTCAAAGCCTAACAAAAACCTATCTAAAAAGCCCGCGTATTGTGTACTATTATTTGTTCCATTATTTCTGAGTTGTTTTCTCTAGTGTTTCTTTACTTTACTTTTCTATTAGGATGCTCTGACTAATCAGATCCTTCATAAAATTGTACCTACAGGGTATGATGTCATAATGATGTCATGTTCCATGGAATTTGCTAGAACATTCCAATGACTCATAATGACTCATAATGACTCAGAGTGACTCAGAATGATGTCATTATCCCACCATGAATATTCTGGAATGTTCTTTTGCACCTGCTAGAACATTCTGCTCCAGTTTTTGGAATATTCTTCTCACATTCTGAAGTCATTACATCACCTTTTTACTTACATAATATTCCCACACAAAATGTATATAAGGAGAGCCCATTCTCCCCCAAAAAATAGATCTCCCACTTGTTGCATTCAAGAATCTCCCTCTTGAGCAAATTGAACTCTCACCTAAGAAGCTTCAGTCTGAACAAATTGCTGCTTACAAAGCCCATTTCCTTTGTAAGAACTGTCCAGACAAGTGCAGGGAAAGTGTTTCCCTTGAGATTACGTAAGTTTCTCACAATAGAAACCCAGTTTTGTGAGACCAGTGTTCTCACCACATAGTTTTTGCTGACCAACACGAGCTTTGGTCACCGTTGTTATTTGTGAGACCAGTGTTCTCACCAGGTATTTGTATATTGACCAACACGAGCTTTGGTCATTGTTGTTATTTGTCATTGTTTTCTATTTGTCATTTGTTGTTATTTGTGAGACCAGCGTTCTCACCAGGTATTTGTTACAATCAAGTACGCCCCTATTCATTTTCCTTCTCTTACATCATTGTATTACATCACGATCGCATCTTGCCATCGCTAGATGATCTATTCTTGTTATCTCTGACTCGTCTCTATGATCTCATCGTGCCGGCCCTAAAGTCGTTACCATTCACTATATAAACTCGTCCTGTACTATGTAGTTCTTTACTTTAATCTTACTAGGTTTTACCTGGAACTTCCTTCGCTTAAGACCTCCAATCTTAAGTCGTATTGAACGTGATTCAAGTCGAGGACACTCTCCTTGCCTTGTCTTAAAGAAACCCTGAAACTTCGGTATACGCCGAAGCCTTGAACCGACCTTGGCTGATTACTCTTATCGAGTAGCCATACGTCAGAACCATCCTAGTTCGTAACAAAAGATTAAAGTCTTTCTACGAATACATCGCTATCACGCGTTGTAAACCCAGAACAGAACAAACCCTGGTCATCACGACAGATAGAACCCCAGGTCCCCAGAAGCTAACAAGCTGACGTCCCTGACACCAATCTTCGGCGCTTTGAACCTAGGTGCTGTACCACCCTTACCACCTTTGAACCCCCCGATGTCTTCCACGAAACCCGTTGAAATCAAAATCGGATCTCCCCCAGTCTTTGACGGGGATAGAGATAAATCTGAAGGATTCTTGATGTCATGCATGTCTTATCTCGACATCAACGAGAAAATCTATGTCGATGACAAGCAGAAGATCATTTTCGTAACCTCCTTCATGAACGAAGGGAACGCACGCTACTGGAAGGAAGATTTCCTCAGACAAGCGCAAGACCCCAACAATAAAACCACTGTAGGCCTTGTCAAAGGATACGGCACTTGGGCCGAATTCCTTGCTGACTTCAAAAGCGCGTTTAGACCGCTTGACCCCTCGGGGACTGCGTTAGCCAAGCTCCGTAACCTGAAACAAGGAACCTGAACTTCAAGATTATATCTCGGAGTTCTTGATGCTCACACGACGGGCAGGAATTCAAGGCGATGTCGCCAAGAAACAATTCTTCCTAGACGGACTACACCCAGGACTGCTCGCTCGCCTTTACGGCACGGGCGATGTCTCTGACGATTTCGAAGTTGTCCTCTCCACCTGTATCAACCTCGACAACTCACGCCTTCACCTGAACGCCATCAGGGCGCGCAACCAACCTCAGAAGAAGAAGAACTTCGGATCCAATCGATACGTACCATCTAGGGACCCCAATGCCATGGTAATTGATCGGCTTTCTGAAGAAGAACGCGCGGAACATTTCTGAACCGGAAAATGTTTCACCTGTCACAAGGCCGGACATCTTTCTAAGAATTGTCCAGAGAAGAAGAAAGGAAAGACTCCGAAGTCCGCCGTCTCAACGAGGATTTTGAATATGGGAGACTGGATCAATGTCAGTATCTCTCAATGTACCCATAAGACTTGTACGAAAAGTTGGTGAACGAAAAGAACTTCGAGTTCCCCTTTCCCTCATTTCGAAAACACGTCTGAAAACCGTTGAAACCACTGCAGTTGTTGATTCTGGAGCAGCCAGAACCTTTATCTCAGAAGACTTCGTCAAGAAACACAAGATTCGAAACCCACGCTCTTAGTAAACCTTTCCGGGTTACTACCTGCCGACGGAAGCTATTCCAGAAGCGGAGCTATACAGCCGGTACTGCGTTCTCACCATCAAGATTGACGAACGGACCATGATAGGAAAGTTTAACGTCACACGTCTTGGCAAAAGAGACCAGATTCTCCTAGGAATCCCCTGGCTACGGGCTATGAATCCGGTTATTGACTGGACAGCCGAAACTCTCATTCCTTTCTCGAACAGAGAAAAGTGATCAAGTTGAAGAAGAAGTCGACAAAGAAAGGAAGAAGAACGATCTTCCGCTTCTATTTCGACAAGAACCTATAGATCGAACCTGGAAGCAGTCTAAACTTAGGAAAGTACCAATCATCGAACACCCCTGTCGTTTATCCTAAAGCGACCATCGAAGAAATTGTTGACGAAGAAGCACCACCCGACCCTCCCATTGATCCACTCCCTGATCTACTCCCCATCCCCGATGAAGACGACGAGACCTTTGATACCAAAGAAGACGTCTGGACGCAAGAGAACTTTGCCGCACCAGTGCGAGAAGTCTCTATGTATGACTTAGATGATGACGAGTTCCTGGTGGAATACTCCCTTGACGCATCCGAACTCCGGGTAATTTCAAACGCCACCATGGATACGCCATTAACCCCAGACGGTACCAGTCGTTCTGAACAGAAATCCACGGTTAAACCCTTGCCACGGCCTACGGAATATGCGAAAGTTAGTAATAAAGCTCAGCAGTTCGCTCTAGCTGCGGGCTTAGAACAGAAGAAGAAAACTTTCGAAGAACTTGTACCCTCCTATCTCCACGACTTCGCCGATATCTTCGCTAAAGACGGTCCTCAATCAACTTCCTCCTGAACGACCCGGTATCGACCATCGTATTGAAACAAAACCCGGATTCATCCCCAAAACGTCGAAAATTTATCCCCTTTCTATCACCGAACGAACTGCCGTCAAAGCATTTATTGATGAAAACGTAAAGAAGGGTTTTATCTCGGAATCTAAATCGCCTCAAGCCAGCGGTTTCTTCTTCGTAGGAAAGAAGAGCGGAGATCTCCGACCCTGTCAAGATTATCGGTACATCAATGATTGGACGATTAAGAATGCCTATCCTTGCCGCTTCCCTTATCCCTGGTCGCACGGTTACACGGAGCAAAGTATTTCACCAAGATGGATGTCCGATCCGGTTATAATAACATCCGTATTCACCCTGACGATAGATGGAAAGCTGCGTTCACCACGGAATTCGGACTCTACGAGCCGAATGTCATGTTTTTCGGGCTCTGCAACTCCCCGGCTACGTTCCAAGCCTACATGAACCGTACTTTCCAGCAAGAAATCAATGAAGGATGGTTGGTGATTTATATGGACGATATCCTCATCTTTTCGGATAACCTCGATGAACATCACGCTCGTACCCGTCGAATTCTTACGAAAATCCGCGAAGAACGACTCTTCTTGAAACCAGAAAAATGTACCTTTGACGCGCAAGAAGTTGAATACCTCGGCATGATTATTCGCCCTGGATGCGTAGCTATGGACGTTGCTAAGACTGATGGAATCCGCGATTGGCCAACTCCGTCCACTGTTAAAGAAACCAGATCGTTCCTAGGTTTCTGTAACTTCTATCGGAACTTCATCCCTCATTATTCCGATATCGCACGACCCCTTATCGATCTTACAAAGAAAGATAACATCTTCCTTTGGTCCACACCCTGTCAAGAGGCATTTACGACGCTAAAGGAATGTTTCCTAAAGCAGCCTGTCCTCCGTAATCCTGATCCATCTCGACAATTCGCAGTCGCCACCGATGCATCTCTTGTTGCAACAGGTGCTGTCTTACTACAAACCGACGAGAACGGCGTGTATCATCCTTGCGGATACCTCTCCCAATCCCTTAACCCCGCTGAAAGAAATTATCAGATCTTCGATCGAGAACTCCTTGCCGTTATCCGTGCACTCCAAGAATGGCGTCATTATTTAGAAGGAAACCCCCACCCAATTATCGTTTTCACCGATCATAAGAATCTCCTTTATTTCCGTACCGCGCAAAAGTTAACCCGTCGCCAAGCCAGATGGCAACTCCTTCTTTCTTGTTACGATATCGAACTTCACCACGTCCCAGGGACCAAGCTTGTCGCACCTGATGCCTTATCACGTCGACCTGATCATGCACCCGACTCCATCGATAACGAAGATATGACACTCCTCCCCGATTCCATGTTCATTCGCCTTCTCGATCAAGAGCTCATGACTACTCTTGCGAACCCTGATCCTGATGACACCGATCCCATCTTCCAAGCCGCCTCCGATGCCTTAAATGGCCTTTGCCTTCCTCCCATGAAATCGGCTCTCTCTGATTGGACGATTAAAGATGATGTCCTATTCTACAAAGATCGTGCCTATGTCCGTCCAGCCGGACGCCACTCTATTTTAGAACGAACCCATGACCACGCCACAGCGGGACATCCCGGCCGTTTTAAAACCGAAGAACTGGTTAAACGCGACTTCTGGTGGCCGTCTATGGGGACCTACATCCGTAAATACGTTGAGGGTTGCGCCCTTTGTCAGCAAATGAAATCCGATACCCATCCCACGACACCTCCGTTGGTTCCTATCCCTTCTTCGGTCTCTACTCCGTTCTCCCAAGTCTCTGTCGACCTCATCACCGATCTTCCCCCATGTAACGGGTTCGACTCTATCATGGTCGTGGTAGACCATGGTCTTACGAAGGGGGTAATTCTCATCCCTTGTACGAAGACTATCACCTCAGAAGGCGTAGCAAAGAAATTCTTCAAATACGTCTACCGCCGCTTCGGGCTCCACGAGAAAGTAATCTCAGATCGAGGCCCACAGTTCGTATCCAAATTCTCTAAAGCCCTTGCAAAACTTTTGAAATACGACATCGCCGCTTCCACCGCTTATCATCCGCAAACAGACGGTCAAACCGAACGTCTGAATCAAGAACTAGAAACCTATCTTCGAATCTATTGCCGTAACAACCCAGAAGAATGGGTTGAACATATCCCCATGTCCGAATTCGTTCACAACCATCGCAAACATGACTCTCGCAACGCATCCCCATTCTTCCTCATGATGGGATACGAGCCACGGGCTCTCCCCCACGTACTCCCAGACTCCACTGTTCCCGCCGCAGAAGAGCGACTTCGTCTCCTTCAGAAAATACGAGAAGAAGCTATCTCTTGCCACAATCTTGCAATGCAGCGAATGGCTGCACGATCGTACGGAAAGAAGTACCAACCGTGGAAAGTTGGCGATAAGGTTTGGTTATCTGGAAAGAATCTTATCACGCAGTTACCATCACGAAAACTCGCTCCAAAACGCTACGGCCCCTTTACCATCACCGCAGTACTATCACCGATCACGTTCACACTCCAGTTACCAAAGCAATGGAAGGTTCACCCCACGTTCCATGCTTCCGAATTATCGTCCTATCATGAAACCGAAATCCACGGTCCTAACTTCCCTGATCCTCCACCTGACATCATTGATAACGAAGAAGAATACGAAGTCGAAGCGATCTTATCACACAAGGGCACGGGTAAACGAAGACGCTATCTCGTATCCTGGAAAGGATATTCATCCGCTAGTAACGAATGGATTCCCACGGAAAATCTTGGCAACGCTTCCGCAATCCTCGCCTGCTTATAAGAAAGCTCACCAGTTATAAGAACCGTTGCGAAAAGATGTCTTTCTCAGAACTCCGCACTCTCCAGATTTGCCTCTTGCAGCTTCAAATTCTCGTCAGAACCATTGATAATATGTCCGAAACCCTTGCCACATCCCCGTCCACAACGTCCGTCACCTTGACCGAAACCACTGAATCCCCAAATTACTTCACCATCCTCGACGACATCGAAACCAACACGCTATTTGAATCCGCTCTCCTTTCTGAACAATACGCTATCGAGATAGATCGCCTCCTTGCTGAACAAGGAGCCCTCTCTAGCACGCTCCTCATTAACATCATTCGCGCCGCCAACCTCATCAAACGTACCGCAGGCCTCCTTAGTGATAGTGAAAATGACCAACGCTTTAAAGCCATTTTCCGTCATCTCCATATTCGCATTCGCAACTCTGCGATACGTCTCATGCCTACCTCTACCAAAGAAGTTGTTAGAGAGGCCATCCATATCGTCACTGAACGAATTGCAACAAACCCAATCGCCAGACCACCATCCCCTCACGTCGCAATTCCCATCCCTCCTCCGGTTGAGATATCATCTCCCGTTGAGCATACGTCTGGTACTATCACTCCTCCTGTTGTACCAATCATACCGTCTGCTCCTGCAACTGCCCCGGCGGCAACCGCCCCTCGCCCACGCCCCACTCGTCTACGACCCTTCAAACGAGAGATCTCCGTCTCCCCTCCCACGCGTAACAGCACTTTACGCTCCAAGACACCATCCCCGCCTCCGCAATCATCCTCCGTCACCATCGTGAAAACCGAGCCCAGTGATAATTTCAAATGTCGTTACTGCAAAGAATTCGGTCATCGTCATAAGAACTGCCCAACGTACTTCTGCCGCGTATGTCGTAACCTCGCGCCAGGGCATCTTTCGGTCTTTTGTAAAGACCTTAAAGGCGAGAAACCTATCCCATTAGTATGGACGGACGAAGGTTTCTACGAGGCTCTAGCTAAATGGGAGGCTGATAAGGACGCCGCCTTGGAACAGATCTCTATCGAAGAAGATGAGAGAATGTTCGTTCAATGCGCAGGTGATCGTGACAACTATGACGCTTACGATAACTTTGATTGTTGAAATCGGTGACTTCAACGATAATAACGGGGTAATGTTACAAGTCAAGTACTGCCCCTATTCATTTTCCTTCTCTTACATCATTGTATTACATCACGATCGCATCTTGCCATCGCTAGATGATCTATTCTTGTTATCTCTGACTCGTCTTATCTCTGACTCGTCTCTATGATCTCATCGTACCGGCCCTAAAGTCGTTACCATTCACTATATAAACTCGTCCTGTACTATGTAGTTCTTTACTTTAATCTTACTAGGTTTTACCTGGAACTTCCTTCGCTTAAGACCTCCAATCTTAAGTCGTATTGAACGTGATTCAAGTCGAGGACACTCTCCTTGCCTTGTCTTAAAGAAACCCTGAAACTTCGGTATACGCCGAAGCCTTGAACCGACCTTGGCCTGATTACTCTTATCGAGTAGCCATACGTCAGAACCATCCTAGTTCGTAACAGTATTTGTATATTGACCAACACGAGCTTTGGTCCACGTAGTCACATTTGAGACCAGCTTCTCAACAGTTAACCGTATATTCAGGAAACCAGTTCAAGTGTCTAGACGGTATATCCTAGACAATCCCATAGTTTCAATCAGAGATAATAAAGCTCCGGCTAAGTTAATCTAACTGATTGGTTTAGCGAGCCTCCTAAGAACTCACACGTTATCTACCACAAAAGAAGAAAAGTTGTAGACTGTGTTAATCGAGGACTGGCAAGAAGTCTTATCCAGTGTAATTGTGGTGTCATTACATTCTTACACGTTTTCATATAAGACCCTCGGTTATTAAGACAACGTGTTGGCATTGTCTGCTGCTGACAGAAAGTGCATTGTAACATCAATGATTCGAAAAGCAGCACCCAAGTTTCCAGGACTTGATGGTATGTTAAGTCTTTCAATAATTTATTAACTGACAGACCAATAGGAATACCACGCTGGAAAAATCAAAGCAAGGACATCACGACAATATGGTGGAAGGTGATTGTTGTGCGCACAGTCCTCACGACCTTGACTCGAGAAGGCGTCGTCATGGCATACGTGCTTTTCCCTCCGCTGGGTAGCCAGATGCCCCCCGAGGCCTTTCGTTGTGATCGCGTCAGACGTCTCATTCAAGACAACATTTTTATGCATGTATATTCGTTTAATGCGGTATTGTTTTTTTTGTTCACCTCAACTCATGCACTTATGAGTTTTCAATTAGGATGGGACACTGACCATCCATGCGAAGTTCCAAAACCCCTTCATCCTCTACCTCGTCGGGAAACTGATCTGGAATACGCGCTTCCGACTAGACAAATTATTCACGATGCCGCACAAACAGCTGCACTATGCGATGGGATTAGCTGGCACCATCACAAAATGTGCACTGTTGGAACAGGGACATGAGACGCTCAGTGCCACACCTAGGTTATTTCCAGGGGCAAACTCCACTGTATTTGAGGCTATCTGCGCAGACATGGATAGCCTCAGCGACGAGGAGAAAGCTGACTTGAACCAATGGAAGGATCACATAGTCGTTTGTGGGGTCTCTCAGCAGCGTGTTAGAGTTGAGCTGTCAGATTTCGACCTACTAGTAGACCCAGACTTGGACGCAGACTCGGATATCGCCGATGACATATAATTCGTGATACCTGTTAGACTTATTGTACATACCTTAAATACCGCTATCTTTCCTTGCGAAATTCATTATTTCACTTACTTAAGCAGCCATCCAGAATAACATTTGTCTCCATTAAACCAAGACAAGCGTTTACGAACACCGTCCTGAGCTACACCAAATATGGCTTGTTCAGAACAAGTTTGACTTCAAATCGACCGACTCGACTTTTTTAGATGCGATCATGGTGTGACCCCGAGACTATCACTGTAACTGAAATTATTATCACTTAGGCGCCACCCGCGGACATTGGCAATCAACCCCACCTACAACTGTCAACAAGGCACTCTGATCATGAGCCATTTTACGGCCACAAGCAAGCTTCGCGGTTGTGCGCTCGGTTCGTACTAATACATCTCTTTGCTCGTCCAGACTCCAGAGTACCTCCCCCTCCCTACAGCAAGACACTCTGAGTCTCTGACCCATTTTACGGCCACGAACAGGCTTCGCGTTTTCAAGGAATAACTTAAAAATGTATTCATCAATGTCACTACTACATACTAGGATACCAAATGACACGACGTCTGAAGATTAACTGCCACATCGGCGACTGGCAGGAAACGCCATGTCAGCAACGGGAGTGGTAGTGAAAACAGTACAAACTTAAAAGGAGAGATATTAACGAAGGAAAGACAATGGCAACAGAATTCACGGAGAAGGCATGCGGGAAGTGAGGATATGTTGAGGCCGTTATATACCGCTCGACGATGGCTACAGCATTAAGTTGAAGCGAACATGTCGAGTAGAGTCTGGTGTCTTTTCATTTGTGAATGCCGTGAAGGTGTTCGGACTGTGTTTGCTCATGGTTCGAAGTTGTTGAAGGAACCGAGTAAGATCCGACTAACAACAGGGTATCAGAAACTGAGCCATAACACAAACTCACCAGAGTGTTATTCTAGTCGCGCGCGTTTGAACGCGACGGTGAAGACCGACTCGCAGTCATGTTCACAACAGAACACCTGGTCTTGCGCGGATTTGAAGACAACGACCTAGATGATCTTCTCGCGCTCCGCAACGATGCTCGTGTTATGGATAACGACCAGCGAATTACAAAGAGTTCCTCAAAACTCTCGCAGAGAACTCGACCATCTGGTTCACCATCGTCCATAGGGAAACGGGGGAATTCGTGGGGGAATGCGGCATCAAAGTGAGAGCATGGGTGTTTTGGACGAAGAGTGGACCGAGATGTATTGGAAGAATCGAAACACAATTCCCATTGATATACATACCACACCCAACTATAGGCTATAATCAAGAAGGAACGATTGTCTTCCTTCTATATGATCTGACTACCGAGTACCACGCTAGTACTCGACACAAGAGAGTTGACAATGGGCCAATCGGCGTACTCCTCAAGAAAGACGGTCACTGGCGTGTCAACTTGACTGTCGACATCGCAAAAATGAAGATTCGGGTATGAAAAGGGACCTGGATCCAATCGATGAGTTCCGGGGGGATCAATTGAGTCTCGGGCTATAAAGTTTACATCGTGTACTCCGAGAACAATTTCCAATATTGAAATTTGAAATGTCAGCTCATTTTCAAATTCACAGGTCCTTGTGTCACGTGCGTGGTAAGGAATACCCACACGTTGAATCGTCGTTGATATGATATCAATGATATATATAGTGGAATGGCTGGTTGACGATCGCAGCCGCATGCCAGTAGGCCTTCTTGCAAAGGCTGAGCGCTGAAGCGCTGATAATCGACCCCGCTACCATATTTATCTCAAATGACTTACATATATAATTATAAGCTTGCAGTAGTTACATATCCAACAATAGACTCAGATTAGATTCATCGTTGCCCGCAACTGTGTATTGTTTGATAAGAGCCCGTAAGGTCCTACACAGATGAGAAAGAATTCATCTCTGTTGTCACCGCAATCGAATGCTGTGGCTAAAGCGTGTCATTAAGTCCTCAATGACACAAGAACTAGCACCAACCTTGACAGATCGAGAAGGATGCACAGCTTCATCGTCGGCATGTGCCTGGAGCTCATATTCTGACGCCTTAATGTGCAGCTCCGGACGGTAGACCCCATGGCGGTTGCGGAATGCATAGCAATTATTGGTGCCTGTGGTGACCTGTGTATAGTGTCGTGCATTCAGGAGTGCGAGGAACGAGTTGACATATACTTGAAATAGGACCGCTGGTCAGCACGATTCTAGGAAAATGTTTTGGCCATACATTTAGCCAATAAAAATTCAATGGCGAGGAAGATGAAGTTGGTCGGCATGATTGCGCACTGTAGACTCTCAGAGAAGAGATGGACAATACAATCCTTGGAAGCTTACTGTAATCACAGCCACCATCGAACATATGCTGTATGAAATATGAGTCAAGATATGGAATGGTCTGGATGAAGGAATACCTCGTCAGACAACCGGTATTAATGATGTAAACCATGAGCTTTGTTATCAAGGAATTGGTGCTATGTATTTTGTGTTAGTAGTATCTCAGAGCTAGGTAATTAATGGACCGCTCCTTACCTAGAGAATCCAGTACGCGAGGTAGCCAGGAGGTAGCATAGTGATGATGCGACAACGACGTCGGCAAAAGTTATCGTGCCCAAAGTCAAGAATGTCGCCCACTCCATTTTAACCAAATCCGAGAACACCTGACACTGATATCTACTCACTATCAGCACTTCGTGTAGCTAGAGAGTACAAGTTTCACTCACATGGCCCAAATAAGGGCTGGCATTGAGTTAAAATGATGAGCCAACAACAAGAGCATCGTTCAAATAATCACCGATGGCAACACCTGAAGGGATCCGAATCCTCAAGATCGAGCAAAGAGCATTTCCAGCTAATAGACTCACCTGAGTTTAAAATCGTGACTATGCCCTGGCAACGAATCAACAAAATGAAACACTGTAGAACCTATATCAATTATAAACCTACCACTATGATAGGGAGGGTTCTTGATTGACCCCTGCTGACTAAATATATCACATCAGTCGTAGAGATCTATCGATAGGGAGACACATACGTATCCATATACGCTGAAGATACAGGCTATCGTGCAAGAATGTATTGATTATAGGTTGCACATCACATTTTGCACATCAAACTTACATATGTACCCCATAGATTATGAAAACCTGTAGAGTGCGTGACTGAGGTGCATCACAGAGCTTGCTAAATACAACTCACCTCGACTACTATTTGAAGCTGCATAAGCCCATCAATATCATAGTACTACGGGGCTGCACGGAGGACCAGAGTAAGAACTCACTTTGAAACTCCATACAATTTCCGCGAGGGCATTGACATTTGCATAGTTGCTCACTAGATAATAATAGACGCAGTGGATGATCAAGGCCAGGTGCAGAGCATCGAGTATCCTATGATTTCAGGGAACTCCGTAATCTGGACGCGCTCGATAATTGCAACTCGAAGGAATGCCTACCAGAGACAGATGACCTGACATGGCGTTAATAACAGGACTAACAGAAGGTGGTACAAACGTACAGCCAACTTATAGAATGTTGTCCCTGTGTCCCTATGTGTCTGAAAGTAAACGAAAGATTGAACGCAGCTTAGACCAAAGAGACTGTTCGGCAAAATAAATCAGGACGACAGCAAACTTTGACTGCATAACGAGCAAATCGTTTACGAACACTGCTGCGATGGTAACGCCAATAAAAAGCGCCCCGAACGTATTCTCGACGTTGAGTTGTGGGATGAGGCCCTGCGCCGAGGAAGACATTGTTGGTTGTAATCTGCAAGGCGTCTAGGTATTAAGTACACTGAGGCTAGCGCATTGCCACCTGAAGTCTTACGGATGTGCGGAATCCTGCGCAGATGGAGAGTAATTTCTCTTATCGACAACTGGATTTATATATAAAAACCTGTGATGCTGCCGATGCGCATTGGCATGGTTCCTTTTTGTGCTGATAACGGGGGCACACCTCTCACATGTTTGATTGCCGCATCGGTCATCGGGCTAGCATAACATCACGGTCTTGATGGGCTCCAAGTCCGAGATTAGTACTGAAAGGATTCTTAAATATTAGGCCACATTGCACATGAGATCAATTGGGTAACGAACGTTGGAGCAGGTACATCACCACAGTATCATTTTGTGCTGCACCACTAGCGCTCTGCTAGGCTCCAGCCGGGTTGCAACAGCCACAAGATCTAGCGTAGTCACTGTCAGCCAATTAAAGGACCGAGAAGACAGAAGAAACCTTAAAGCATGAGATGAATGAGAGAAGGCTGCTGCGGCATCATGATCATACCACCTCATCGTCGGGATGTCCTTTATTTCTTCGTCTGACAACGCCATAACGATGGAATTGGTAAGAATTGTTAGTATCTGCGGTGGGTTGCAAATAGTATCGACCTCAGAGAATATAACCACTGTAACCTTACCGTAATCACAGCTGCCATTGAACATATGCTGCATGAAATGAGTCAATGAGCTTTAATATCATGGAATCAGTGCTAAGTACTTTATGTCAGTATTGAAATATTCAGACAATGGATGGACCGCCCTTTACCTAGAAAATCCAGTGCAGTAGTAGCGAGGAGGTAGCATAGTGACAAGGCGATCACGATATCGACAGAAGCAATTGTGCCCCAAACCATAAATGTCACCCACTCGATTCCAAGCAAACCTGCGACATATGGCACCGATATCTACTTGCTATCAACAACTCGTTTAGTTAGGGAGTACGCTGTTCCACTCACATGGCCAAAATGAGGGCTGTCATTGGATTAAAATGATGAGCCGACACAAAAGTGCCGAGTATTTGAATCTCACCGATGGCAACACCTGAAAAGAGTGCACTGATGTTCGCGAAGATGGTCACCAAATGATAATTTATCAAGGACAGGTGCAGAGCATCCAGTATCCTGAAAGTTCAGGGGACGGCGTAATCTCTGCGTGTTCGACAAAGGCAACTGAAAAGGGCACGTATCAAAGCCATATGACCTAGTTTGGCGTCAGCTACTGAGCTGACAGGAGGCAACATGGCCTTTTTATGGAATGATATACCTGTGTCCTTGTGCGTCTGAAAATTTGGATATCGCTTAGACCAAAAGGCTGTTCCGTAAAATTCGTTGGGAGTCGGGACGATAGGACTCGGTGAAGCATTAAGTTTTGTGAGCAGATAGTTTAACACTGCTACAACGGTGACCCCAACAAAGAGTGCTCCAAACGTTATTTCAAAGTGAAGTTCTGCGACAAGGTCTTGCGTTGAGGATGACATTGATATTGGCCGAGGCTTGAGCCCATTCCACCAATAAAACAATGCTTGCTCCGTACTAACATATCCCGCAGCCACATAAGATCCCGAGTACTGTAACTGAAAATATTATCACTTAGGCGCCACCCGCGGACATTGGCAATCAACCCCACCTACAACTGTCAACAGAGCACTCTGATCATGACCATGGCATTTTACGGCCACAAGCAAGCTTCGCGGTTGTGCGTTCGGTTCATATTAACACATCTCTTTGCTCGTCCAGAGTACCTCCCCCTCCACACTCTGACCCATTTTACGGCCACGAACAGGCTTCGCATTTCTAAGGAATAACTTAAAAATGGATTCATCAATGTTCACAACAGAACATCTGGTCTTGCGCGGATTTGAAGAGAACGATCTAGATGATCTTCTCGCGTTCCGCAACGATGCTCGTGTTATGCGAGGGATAACTGTCGGACCCATCACTCCGCGATCAACGAGTTCCTCAAAACTCTCGCAGAGAACTCGACCATCTGGAATCTGGATTACCGTCGTCCATAGGGAAACGGGGGAATTCATGGGGGAATGCGGCATTAAAGTGAGAGCATGGGTGTTTTGGACGAAGAGTGGGCTGATGTATTGTAAGAATTGAATCAATAATTCCCATACCACACCCCACTATAGGCCATAATCAAGAAAAATGAAGATCCGAGTAGGACTAGGGATCTCGGGCTATAAAGTTTACACTGTGTACACCGAGAATAATCACCTTGCTTGCAAATTTGAAATACAGTTGTCTATGCCATAATGTATACGCCCTTAGTGTATATTTTCAATACTGTATCGAGTTTTCAATGGTCCCACTGTGGGACAGTGAGAAAATCGATGCATAATGTATATTGTATAATGTATTAACCTCGCATGCCTATTATACATTATCAAACGGCACTTTTGGTGGTGGGGACCATTGTCAGTGCCAGCTATTGTCCACACATCATATGAAAACCCCATGTACGCATTTTTGGTAAACCACTATCCTTAGACGAGCTGCTCGAGCCGGCTGAGGAAAAACAAATCGGGGATTCCCTTGGGTTCGACTTGAATGGTGGGGACATGGCCATTGTTGTTGCAGTCAGTCGAGAGATCGCTGAGAAACAGGGTGAGGTGATTGAAGCTGATTCTGATGACGACTCGGAAGAAGATCATGATGCGGCCCCAGACGTTTCCCGTGTAGAAGCACTAGCGCTATGTCAGCGGCTCGAAGGAGCATGCCTTCAGCTGCAGTTCAGCATGGACATTCTCAGGACTCAACACACACACTTGATTTGTTAAAGCAAATCCGTCGTTTCCGTGCCCAATTACAACGCGAGGAGCTACTCCATGCGAGGCAGACGATGTTAGATTCGTTTTTTAAGTGGATATGTACTCTAGCACCTTAGATTTTCGACGCTGTTGAGCGGTGTCACAAGTGTTCGTCACATTTAGTCACAACGTGTGACATCGGTCCTTCTGTATAACTTTGATAATGTATAGGTGTGAGGTGGGTCCCGACGTTATACGTTATGGCAGTGTTGTTATTAACCCGGGTTATAACTGGTGCGTCTTGATTTGAATTAACCGCGAAATAACTGGGGTTAATGGGGTTAAAAACAGTTAATTACTTCAAAGTGCTAGCTACTCTGAGTCGTCAATAACGATTGAACTCGATGGACTATTTCCCATGCCTGATGACTCCCCTGGGACATTCCTACTAGTACTTTTTTCATCCTCGGGCAGGCGTGACATTAGCTCGTAGAATAAAGCCTCACTCTCCATGTTTTTCACACCCTGGAACCAAAAATCGTCCCATCCAACCTCAACAGACCAATTGAACATGTCGCGGATGCGAAACATTCTCTTCTGACTGAAGAAGCAACGAATTTGTCGCTGCCTGCTACTTTCCGAATCCGAAATGCCTGAGATGTCATCCTCAACCTCAACTACTTGTCCTAACCCCGATATGTATTCCTTTTGCCATGATTTCGACCTTTCCGGCAATATATAAGGGACATTGTCGCATGCTGTTTGAGTCCGTTATACGGTATACATTAATCATTTATGTTACATGGCATCAATTGACAAAAACTCACCTTCCTGCGTCAAAATTGTGAAAGTTCTGACAGCCTGCAGTATTCCGTGTGCAATAGCCTGTTGATCAGCATTTGCGAGATCTTTAGCCTTCACATTGACACAATATTTACAGCGTGCTTGCCAGTGCACTTTGTCAACCTTCGCAGTCCCCTGATGAAAATGATCCCACATCCAGGACTTCTCCCTACCCATCGGAGCGGCTTGGAGAGGTAATACAGTCCCAGGACGCTGGCACAGAGAGAATCGGAGAGATTGATGATAACGATTAAAAGTTTGGTGACCCCCAATTAACCCAATTAACTCCTAGTACATTAACCCTACTAACCCTCCCAAAATCACAGATCTATTTAACTAACCTCTTAACCGGTTATAACCCTCCAAATCACAGATCCATTAACTAACCTCTTACCGGTTATAACCGGGTTAAGTTATAACTGATTTAACGGGTTAGTAACAACACTGCGTTATGGGATAGACAACTGTATCAGCTCATTTTTAAATTCACAGGTTCTTGTGTCACGTGCGTGGTAAGGAATACCCACACATTGAATCGTCGTTGATATGATATCTATGATAGTGGAATGGCTGGTTGAAGAAATGCGACGATCGCAGCCGCATGCCAGTGGGCCTTCTTGCAAAGGCCGAGCGCTGATAATCGACCTCTCAAATGACTTACATATATAATTATAAGCTTGCAGTAGTCACATACCAATACCAACAATAGACTCAGATTAGATTCAATTGCCCGCAACTGGATAGTGTTTGATAAGGTCCTATGACTCATATGTCGTGATAATACCGCATGCATGCTCAGTCCATCACACAGACGAGAAAGAATTCATCTCTGTTGTCACCGCAATCGAATGCTGTGGCTAAAAGCGTGTCATTAAGTCCTCAATGACACAAGAACTAGCACCGACCTTGACAGATCGAAGGATGCTACAGCTTCATCGTCGGCATGTTTGAACACGTCCTTCCGGGATGCCTGGAGCTCATATTCTGACGCCCTAATATGCAGCTCCGGACGGTAGACCCCATGGCGGTTGCGAGATGCATAGCAATTATTAGTGTCTGTGTTGACCTGCGTATAGTATCGTGCATTCAAGAGTGCGAGGAACGAGTTGACATATACTTGAAATAGGACCGCTGGTCAGCACGATTCTAGGAAAAGGTTTTAGCCATACATTTAGCCAATAAAAATTCAATGGCGAGGAAGATGAAGTTGGTCGGCATGACTGCGCACTGTAGACTCTCAGAGAAGAGATGGACAATACAATCCTTGGAAGCTTACTGTAATCACAGCCGTCATTGAACATATGCTGTATGAAATATGAGTCAAGATATAGAATGGTCTGGATGGAGGAATACCTCGTCAGACAGCCGGTATTAATGATGTAAACCATGAGCTTTGTTATCAAGGAATCGGTGCTATGTATTTCGTGTTAGTAGTATCTCAGAGCTAAGAAATTAATGGACCGCTGCTTACCTAGAGAATCCAGTACGCGAGATAGCCAGGAGGTAGCATAGTGATGATGCGACAACGACGTCGGCGAAAGTTATCGTGCCCAAAGTCAAGAATGTTGCCCACTGGATTTTAACCAAATCCGAGAACACATGACACTGATATCTACTCACTATCAGCACTTCGTGTAGCTAGAGAGTAAAAGTTTCACTCACAAGGCCCACATAAGAGCTTACATTGAGTTAGAATGATAAGCCAACAACAAAAGCATCGTTCAAATAATCACCCATGGCAACACCTGAAGGGATCCGAGTATTCAAGATCGAGCAAAGAGTACTTTCAACTAATAGACTTACCTGAGTTTAAGATTGTGACTATGCCCTAACAACGAATCAACAAAATGAAACCCTGTAGAACCTATATCAATTATAAACCTACCTACTATGATAGGGAGGGTTCTTGATTGACGGGCCTTGCTGACTAGATATATCACATCAGTCGTAGAAATCTATCGATAGAGAGACACATACGTATCCATATGCGATGAAGATACAGGCTATCGTGCAAGAATGTATTGATTATAGGTTGCACATCACATTTTGCACATCAAACTTACATATGTACCCCATAGATTATGAAAACCTGTAGAGTGCGTGACTGAGGTGCACCACAGAGCTTGACAAATACAACCCACCTCGACTACTATTTGAAGCTGCATAAGCCCATCAATATCATGGTACTACGGGGCTGCATGGAGGACCAGAGTAAGAACTCACTTTGAAACTCCATACAATTTCCGTGAGCGCATTGACGTTTGCATAGTTGCTCACTAGATAATAATAGACGCAGTGGACGATCAAGGCCAGGTGTACAGCATCGAGTATCCTAAGATTTCATGGAACTCCGTAATCTGGATGCGCTCGATAATGGCTACTCGAAGGAATGCCTACCAGAGACAGATGATCTGACATAGCGTTAAGAACAGGACTAACAGATGGTGGTAGAGACGTACAGCCAGCTTATAGAATGTTGTCCCTGTGCCTCTATGTGCCTGAAAGTAGACGAAAGCTTGAACGTTGCTTAAACCAAAAAGACTGTTCCGCAAAATAAGTCAGGACGACAAGAAACGCACAGCTTTGACTGCATAACGAGTAAATCGTTTACGAACACTGCTGCGATGGTAACGCCAATAAAAAGCGCCCCGAACGTGTTCCCGATGTTAAGTGTTGGGATGAGGTCCTGCGCCGAGGAAGACATTGTTGGTTGTAATCTGCAAGGCGTCTAGGTATTAAGGCTAGTGCCACCTGGAGTCTTACGGATGTACGGAATCCTGCGCAGAAGAGTTATTTTCTCTTATTGGCAACTGGATTTATGTAAAAAAACCTGTGATGGGCCGCCGACTCGGATGCGCACTGGCATGGTTCCTTTCCTTTTAGTGCTGATAACGGGGGCACACCTCTCACATGTTTGATTGCCCCTATCGGCCATCGGGCTAGCATGACATCACGGTCTTGATCGGCTCCAAGTCCGCGAAAGATTAGGCCACATTGCACATGAGGTCAATTGGGTAACGAGCGTTGGAGCAGTTACATCATCGCAGTATCATTTTGTGCTGCACCACTAGCGCTCTGCCAGGCTCCAGCCGGGTTGCAACAGCCACAAGATGTAGCGTAGTCAATTAAAGTCGTTCAATATCCATCGTTTTATGGTAACTGACACAGGTCACTTGAAGAATTTATATATACCACGCGGTACAAGCACGGCACGTTCAACTACGTACCGTTTAACGGAGGGTGAAGGCCCGGTGACTTGATTCGATCATTGTCGCGCCCAAGGTCTCAGCCCTGCTTGGCTGTGGGCTTTCCTGATGGGCCTGACCTAATTGTCATGTTAATACTTATAATTACCTCATGTACGCGTAACACTGCTGGTGATGAGTCGGGGTATCTGACGTTATTAGGTACTGAGACAGGGCTAGATTGTTGCGAAAGATAAACCGGGTACAAGTTTGCCCGGGATTGGGTGATCGCAAACTTGGTGATTTGGATCGAGAAGACAGAAGAAACCTTAAAGCATGAGATGAATGAGAGAAGGCTGCTGCGGCATGCGCGTCATGATCATACCACTTCATCGTCGGGATGTCCTTTGTTTTATCGTCTGGCAACGCCATAACGATGGAATTGGTAAGAATTGTTAGTATCTGCGGTGGGTTGCAAATAGTATCGACCTCAGAGAATATAACCACTGTAACCTTACCGTAATCACAGCTGCCATTGAACATATGCTGCATGAAATGAGTCAATGAGCTTTAATAGCATGGAATTAAGTGCTAAGTACTTTATGTCAGTATTGAAATATTCAGACAATGGATGGACCGCCTTTTACCTAGAGAATCCAGTGCGGGCATTAGCGAAGTAGCATAGCAGTGATAAGGCGATCACGATATCGACAGAAACAATTGTGCCCCAAACTATAAATGTCACCCACTCGATTCTAAGCAAATCTGCGAACATATGGCACCGATATCTACTTGCTATCAACAACTCGTTTAGTTAGGGAGTACGCTGTTCCACTCACATGGCCAATATAAAGGCTGTCATTGGATTAAAATGATGAGCCGACACAAGAGTGCCGAGTATTTGAATCTCACCGATGGCAACACCTGAAAAGAGTGCACTGATGTTCGCGAAGTTGGTCAGCAAATGATAATCTATCAAGGACAGGTGCAAAGCATTGAGTATCCTAAAAGTTCAGGGGACGGCGTAATCTCTGCGTGTTCGACAAAGGCAACTGAAAAGGGCACGTATCAAAGCCAGATGACCTGGTTTAGCGTCAGCTGCTGAGCCGACAGAACAATGTATGGCCAATTTGTGGAATGATATACCTGTGTCCTTGTACGTCCGAAAGCTTGGATATTGCTTAGACCAAAAGGCTGTTCCGTAAAATATATTGGGAGTCGGGACGATAGGACTCAGTGGAGCACTAAGTTTTGTGAGCAGATAATTTAACACTGCTACAATGGTGACCCCAACAAAGAGTGCGAAATGAAGTTCTGGGACAAGGTCTTGCGTTGAGGATGTCACTGATATTGGCCGAGGCTTGAGCCCATTCCACTAATAAAACAACGTTTGCGCCGTACTAACATATCCCGCAGCCACATAAGGACGCCAGCGAATGGCCGCAATCTAGACCTGTTATGTGACGGATTATATGGCTTCTGTGCTGATATAGATATACCTTTCGAATGTGATGAGAATCATGAGACCCACATAGTGCCGGACTTACGGAGGCTTCATATCAGAACATCGAATGTACATCATGATTGTCCCATCATTAGTCAGTCGGGATCGCCTGTATCATACACGTGGTTTCCACTTTTCCAGGTCTATCAAAAGAATTGGAAATAAGTAGATTACCAATGTGATCAATGGCAAATTGGGCAACCCACAAAGAAAGCATGAGCTGCATTTTGTGCCATACACCCATACTTACACACATATTAATAGCCTCCAACATTCATTCACGAAAGGAGACAATGATGTAATTCGAGGGGGACTGTTGAGTGTGAAAAATAACATGCACAAAACTGAATGTACAACACCAATAAAATTACGCAAACACGTCAATCATGACGCATATGATGTAGCAATCCAATCACAGCTTCGATCTCGGCCGTACCAAGTCACGCGCCCGATCGCGCAGGACCCGACGCAGCAGCTTCCCACTGGGATTTTTAGGAATTACGTCCACAAACTCCACCCCGCCAGCAAGATGTTTATATGCGACCTTGTTGTCTGCCACAAGCTTTAAAAAGGCAACAGTCAGGTCTGGTTCAAGCGATAATAAAGTACGAGTGAACCTTTGTGATGGATGCTTTAACCCTCTCGACTTCAGCACGATCCAAGGCGATCCTCTTGACTGCGTCAGGATGAAGTACCACAAACGCCATCGGAAGCTCCCCGCTGTAGTTATCGGAAATTGGCACTACACACGTGTCTGAAACATCAGGATGATCGATAATACAGCCCTCCAGCTCTGCAGGAGCGACTTGAAATCCTTTGACTTTCATGATTTCCTGCCGAAAAGGTTGAATTTTTCGAAAGTCGATACAGGACAAAAGGATGATAGCGTACCTTCAGGCGATCAACGATGAACAATTCATGGTCCTCGCGTATAATAACTTCGTCACCAGTACGCAACCAACCATTAACAAAGGTCTCCTTCGTGCTATTGAGTAGCAGCTAAGCCAACCCAGTATATGACATATGTGATGACTTACGCTTCATCATTGTTCAGATATCCTAGCGCTACAGATGGAATCTTCACCTGAAGCTCTCCAGGTTCGTTGAATCCCGCTAGGGTCCCATCGTCTTTGACAACCTTGGCAACGACACCAGGCGCCAGGCGCCCAACACCACCAGGAACGCCGAGTTTTTTGTCCACGGAAAACATCGAGATAGTAGCGGCGGCCTCGGTCATGCCTTGAAAATGATGAAAAACATGCGATAAGATGATCAGAAAACTGCCCCACCATAACCTTGACCTATCTGCGCGTTCGGCAGAATCTTCACCACCTGGTCAACAAGAGAGGCGGAGAGGGGGGCAGCTCCACATATCAGGACCCTGACACCATTTAGATTGTAATTTTTCACAGCAGGGTGCTGCCAGGAGTATCAGGCTGAGTAATCAGTTACCAGAAATGTCGGCGCTGACCTTGCAAAACAACACAATTTGAGGTGGTACAAGGCTGTGTGCAAATCAGAATTTCCTATGATAAGTCATGGTGATAGCGGCGACTCACTGAAGATGGTTTATACGATATTTCACGATACTCTCTAGGAACTCCGTGAAGTTGAACTTGGGTATTACCACAACTGAGATCTGCACGGGGTTGAGAAAGAGACATAGCAGGGAATCAATGGAAGCTCACGCCACAAAATGCCATAAGGTGAATCTAAGATAACCGTGTTTAAGCAATACGATCGGGTATTGGAGATCCAACTTACCCCCAACACCAGGCCATAAATATCTAGAAACGTTGCATACTTCAATTTGTTGGACGATATGCAATGGAAAGAGGTTACATACGGAAGAAAGGTAGAACTTTACAAGAAACGGTTAGTGACGTCACATATTGCCTATGAAAGCGCACCTCCTGCGACTACATCCCCTGGCCGAAACCTTTGCTCTTCCCAAGGGGCGTAATTCTTATTAACCTTCTGCTGCTCAGCCATCTGGATCACGTTCACGATAGGGGCAAAGTGTGATATTGCAACGGCCTATCACGACCACAGGTATGAGGCCCCATTCATCAGTCTAAAGCTTGACACACCTTCGGTTTTCCAGTTGTGCCACTCGAAAAACTGAGGAATGCAACTTTTGTTTTTGCCTCTCCTTTCCGCAACCTTCGCTCAACGAAATTTGGCTCACTCCGTAGCCCCTGCTGAATCAGAGTGCCTACTGTTATTTGATTTGACTCGTCAAAAGTGATGACGCGCTCAGATGGCAACCCGGCAGCCTGAGCAGCACCCAATGCAGTGTGCAAAGAAGAGGAATGCGTGATAATCAAAGACGCGTGAACCGTCTTGAGCTGATACAACAATTCACTGATATTATTAGCCGGATTTGCGCATCTATGATAGAAGTCCGGTGATGATCAGAAAAGCTCGAGAATATCAGAGCGCGCATAACATACGACACGACACCACCTAGCCGATGTGTTGCCCATATGGCCGCCGGATAGTCTGCGGTGAACAGTAAGTATATGACCAGAAGCAATCAACACTTAAATACCAATATGGTTTGGGCTGAAAATGACCACTAGAGAAAGACAATGAATCTCGGTGTTCTATTATATGCGCGCCTACGCGTTGCAAGCACACACCTATATCGTTCTCCTCTAAAATGGGATTGTTAAATGAAGCGCTTAAGAATCATAGCACTTTGGACTCACTGACACGAAAACTGCAGACTCAGGCCATTTGCAAGTCCATAAGTCCTTGCACGGACCTTGAGCGTACATTTATTAAATATCGCTGACGTCATCGCTGTGCTCAACTCACCTCTTCATGTCCAACCTCTCTTCCACCGGCATCCTCGATGAACCATGGTACATGGATAGGTCGGATGGGCCTCAATGGATGGGACGAGTCGAGGATAAATTGAGGTAAAGTAAGGTCGTCTGGAACAGACGTCTCGAGACTCGGACCATAAATTTCAGACATGGAGGGCTTGCAGAATGATAGATGTGCAAAGGGCAGGAAGGAAGGCGGGCGCTGAGGGTTTATGGCTTACGGGATGCCAAGTTCCTCGTGTGTGACTTGTTCGGAAGGATCTCGGTTTTTCCAATGGCTAGGACCGTTAGGTTAGGAACGGTGTCGCCAGTTCGGTTCGGGACGCCCCTGGCAGCCAGCTGGCTAGGGAACGATCATGTTGACTGGTTTACAATGTATTCAAATTTGCGTACATATGAACTCACAATTGTACTATTTTGTATCTGTCTCATCATGATGAAAAAAACAATGGGAGTACCACGTGTGGGTAGGCAAAAGTTTCATGCGAGCGAGAAATGAATGCGACTCTGAGCCAGCAAGTTCAGTCTAGGTGCAACAGCTCCCGACAATCTATAAATACCCTCCCGGAGCTCGTAACTTACGTAAATTAAGGCTTATGCTGTCATTACAAAAAAAAAAACATATCACAGCTTGGCTTTGAGCTCTCCTGCCCTTAATTGCCGAGCTTGATCACGAAGCACCCGCCGTAGTAGCTTTCCACTTGGATTCTTTGGTATGACATCTATGAATTCCACGCCTCCCGCTAGGTGCTTATATGCGACCTTGTTGTCTGCGACGTGCTGAATAATGACGTTAGCCTGGCTGCCATCGCTTTGGCGTGGAATAGCCGAACCTTCATTATAGACGCCTTTACTTTATCTGCTTCGCGGGAGTCTATTCTCACACGGTCCGCAGTGAACGCACGAAGCACGACGAACGCCAATGGAACTTCCCCACTGTAGTCGTCAGGTATGGGTACGACACACGTGTCTGCGACGTCACGGTGATCTAAGATACAACCTTCTAGCTCGGCAGGAGCTACTTGGAATCCTCTGACTTTCATGATTTCCTAATAGACAGATCAGCCATTGCAACGGAGATTTGGAGCAGAATACCTTCAATCGATCGACAATGAAAAGTTCCTTGTCTTCACGTATAATAACTTCGTCTCCGGTGCAAAGCCATCCGTTAACAAATGTCTCCTTTGTTGCTTGTTCATCATTCCAGTATCCCAACGCCAAGGAAGGCGTCTTCACTCTCAACTCGCCTGGCTCATTGAAGCCAGCCAGGGAACCATCAGGCTTGATTACTCGGGCAACTACACCTGGGAGTAATCGTCCAGCGCTACCCGGAATACCTATTTTCTGATCCACCGAGTACATTGTGACTGATGTAGAGGATTCGGTCAGCCCTGGATTCCAGGTGCGTCGAATGTCAGCGTCAAGGGGACAGGAAGTAGCGAACCTACCATAACCTTGGCCAATTTGGGCGTTGGGGATTACTTTCATGAGCTGGTTCACCAATTCAGCTGAAAGAGGTGCAGCTCCGGAGATCAAGAATCGAATGACACTCAGGTCATAGTTTTTGACTGCTGGATGCTGGGTTCACGTTCCTCAGCATACAGGAATCAACCACCCATCCAATTTACGTTTACTAACCTTGCAAAGCAGTACAATTTGAGGCGGAACGAGTCTGGGTAGCCAATACGTCAATAATCAACGCGTTTTGACGACGGGAAGACTGATTCTCACGTCAGGTGAGTGATACGATGCCTTTCTATGCTCCTCAAGAAATCTGTGAAGCTGAATTTTGGCATGACTACCAGCGACATCTAGTGAACAACTCTAGCATTAACCCTGCAAATCACAAGACGCGATGGACTTACTCCAAAAAACGGCACCGCGTAAATCTGCTTCAGAAATCAACGTCTGATCCCAAGAACGTTGTAGAAAGCTTGCGCTCACGGAGAATACAAGACCATAGATATCTGCACAAGGCATATGTTTGACATCATACAATATATGCAATGAGCAGACGTACGGAAGAAGGGAAGCACTGAGTAATATTGAATCAGATGTGACCTCGAAAAAAACTGGATGAATGCACACCTCCAGCGACTATATCACTTGGTCTGAACCGCTGCTCCTCCCAAGGAGCATAGTTCTCGTTGACCTTTGTGTACTGCGCTATCTGAATGACGTTGACAATGGGTGCATAATGTGCAATGGATACTGCCTATTAATTGTTTTATGCATCTACCCAGTATCGGTGCTTTCAGACAACAGCGCACCTTGGGTTTACCTGTTGTACCACTGGAAAAGTTTAAGAAAGCGACCTTGGTCTTGCCCTCGCCCTTCTTCAATCTTCGCTCGACAAAGGCAGGCTCGTTCCTGAGTCCAAGCTGAATGATACTTTCCACAGTAGGTTGAGTTGATTCGCCAAAAGTAATAACTCGATCAGAAGGCATCCCAGCTGCGCGTGCAGCATCGAGAGCCGTATGGAGGGAGGACGGATGTGCAATTAGTAGGGCTGCCTTCACAACCTGGATCTGGTGGAAGAGTTCTTCCGCTGTATATGTTGGATTCGCGCCGCTTTAACGTATTTGGTCAGATCAGAAGGCAAGAATGTCATCATTTGCTAGCTCACGAAATAATGCCACCCAGTCGGTGCGTAGCCCATATAGCAGGTGGATAATCTAGGGGCAACGGTGAACTGACGCCGATGGTGGAGTAGAGAGAAAACCTTACCAACATGATTAGGACTAAAAATAAGGACTGTAGATCAATCAGAAAAAAGGATGTATGACTAGGGGTGGACAACACTTACCGACTTCTTCTTCTTCTGCACGTGTGCTGTCAGGACACACAATCACCACTGAGGATCGTCAAACAGCACGTACTAATACCATAGCGCAGCACAAGTCCATTTGCAAATCCAAAGGTTCGTGCACGGATCTTTGAGTTGCCAAATGAGCAGGCGCCTGGTAAGGATCGCGACTTCATCATAACGGGCCATTTCCACGCACCTCCTCAAATCCAATGCGTCTCCCGGTGTCGTCCTCGATTAACCATGGTGCATCAGTTCGAACCGGCCTACGTGGATGGTGGGAGTCGAGGAAGAACTGGGAGAGCGTCAAATCGTCAGGGATCGCTGAGTCAAGTGGTTCACCGAATATTTCAGGCATTTTCTACTGCACTGGCAGGAGGGCGGAATCTGAAATGTGGGGGTATTCGATAAGAGAACTCGGGAAAGTCATTGGTGAATGGCAGACTATTATAATTGCAATTGCAAGTACTGATAGATACGGGTCAACGGACTTCAACACCTGGTTCGGTCACACGGTCTGGGTGAAAGCCGCGGGAGGCGCGGCTGTGACTCTGATGGTGGCTATCACACGTGTCATATCCACAAACCATCATGATCAAAGTAATATCTGGTATCTGGTACCATGCAGTCGAAGAACCAGAAGCTACCCGTTATTTCTCGAAACGCTGAAATTTGAAATTTGATCGCGCATGAATGAAGCATACGTACGACTTGAACTAGGGACGTCGCTCGGTCTAGTCTGTTGGCTCTAATCATTGGTTCTCTTACCACTAGATGCTGTGACACCAATTGACTGTTATCCGTGCATCATGCCTCATCAAGCCTCGTCCAGCCCCATATCAATGCCGCGTCACGACTGCGTTAATGTTTTCAGCATCCTAGCCATATCGCATGACCTTGAGCTTGGAGGAGACTCATTCAAGTTGCACTCAAACACCCGTCCATTTCGCTCGCATAAACTTCCATCTCGAAGTATGGGCCACAACCTCACCCTCCCATCATGGCCTCCACTTGCCACAGTGTTGCTGTTTGGAGGCAATATTACCAGTTTTGCTCCTGCCTCATCGATACACCCCCCTCATCCAGCCAATCCGCACGCCGCTCTCCAGGTCCCCATAGTCGGAGTGAGTCGTCATCCAAACATGTGAAGATGCATCGTCCGGTAGGTAGGTGGACAGCATCTCGTACCCGGCTGGCATGACCTTGATCGGTGACCGCCGGCGTCTTTTGTATTTTGTGTCTCAGCAATGGGGGAAGACTGGTCGATGCTCGGGGTGTCAACCACAGCAGGTGATGGCCAACATATATGAGTGCAGCTTGCCAGGATGTTTGTATTAAAATGGGTTGTCCGGCAACGACAAAGATTACTGGTGAGTCGGATGGGCCTGTCTTATTCTTGTCAATACAAGTGCACAGCTCATCGAGGCTTGCAAAACAACCTGCTTACTGGAATGAATTCAGTCCTGACACATAAAGACGGCTTCTGTGTGCAGACGTTGCTGTAGTATGGTGCGCTAATGTACAATAGAACTTTGGGGGACTTAGAAGTCGCTGGTAATCGAATAGTTAGTTGTGTCGTATAGAAGAGGGTCACTCACGAGAAGCGCCGTTCAGACCAACTTCAATGCTCAAATCATCAGCGAGAGGCGCAGGTGTCTGGCTGTAAGCTGAGACAGCGGACGTTTGGATCAAGAAAGTTGGGAATCCGTCCATTTAAGCTTTGTTTGTAGCGTAGTACGCGTTCCATGTGTTGTCCTCGTGTTCGTTTTAAAGGTCAACTGTTCTCAAGTCTGCGATAACGCGAGTATCTGAAGGTCTAGCTCACGCCAGTTTTGCACTCTGCATCTCCAAGCACCCCCACTCACCGCATACCTACCTCCTGTCTCCCGCAGGCAGACCCTAATAGAAGTAAGACAGCCGTTCCTTCTGTATTGAAGGACCTACCTCCATCTCCACAGACATAATATCCAAACTCGCCGACTCGTGCCCATATGGTGCGAACCAATCAGTATTCATCTAAAGGGCTTGGCACAGACAATGCACCTGCACGAAGTCGAAGGCTTGCTTAGTCGATGGGAGAGCCAGACTAGAACAGAAAAACGGATATATGTTCTGTGGTGGGGGGAGTGGGGTTCCTTTCCACTGTCCAGCGGAGGATGGTGCAGGCGGGTGTTTGCTACCATTACGAGGGAACCTGAAAGTTCGAAAGTTCTGTACCATTTGCATAGCTTAGTCAGTAGGGGTAGAGCCTTCGGGCATTGTCGCAGGTAAGGTTTAGGTTGAGGTCACGCCAGCTTCCGTCTGCCAGAGGCGGGTTGTCAGCCACGCCAGTCCAGTGACACATCCGAGTCATTACTATTCGCGACGTTTAGGGAGTCCGTGACGACTGCTGAGCGCCGATCGATTATCTCGCCTGACCCTCCAGGTCTCACCTGAGCCAAAGGACGTGGACGTCAGGAGATACCACGGACGCTGGCCTGGGTTGATATTACAAGATGGAAGATCTCATCTGATTGTCGTCTCCCGCTTACTAACATTGAATGAGCATTGGGTATGGACATACATAGTTCATGAAATCAGTTTGGCAGGACCAGAAAGCCCGGGGATGGGATAGCCACTTTTTTCTTTTTCTCCTTTGACCCAAGTTGTGAGCGACGTATATGTAACATGGTAAAGGACTGACCAAGGTACTAGGCTAAGTATGACCACTGCCTGCTAACTACATTACAATAACGTTCAGATCTCACACGATCAATACGATGGTACTTCTCGACTTGATGTTGCCAATCGTCTGGGACAATCATATCATACTCCTCTAGCTCCTCTGGTTCCTCTGGCTCCGGTCGGTCAAGAGGCTCTTGATAATAAAGCTCCTCCAACGGACCAGCGAGCGAAAGTCGTTCTAGAACGATGCGCCGCACCATGTATATTGGAATATCAAAAACGATTAGGGTCCGAAGTCCCGGGAGAGGGAAATCCGCCAGTCCGTGGGTCGTGGGGAGCAGTCCCATTGCAAACGTATCATTCGCAAAGAACGCTCCTGGTCCTAGTGTCAATACCTTGACACTGGTCATTTGTTTGTACAGGCGATGGAGGAGCCGAGGATCTACGTGATGTGCGAAATGAACGAGATGGAGTTCATCTAGCTCTAGATGAGAGCTAGAGGAATTTTTCTTGGTAAGCCTGATCAACTCTTGAATGATACCTTCGAATTCGATCTCGATCAGCATGAAATCGCAGGTAACACCATCCAAGGTCAATATCCGGAGATTGGGCATATGAACATAGTGGAGAAAATCCGCAATCCAACAGTCCATCTTTCTCGATTTCATAGCCAGGTAGTGCAAGCGGGGAAGTGCAATTGGAGACATGGTATCTGTCGAAGGCGGATCCATATCCAATTCGAGTGCGAGGGTCTGCAGATTGATGAGCGCACCAAGGAGTTGCAACAAAGTTTTTGCTGTAGTGGCCGTATTTCTGTTACCGTTATCTGTGCAGTATTGTATCCGCAAGTTGACAAGATGTGAAGAAAACATGGAGGGTGATAGCCAGGACCAGCTGGTGCCAAAAAGGATAAGATCATTGATGGGAGATGCTGAACCAGGAAAAATCGACGGTTCATGATGGGCGGGGTCTACATCCAACTGGCTGTGTACGAGTTGAAGATGCAATTTTTCTAGCATATGGGCTGGATGAATGGAAGGGCACGACAGGAGTACGAGTGCTTGACGTATGTGGGTCTTTGAGGTCGTCCTCAGTGTAAACTCGCGCCAACGGTGTACATGCGCATGTAACTCCAGGATGATTAATACGAGGTAAGCGCCAGCCACGCTTTCCTCGACCGGTGCGGGGAGATCAAGGTTATGGTCATACGAAGGGGAGGCTTGCCTGGTAGCTCCGTTGAAGGGGTCATGGGGGTCATTCCAAAGTAGCGTGATTTTGAGAGGATGTGTTCCGCTAAGTTGCAGGAAAGTGCGCACTCGTTCAAGAGACGCAGCACCGTCGCCGAAGGAGATTTGTAACACAGTCCACAATGTTGGAGTCTGTGAAATGAGACAACGCCAACGTTCGCAGACACACATTGCTGCAATGAGTGTCGAGGGTGGAGGGCCATTGTATTCTTTTCCATTGCCATAATAACCATGAGGGTAATCTTGGTGCCAATCGTCCCAATACCTGCCTCCCCGTACTTCATTTTGCATAGAATAATCATGGAAGGTGGCTTGGTCTTCTTCACAGACCGACTCGAAAATCATGCGGAGCGCGTCGTCCGGCAGCTGATCGATATAGCAGTTATTCATCGCCATCGTTGACTTTTAAAAAAATGGGAAAGTGAGGGTAGTCAATACTACTAGGAATGATGGATAATTTCTGGAGACATATGTCAGAAATTTCCTTAAGTGGTTGCAATGACGTGATGTTGACACGCTGTTTGCGTGCCATTGAAATCAATTGAAATGCCTCCTGAAATGATAAGGTAATCTAGCGGCTGAGTTTCAATATATTGTAAGTCCTTTGTAACGTGCTTGGGCACATAGATCACTTGTTATCGGCGCCTGCAGCACATTCTTCGCGTTCTCGCGCATTCCTTGCTCTATACCCCCACCTCAACTATCTTTGTATACAGCTGTACAATACTGTCAACTACATGGGTCCAGATCGCTCAAAGCACTGTAATTTATGTGACCAGGATATCAAGCCATGAGGATGGACCACCCACCGAAAATCTTGCGAGACGAATGGCAGCCAAAAGACAATGGGATCAGGTGATTGTAGATGCGATTTGGAAGGAGAAAGGTGCGTCTGTTATATCTTTGCCTTGATGTATTGTCGAAGCTGATGTTTAATTGTATCACAATACAGCGTCGGATTCGTCATTGAGACTCGACAAACCTCAATCAGCCATTCATATCCCTGTATCAGGTATGTAGTAGCATTTTATTTTTGTTTTGCTATCTATGGCACTCACAAACTCACAGTTGAAACTGCAAAATCATGCAGACTTCCTCGATGTGGACTTCAGGTCATGATGATCCAGTGATTGGTCCAGGTGAGTCGTCGACACTTAATTGTTTTCGTTGATCTCACTAATACTTGGGCCAGTGTACCCTATTCAATACAGGCCCTTCTGCACTCAAGGAACCAGAAGTCGAGGCCACAGTCCCCACCTTCAATCAAGATGACATCAAGATCGAGTATCATCTGAGTAGTGGCATCGAGGCTAAGGTATACAGCTTCGATAACTTTGAGCGTCGTGCCGCAGACTTCCTGGTCCCTCCACCTGATGGCCAACCTTGGAGTCCATTTAAATCTCAGGCTCGAGTTTGAAATTGCTGAGATCATGCTCGAGGTCGGGTTCAACAATCAACAAACCGATCGTCTTATCAAGCTATGTCACCGCTGTGCTGTGGGGAAGGAGAAACTTACATTCAAAAACCACAAGGATATCCACAACATGTGGGAGGCTGCCTCGCATCGCATTACAAAGGTGGTAGTATATCCTTTCTCTAGTTCAAATGAGTCTGACATAGCATGAAGTATAGTTTACAAAGGAAGTGATCTCGGTCCCGTTCACTGGAGATGAGGAACTGTGGGAGTATGACGTGCATTACCGAGACCTTTGGGAGCTGGCTGCCGATATGCTTCGCAATCCCCGGCTCTTTCCTCACTTCACGTTTGATGCACACCGCCTCTCGAAGTTTGATGGTAACACTTTTGTTTCTTTCATCAATGAGCCTTTCACTGCGCGAGATATCTGGGATGTACAAGTATGTGATAATACTTTGTAGTTTTTCATGTGCCTTATGTCATTATATTACTTTGTAGTCGCAACTCCCACTGGGTGCGAAGCCGCTGGCATATATACTGTACGCAGATAAGACGAAACTCTCCTCCTTCGGTACAGCAAAAGGTTATCCAGTCTACGCTCGTCTAGCAAACTTACCGACTGCAATTCAAAATGGGCGCGGTGAAGGTGGCGGGTATGTTGTTGGATGGTTACCAATAGTGTGGTTTCCTTTAGTGACTCGCTGTTAGTGCTGCTGATGCAGTTTACATAGGTTAAGGACGAAAAATTACACTCCGGAAAGCCCAGCTGGGTAGATTTCAAAAATACCGTCTGGCACAAGTCATTTGCCAGGATTATCTCTTCGTTAGCCTCAAAATCACAAATGGGGCAGTGGTTTGAATGCCTAGATGGTGTCAAGCGCTGGTTTTTTCTCTGTATCCTCATTCTATCAGCTGATTTCGAAGAACAGTGAGTGTTGATTTTGTCGTTGTGGTCCTGAATAATTTAATTGTATCATTACAAGATCTGTCATGTCACTTACTCGAGGAATAATGAGTCTTTGGCCATGCCCCGTTTGTCTAGTCCCTCGAGATGACCTGTGGGATACTTCAAAATCATATCGTCGGCAAACATCAAAAGACTTGCAAGCAGTTATAAATGCTGCGCGTGCGAAAGAAACCTTTGAAGAAAGAGAGGAACTCCTGAAAGAACAAGCGCTTCGTTTAATCAATGTGAGCAAATATTTCTGCATGTCAGTATCACAGATTGATTGTTTTAGAACACATTTTGGGCAGTAGCATTCACCTGCGTGCATCGAGCATTGTCACATGACCGTTGTCACTTCAACCATGGTGGACTCTGGTCGCGCCATCTCTGGGTCGAGCTGCAGAAATATGTTGTAACTCTTGGAAGGGGAAAAGTATCACAAGTTGACAATCGGTTCGTTTTTTTGAATCTTTTCGAGTCATCCCTTATCTGATGCTCGATATTAATCTTATATGTATTAGATTCGAAAAATTTCCATGCTGGCGAAATCTCAAGCACCCAAACCAGGTCATCGGCGTTACATTTACAGACAGCTCCATCCACGAAGATATTTCTAAGGTTCGTAAACTCATGTGGTTACCCTGGCTACTAACATTTTCTCTTTCAGATGATCATTTATGCTACCCATGATGTCTTGACTGAGAATGATTCTCCACTCGGTTATTTTCTCTTACGGTGTGTACACCTTTACCTCGAGATGGACATGTACGCTGCTCTGGAGGTTCACACAACCAATACAATCAAGGAGGGGAGACATACTGTCCAAGCGTTCACAGCACTCATGAAGGTATGTAAATTGTAGCTAGTTTGATGACCCTACCTTGACACATCAGCAGCAATACATGACACAAACCGCTGATGACAATGTGAAGAATTGGAACTTTCCGAAACTGCACATGGCAACACATATATTCGACGACATCGAGGCTAAAGGCGCCACGCGCAATTACAACACCAAACCATATGAGCAAATGCACGGGCCCTTGAAGGACTGGTACTTGAACCGGACAAACTTCAAAAACGTTGCGGAGCAGGTAATCATCAATTATATTCGTGATTCCCTACTAACTATCCTGTGCATACTATCTACATAATCAGATCCTTCGCATCGACCACTGGATACTTGTAGCTGATGACATTGATCATCGTATTTCCGGACTTTGATGAATATTCGCAGCAGAAATCAGACGGCGACTCAGAGGATGACGATTCATTAGATGACGATGAAAATACCTACATCGGTGTGGATAGTACTTTAGATCCTATCACAACATGTGAGAATGGGATCAAGACAAGCTGTGCAGACTTTCTGTTCCATCGAGAATGCAGCAAAGCACCCGTGTCGAATTCACTAACTTTCGCATCAAGCTGAATGCATTCTTAAACATCTTTCTACCCGCCTGCAACATTCCACTGCCAAATGGAAGAAGAATCCACTTACAATCGGATGATACTGTACATTTGTTCAATCCAGCCTAAGTTGTTACTCTACTGATTTGATTCATTTGAAACAGGTTACCGAGTATCGATTCTTACATGTCAACTATGAATCCCTGGTAGACTGGAAACAGAATACCAACTATCTCCGGTGCAGCCCTCAGTTCTTCAACACACCGCATTATGACTGTGTCTTCATCCGGACACAGAACGGCGTCATCCTCGGACGTTTAGTCTTCCTTTTTCAATGTGCCATTGGGAATGACTTATTTCCCCTCGCTCTCATCCACCCCTTTGACGCTCCGACAGGGCCACGACTTCGACAGGACAAGCAGCTTAACCTTTTCAGAGTTCGTGCACAACCACGCACAAAGGCCGAGTTCTTCTCGGTACAATCAATCATTCGTGGGGCACTCCTAGTACAGGATTCAGGTGGCAACCCCCTTGATTACCTTGTTGTCGACACTGTCGACACAGACATGTTTCTTCATGTAAGGGAGATGCATCAGCAGGCGGGTCATCCAGTGCGCATCTGACCAATTCCGCTTTCAGGTAAGTCTTTTGTCTCTTTGACCTCGAGGTGCTCTGCTAATACATTCCTCAGTAATAGACTAGTCAAACTATGTTTCTATGTAGTACACCATGATTTGAACATTTGTTTGCACTCATTTTTGCTAAGCTGCTCAGTCTATCTTCACATCTTTGCTTCTACCACCCGTCTCTGAATCACCCACCTCTCAAGTGCTTCAACGCCAACATTTGAAAACTAACCATGCACACTTCTCACACCAGATCAAGGCGCAAGCATGGCAATATCAACATCGAGGACGACGGACCGCCTCTGCATGTCTCACAGGCTGAAGACACCCAGTCTGAACACGGCCATGCGCCAAGTTGACGAGTGTCTGGCTCGACAGACGGCTTGGCCCGGTTACCCGAGATGGTGCAAGGAGGTCGAAAATCCTGTGTGTGCTATTGACTTTGTGTAGCGATCCAAGTTTGATCTTGTTCTGTGAGTCGCGAATCCAAATTATCAGTGGTTGCCTACCTCGCTCTCATCCGCATTCTCAACAACCCGACTCCTACATCCCTTTCGCATCACCACCACCAACAATAACCACACCCAAGGATGAACGGTCTTGGGAACATGGGCCCGGATAGCAAGCGCATAGTGATTGGGATGGAGAAGGAGAGAGATAAGGAGCGGGAGAGAGCGCAGCACTGAAATGACAATGACAATGACCTAAATAAGTGCATTGTGTTTGATATTGTGCTATCTCTTGCGTTCTCATATTGTTTTGTTCACAACTGGCAGAGACGGGAGTTCCATCCCTTACCTGCCAACCCTGCCCACACCTCCCTTGTTGAACCGAAAACGGTACCACCCTCCAGATCACCATCACCTGTGGGGATGCGATTGCCCTCTCACTCTCCTGAATCTTACTACTCTCATATGTCTTCACAAGGTCGTTCACACTCATCCTTATTCCCAAGATCGCAACAACATAGTTATAGTCCTGACAGTTCACCAACCGCAACTTCAATCAATGATATATCACTCCTCCAGCTAAGGTTCTGCGAACGTCTACAAAACATCATCTAGGTGATTCTCCCATCAGCTACCATCCATCATCCTGCTGGGCTGCTGCGCCACCCCTACCCCCCCACCCTCCTAGCATTATCGTCACCAAGAATGACACCATGTCCGATTCTTCCCAAAGAGCAGGTATGTCTGAATCGCTCTCATCAATCATCCATGCTGACTCCAGAATCCAGATTCAGACACCACGTCCGATTTTTCCCCAAGAGCAGGTATGTCGCTCTTGTCTCTTATTTATTGTATCTCTGAATCTAACTCCAGATTCAGACACCACATCCAATTTTTCCCGAAGAGCAGGTATGTCGCTCTTGTCTCTCATTTACTGTATCTCTGAATCTAGCTCCAGATTCAGACACCACGTCCGATTTTTCCTGAAGAGCAGGTATGTTGCTCTCATCTCTCATCCACCATATCTTTACCTCCACTGCCACTGGTCCTCCAGACACCATGTCCAATTCTTCCCAAAGAGCAGGTATGTCGCTCGGCTATTGAGTCACTCTATTAAACTCAACTTAAACTCGAATCTGATCATGCGCAGCAGACACATGTTCTATTACTCAAGTCTAAGCATCTGTTACGAGTTTTGCACCACATTGGTGCGCAATTGACTAATCTCTTGCACTAACATGTAAAACTGCATGTAGCAATTTTACGTCTGACCGCCAAGGTACTGGGCAGTGCAGGCACTTTATAATGCGTGGTACTAGGTGAGTAATTTCTGTCGTCTCCTGCCCTTCAAACAAAATCTCAATTGGTATCCCCAAAACAGCTTCGTCAAACCGTCATGTCACATGTTTCGCGGCCCAGCGCAGCAGATTCTTCTGAATCTGATAGTGAATGGGATGGTCAGAACACTGCTGATGCTGATCATATCTCTATCCCAGGTCCTGGTGCATCTAAAGGAGAACTCCTCGAGGTAAGATGTATGCGCAGTTCTGAGCATTTCCTGACTCGCATATCCACTCAGACGCTCAAAATGCTGCAAGTTCAAATGCAAAAGCTTCAAGAAGAGAATAGGACAATAAAAGAGGAAAACAAGACTTTGCACGCAGGGAAACCCAAGCGAAAACGGCACGCGAATGCTCACAATGAGCTCAGCGTTCATGAGGAGACCATCTCTATCTATGCTTGCAAGTATGGCATGATGATTGAGATGTTTCCCAGTTGCAACCTCCTCAATAAGCGCCTTCCAGACTTGCCAACTCCATTTGACAGCACTGACCGATATGCGACTGCATGTACTCAAGAGTCAGCATTTCTGCACGAGCTCTACCGTCACTTCCCCAAGTCGTTACACAAAGTGATGGAAAGTTCTTACTTTAGCGATCTCGTAAGTGAACTCTCATTCCTGGACTTCTGCGTGATATAATATGATTATTGTAGGTGTTGAAATCCATCCCAGATGCTCGTGCTAACGAGATCAAGAAACTTTGGGGTGTTGCTGGCGACATTTTTGACCTCCCTTCAAAATACTTCAGCAACACTAGCTACGACAGAGCTAATGTCCCTGAAATCCAACGACTCCTCGGGGTCACGTCTTCAACAAACCTAGCGTACAAAACATTCCCTCCGGTGCTATTCCCAGAGTTGAAAGAAGACCGATCACTCAAGACTGTCTTCGGAAACTGGCTTCTGTTGGCACAAGTAAGTCTAGTGGTGCTCTCTGATTTGGCTGTCTGTCTCACCAGGAACATCCTCAGATTCTGAAAGCTTCATTGCGTGGTATCACATCCCTCCATCACGCTTCCAGTGGCGGAGGCGCACATACCAACTCCATGAAATGGAGCGTTTGGCAAGTCACACCGGGTTGCATCGCTTGGGCCGCAGTTCTTGTAAGCTACACATATCATCTAAGTTCAATTGGCAGTCACGCTCACGCACTGCTGCAGGCTATATTCTTACTGTCTCCTGACACTGAATTCTCGAGCACGGGCATTGGCAAGAGGTCAACGATTAGCTACAAGGATTTATTTTTCACATATAAGAAAGTTCTAGTGACCAAGTGGAAGATGAAGCGCATTGTACAGATTGTAACTAACATCAACCACTACATCTTCAAAGCTGCGCGACCTTCGGCCTTGGATTCTGCTGTACATGAAGATTTCACTGAACGCCATTGATCGCGCACTCGCAGCGCTTGACATGGAAAGTTCGGACGATGGAACAGAAACTGCGGCAGACGTAACAGATCCAGGAACTCCCACAGCCTGCTGCCTTGGAGAGACATGTCAATGCTCTGCCATCTGAATCAATCTCACAGCCTATCCTCTCCACACAGCGGCGGCACACTACAGAAGCTCCCATTGTCGACAATGTAGCCACCAACAATGGCACTGCTGCAGATTTGGAGGATGCTGCTGCTGCAACACCTCAGGCTGATGAGGTGGGAGCTGCAGTCATCAGCTCATCAGGCGAGGTACTCCAGGAGGCGGCAGATGATCTGAGCAGTACTAGAGGGAGGTCCAAGAAGTCGAAAAGAGGGAGGAAGGCGACCACGCCGGCAATGGCTACTGATCGTACCACTCGGCAGGCTCACAAACAGTCTTGAGAATGGATCCTACACCTACTCGTTGTATTAGCCCATCGGTTTACTTTGCTGTACTTACTTGGACTCTGAATCACACTGTAACATTAGATTATGCAACTCCTTTGAATTGACAGAGTTATCGGTCCAGGATTCAGAATCTTACAGTGATATTAGGACATGTGCAGTGCTGGATATTAGGCGGGAGATGTTTCAATGATGTCAACGTGTGCGGTGATCCAGAATCAGGTGGAAAGACACTGCGGTTCATAGTCGCATTGCTCGTCATCGATCCAGGCAGTCGTGGGTGGTCCAGGCATACATGTAATATTAGTCCAGCGCCCATCATCAGCTGCTGCAGAATCAGCGGGAGTGCAAAGTATTGCTATTACATAATAACTCGATGTAAACAAGGTCAAATATCATTTCAACTTGTGGCTTAGCGTTTACATTGACTTTCTTTCTTTTCAACCTCATCTTATGCGCTGTAAGTCAGCCGCTTTGACATATCTGAATCTCCCATCTCTCTTTCGCGAGCCTGCGGCCTGGACCAGTCAAAATCCTCCTCCGTCCAAATGGAGCCCTGCAGTCGCTGTGCTATAAGTTCTGTCAATGGTGCGTGCCTTCTCTTTTTCAGTTTCCTTAAAGTCCTCCCTTTCCGTCACACACACTTTTGTTTCCTGTTTTCATCATTCCGTTTGTATTAGTTTTTTCATTTCAAAGTGCTATACTTAGACTAACTGTTATCTTCCCAGCCGTCTTTGACACATTGTCTCCTTCCACCCAGCCCTCTAATCCACCCTCACATCACCCCAGCAACCCTCTGTCCCTCCTCCCCATCAACCCTGGACCAGCAGGCAGTTTACCGCGATGGCAGGAACCCCACCTTTTGGTGTTCTATTGGGGTACTTTACTTCCAAATCAACCAATTCCGTGACGCCCTTGATGCATACTCCCGTGCCATCCGCATCAACCACTGGTGGTCAGCTGCCTGCTGCATCAGGTCCTCAGGATGTGCACCCAACCGCATATGCCAGCACCGTGGTTCCTCCCCCAGGACTCACCAGTCCTCCTCTTCTGCTGCAATTGACGTCCACTTGTCCCCCAATCTTCCGGCCTTAGTCAAGTGGCCCGCCTAGCGGCGACAACCTTCACTTGCCCCCTCCTGCACCTGCTCCTGCATCTAGATCATCACCTGGTCCGTTCCGAGGTGGTCCTCCACCACCTGTAGTGCTGGATGAGAGTCGTCACATGCCTTCACATACACCTCTCGCACTTATGGACGTCGATCGTCCACCCATACTCGTGACTCTGGTCCTCCTCTCCTGCTACAATCGACGTCTACTCGTCCCCCAATCTTCCGGCCTCAGTCAAGCAGCTCGAATATGGCCATACCCTTTCCGACTACAACATTCAGACCGCCCTCGTCTCCCCCCTTGCCAATGGCGTCACTCATCTTCTAGTAATGCAGCTGATGCTGACCCCCATGACCTCCAAACCCCGATACCGGGTAACCGTTTCCTGGTCTCCCTCCCTGGTGGTAAGTCGTTTTTTTAGCTCCTCGATATCCTTCTGGTTCTGATTGTCAGGTATAGCCAGGAATATATTGCTATCGATATTATTGCCATGGCCGTATTTACAAGACCTAATCGTTATAGATAAAAATTTGTACCATAGGCTTGCAATCTAATAGAAAAATTTCAATGCTCTGATCATGATTGTTGTGTGTCGCAATGCCTGACAAATGAGCTTGAAAATGATGCTTGCAACAGCCATTTAAATGGGACGGGATCGGAGGTTTGAAAGATTAATTCCATTTAAATAAATCTACAATTGCATTCCAATTCCGTCACAATTCCGTTGCAATTTGGTTGCAATCACCCTGAAATCACGACTCTATCATAGCAACCTATTTAAAGACACTCGCTGCATTTGAAAGTTGAAATCGGTTGCAAGCCGTTGAAATACAAATAAGGAAGTTCTGACATACTACTCAAGGAGTCAAGGTCATCCACCGCGGCTGCACCAAGTTAAAGCGAGCCCTCGATTGTGAACTGCGTTCAAAGTACTCGGTTTCAACGGACAATTGTCGACTGTCGCTATCGATACAGAAAGACGTACGTATTACGAGGAAGGATTCGCCACTCAAACAGCTAAACTCAAACCTTGTCATTGTCAACCATAATGCAAATCAGAAGCGGAGTCCGGATTTGCTTCGCATCTGCAACTTCAAGGATAGAGTTGGGATAGGCGAAATTCTAGCTGACATGGAAGGACATGGACCGTCTGGGGGGGACGTCTTTCAGATTCTTCTTCGGATGTATAAGTATCGTGATCTAAGTTCCACGTGACCGGCGGCATTTCTTCTCCACCGAGTCGAAGCCTGAGGCCTGAAGCTTCGAAGGACTGATCACCTGCAAATTGACGGTCCAGCACAGGCTGACTAGTAGCATGAGTATTTTTCCACGCGGTCATTGATGGTAGAACCCTGGGATGTCTCTGAGTCTGGTGCGATTGATTAATTATATTGATGGAACAATTCATTGACAAAGGAGTGATAAACAATGGTACATGATTAGTACATTGGGTGTACATATGATGGACTCGCAAAGAGTACCACCATGTTACAGTTTCGCTCTGGGCTTCGTCCGCATCTCCCGAGCCTTGTCTCTTAGCACCCTCCTCAACAGTTTACCGCTCGGGTTCTTCGGGACAACGTCAATAAACTCAACACCCCCAGCGAGCTTTTTGTAGCCAACTTTATTATCAACAACGTGCTGTAAAGTTGTAATATAAGCACGACACGTTCCCTGGAGTTTTGAAGCTCCAACCTTCATAATCGACGCCTTAATCTCGTCCGCGGCCTGAGGGCTTTCTTCGACGCGTTTGGCGGCTTCAGGGCGGAGAACGACGAATGCTAGTGGTAGCTCGCCACTGTATTCATCTTGTATTCCAACCACGCACGTATCAGTCACGTCGGGGTGGTCCAGAATACACCCTTCGAGCTCGGCAGGTGCGACCTGGAATCCACGGACCTTCAACATTTCCTGTAGGGCTGTTCAGTCAGGTGAGACCAAGGCCTAAGGCCAATCATTCAACCTTTAAACGGTCAAGGACTACTATTTCTCCCCGGCGGTTCATCTTCACCTCATCACCGGTACGGAGCCATCTGAAGGCGGAACCTCAATCACCAGCCGATTGAACACCTACCTACTCACCCATTTACAAAAGTTTCCTTCGTTCTGAACACATTGCGGTAAATATGTGAGTGATACAAGGAAGATGGTCTCATACGCTTCAAGGTTGTTTGCATAACCAAGGGCGACTGCCTGCGTCTTTACAACGAGCTCGCCAGGTTCGTCAAAGTCTGCAAGAGTACCATCTGGTTTCTCTACGCGGCCGATAATACCAGGAAGGAGTTGGCCAGCACCACCACTTAAGTCACATCTCTTATCTACCGCCCAAGTGCTTATGACAGTGCACGATTCGGTAAGGCCTGTGGCCGCTGGGATGAAACCTGGACACCCACTCTCCAGAGATGGACTTACCGTAGCTTTGCCCTAGGTCAGCGTTTGGGAATATCTGAACGAGCTGCTCCATCACCTCACGAGACAGAGGCGCAGCACCCGAGGTGATATATCGGACGTGACTAAAATCGTAACTCCTGACGGCTGGATGCTAAGTGTCAAACGCAGATAGGTGAGAGACCCGATCATTCTAGAATTACGACTCGCTGACCTTGCACAATAGTACGATGTGTGGGGGGACCAACCTAAAGTCTTGTTCAGGTGAGGTCGAATCAAACCAGACGACGACGTACATAAGATGAGTAATACGGTGTCTGATTATGCTCTTCAAGAACTCTAGAAAGTTGTATTTCGCTGTTAAAACAACCGTCATCTGGATGAACGTCAGTCAGCGTGCAACTGCAGATTCGGGGTGTGTCGACGCACTCCGCAGAAAAAGGCATAATGAGACTACAAGATGTTCAGCAATGAAACAACTACAGCCAGATGAGCTCGTACATTGAAGACCAGTCCATAAATATCTGGAAACAATCGGTTTCACAACATAATGACGTTGCAAGAGTGGCAATGGCTTACGATATAAAGGAAGCACTGCGCAGTCAATCAAACCGAGTCCTTCGGATAAACAGCAATGCACGTACCGGCACAACATACGTCACCAGGTTTAAATCTTTGTCCGGCATAATCTTCCCCGACCTTGTGGTGCGTAGCAAGCTGAATGACATTTGCAATTCGGCGCGTAGTGGGGTATTGCAACGGCCTGATACATCGCATGTGCAAGTTACATCCACATGAATGTCCTCGCTAAGTACGCGCTCACCTTCGGGCGACCAGTCGTCCCGCTGGAAAAGTTCAGAAAGGCCACCTTGGTCTTCCCTTCACCAGGAGCAAGTTTCCGTTCTGTGAAATTTGGAACACTCGCAAGACCTTGCGAAATCAAAACTTGCACAGTCACCCTCTGCGTGGTAACACCCTCGACGTCAAAAAGAATGACGCGATCGGCGGGTACACCAGCGGCGTGTGCAGACGCCAAAGCCACATTGAGCGAGTCCGGGTGCGTGATGATGACGGCTGCTTTCACTGAATTGATTTGATATACGAGTTCGTCAACTGTGAATAGCGGGTTGGCACCGCTTGTGGGCGCGTTTCAGGATGTTTTGGGCAACTTAGAGAAAGTGAGCATACGACACCGCAGCACCAAGTCTGTGAGCCGCCCAAGCAGCCACAAGGTAATCTGCAGAATTCATATTGTCAACCCAGACAAAACACTGCATGTGACGAAGCCAGCTCACATACCAACATGATTTGGACTGTAGATCAACACTATCAAGCGTGTAGAATGGGGGGATCATCAATACTTGCAAGTCATTGAAACTATAGTGTCATTACCAACATGATCCTCCTCTGTGCGGAACCAGAGGAGTCAGCATGTGGCACTCAGTACCTTGAAAACGCAGAGAACGCACGGATGTTATAGCGGATACTCAACGCATTAGCCAGACCATATGTCCGAGCTCTGAGCTACGACGTACATGATCAGCCATTGTAACCATTGTGGGCCGGAATAGCAATTTATATCAATCCCACACCAACTTTTGCGCATTATCCCGCAGAGATGTGCTCAATTTCACTGGGAGGCACACTCACCTCCTCAAGCCCAATCTTTCTCCCACTCTGGTCATCAACAATCCATGCATCACTCTTACGAACAGGCTTTCTGACATGCTCCGCATCCAATATGAACTGCGCAAGCGTGAGGTCATCAGGTATATGAGGGAGGATTCCTGCAGGTGACACGACTTCAGCCATCTCTATCGTCTCTATCTAGTATCCACCAATCCAAAAGGGCAAGAACGCTGAGCAAAGGCAAGGACGATGAGCAAAGCAAGAAACGCTCTGTAGTAACGTAAATTCTCATGGTTTGTTTTCATACGTCAAATGTACTAAACTCCGAGATATTTCGTCCTTTTCCGTCGCTAATTACACCATCGCTCGCCGAAAACTCATTGAGGTGTGGCGAACCCTGGCGATTCGCGAACCTGCCCTGTGACATGTCGAATGCCATTCTAATATGAATTTCTCACTGAGTGTGTATGCATGTGAGTTGTTGTCAGGTGCTGATCAAATTAACACCTGCCTATTTGATCTAACATGCAGGAATCTACTATGTCGGGAACAAGCGAAACTGGTTGCAACGAATCGTTGTTTAAATGTCGTTGAAATGATAAGGAATACTGAGTTTCAATATGACCTTGTACCTTATCACCCCAGGCTTCTTCCCACCTCCACTTCGAGTTTGAGGGGCGAAATCAGGAAAATATGGTCATGTGAAGGAGCGCGCCGAGGCGCGCGGGAAAGGGATCCACGGTAAGTTTGTAGCTATTCTCTGACTACCAGTATTGACCATCTCAGGGGTCTTATTATCTTGCCCAAGAGATGCTCTTGGGTGCGGGCATTAAGTGAGTCATGTCGTCTCATGATGAAGTAACTCACTTGATCTCCAGCGGTTTACAAGCATGCGGCAGTCTATTCGATTCGGCTTACGTTCAAGAGTATCCATGGACATGGACACAGTGTGTAAGGTATGTGCTACTTCTCTGTATTAGTACTAATTGAGCTTTTCACTTGTGAATGGTTGTAGGATCCCTCGGTGAATTTCACCCAAGTGTTTACTGACGGGTCTCACGGCAAACTCGGACCTCGCTTCCTATACCTCTGCAAGACGCTGGGATCACTGTTCGTCCTTTACGCGACTCGGATTGTCTGCTCCATTTCTCGAAATTTTCGGTTGCATAGCCGTTGTGACACCCGAGACCAATTATTGAATACATTCGATGAACCAGATACGTTTTACGTCACTCATCAATTCACTTTTTCTCCTTGACTCCTCAGACTCATTCCTCGCATACAAGTCACCCATATCCGACTCTCCTTCGATCTCTGTTTTAGCACACTCGATGGCGGCGGTGCGCATGGCCTTTATTATTTTCTCTGTCCGTTTGAAGTTGCTGACATGTTTGTGGCATATCCTCTGAAGGCAAGCACTTCCATCCCCGCGTCTTCCTCGAAACAGTCAAGCAAATCTATGAGCATGTATTCCTCCGACCTCTGGTGAAACTTTGCCCTGCCCTCGAGCAGGAAGTGTTCGCGACGATGCTGCTGGATCGGACGATGACACTCGAATTAGGGACAATGCTATTCAAGTTGTACGAGGAGCTCGAGATTGACGGATCAACGCCGGATGCGCTGCTGACTGTGCACAACAGTGTCAGGCACCTTCGCGTCGAGTATCTCCAGGAGCACTGGGCCTCGTAGTATTTTTTTTTCTATCTTTCAATTCAAGCTCTCGCTCGTCTTTAGTCACTACTAATGGCTCAAATTTTATACTACATTATCTCCCCGCCCAATCGAACCTCGCCCTGGCTTTGCACAATTTTCCTTCCGCCCCCCCTTCCACACGTTAGCCAGTATTTTTTTCCTTACCTCCCCAATATCACGTGGCTCACGATTTTGTCGCAGATGGCCCCTCACGTGCACGACCAAAAATGGGTTTACCCTTCACAATTGTTCGGAATCGCATGACGTCGACGATGTTGCAACTTGCCGTCCTTGTTCTAACCAACTTATCCACGTGCCTCGCTTCGGGACAGATGACAAACTTAATGAATTGCTGTTGCTATGCAGCCAATGGAGCACGTTGGAACCCTCGATCCCATGCGTCTTGATAGGACTGCCAGAGGGACATGTTATGTACGACGATCCCAAGCATTTTTCATTTACATAAGTAATCTGTACGCAAAACATCAGGAGAGCATATTACAGCCGTGGTGTCAATGCCGCTTCAGTGTCCAAATCATAAACCCCCTGAATTTCCTCACGACCAGGCACAGTATGAGCCCACTTCATCCGCAGCTCTCCCCACCACCGAATCATATATTCTTTCTCTCTATCGCCGACGCGCAGCTTGATCTCCGCAAAGAGTGCGTCGATAAGTTCCTGCCTCTTCTCGTCCTGAGCTGCATCCATAAATGAACGGATGGGATCCAGCAAGCGAGGAAGCAATGCCAACGGCACCGATGGCACACACGAGATAAGAGTCAAGTGAAGCCGATGCTTACGCTCGTCGTCATGCTCGGATATAGACGCAACAGCAGCCAGAAGGCAGTCGATGCAAAACCACGCAAGAGACAAATCAGCAGCAGACGCCGCACTCCGAACGAGAGCAGCAAAAGCTAACCGGAGTTGCAGCGTGCTGAGCCTGCCCTGCACTGAATTCTGTGAACGACCAGCATGGTCAAAGATACTCGAGAATTAAGACGTAGCCACTTACGTCTATTAGACAGTTAGCATAAAACGGCACGATTTTCCTTGTGAAGCCGCCCCCCTGTTGTGACGTCGACTCCCTCGCCTTCTGCGCATGCGAAGCGAAGATAGCAAGGACGACACTATGCGCGGATTCGAACGTCTCGCGGTGACTAGCGTCAGACAGGTGCCTACCACGTGTTCAGGGTGAATCACTGTATATGTGGAGGATGAAACTTACGGAAGGCACGTAGGAAATACAAGCTCCTGAATAGTCATTTCGTTAAGCACAGGAATAAGTTGTTCGATTGCTGAAAGCGCAAAGGCCTTTTTCGCTTGATAGAAAGGGTGAGCCGTAAGTGACTCTAAGCCCGATTCGACGACACAAAGATGTCGAGCGTATTCGTTGCTCTCTGTTACATCACTTCCGAGAACATCGAGTGTAAGGTAAAACAGCCGCTTGAGCTCATCAAAAGCACCGTAACCTGCACCACCAAACTGCGCGATAACAAATGATAGGTGTGAGAGCGCTTGCAGAACAGTTACTGCAAGCGTGGAAGTCGATAGTAGAACAGCGGAAGTGGAGGGGATGTAGACCAGAGCAGAGAGACCTGCTTCTGTGATCATAATCACGCTGAAAAGGAGTGTTTTCAAAGTCGCCCATATGGCGGTCGTAACTTCCCTGGCGTCTGGTGCTAAGTATGGATGAGCGCTATACGGTTATTAATCCAACGAGGCTCTTACACAACAAGCTCTGGCCTGTAGCCCCACAAAGTGAGGTCACAAACCAGTCGGTTTCAACGTGGGCAGTGATAGAGTTAAGTTTCCGATATGCTTCCGAGATTAGGGGCAGTGCGACGTTTGGCCTATGATCTACAAAAAGCGACACGGTTCTAGCACACAACTTCGATATTGAACCAATGTAAGCCATCGAAATCGAATTTGATATGTTCTTGATGGATTTTGAAATTGGACTATCTAGCTGGATGAATGTTAGTTTAGGGAGGTATATATACGTATGCTACTGACAGGTATGTGAATTTTGAATTCTGCCTTAGAACATAACGAAGACTGGAGGGAAGATAGGAACCTTCCACTATCAAATGCATCCTCGATGGCACGCATAATTAGTCCTAGTAGATGCTGATAGCACATTAGTATAAGCGAACTGCTCATGTGAGCGGACTCACAGAAAGGGGGAGCGCAGTGAATTTCTGGGAGGGTACCAACAGAAGAGATTGAGAGCCTATGATGAGTGACAATGCAAGAGCATCGGCTATAGGAGCAGAGTTTACATTAACAGAATAGTTACCGATGCTTTGAGCAACGCACCTGATTCAGCGGCAGAATGAAATTCTTTTCTCCATGTATCAGACGTTGAGAACTGGTCAATAACGTCTGCAAAGGTCATTACCAGTTCATCTTCAGCTATACCCTTCACGCCTCGCTTCTTTGCTGGTAAATGCTGCAGGATATCCTCAAGGCCAAGAAGAAGTCCGCTACAGCAGGCTAATCGTATAATGGCGTGTCCACCTTCGAGACCTTGAAAGATAGCAAGGGACCAGACATTGAGCTGAGTATCTAAGCTCGGGGAAAATAATCCACTCGAATCCGCTTTCAGCACCTGCAGTTTCGAATGTACTGCATGTCGGAAGGATGTACTGAGAACTTCTAGTTTTGAACGCGAAAACGGAAGGAAGATAGGGCTGCTAACAATGGTGGCAGCGAGAGGCGTTGGAGAAGGATGAATATTCGCGAGGTAGTGGACGATGAGTGCCTGGATAGTCGACAATGGAGTCTCGGTGGTGTTTGACCTTGCCAAGCTGTTGAGTAGAAGGGTGTGACCCCGGTCTGGTGCTGCCATGTCACACGAAATAATAAATCTGTAGGTAAAGCTAGCAGGTGGCTGTCAGTGGATGTCGGCTCCGATGCTCGCGCTCTGGTGATTCTGAATGATCTGGTGCCTTCTCCTAGGACATGCTCGCCTCCGCGCACGTTAAGCCTTCGTCTTACGACAAAAATTATGCACGTCGGTCTCAAGGCCGCGTTCCCGTTTGACTGGCTGATCGCCTATCACAAGAACTAGTCTTGTTGTTCAGTTAAACTGTCTTAACAGTTCAGGTTCTCCGCAACGTTTTGAATCAGGATGGATATTATGTAATCTTCAAGTGTTTTATGGGAATGCCACTGGCCGATATCCTGCCTGGACCCACATTCATATTCACCAGATCCGGGTCAATCTAGCTAATATGCCAACGTAATTATCCCCTCTCCGTGCTTCTGGACTCAGAACCTTTTTATCGGTGCTAGCCAGACTTTTCCTAACGTTTCACTGATAATCGTCTCATGATCACGACCAAGCTTATCTATCCATTCTTCAATCAAAAGGTTGTGCCTCCGTGAACGCAAACGGTAAGTAGGGACCAGGTTACTGTTATTCTCGACTTCTTCTACGACATGTTTTGCGGAGTTACTGTTGAGGACAAGTTCTTCCGGTTTACCGAACCTCAAACCCAGTTTAGCCCGCATCGATTTTCCGATGGCCTGACGTCTGACAGCTTCGTGGATTGCACGACCCTGGATTGTTAGTAATCCGCACATCTTTGAACTCAGCGTGAAAATCTGTATTTTGCAGTACCACAAGATGAGCGTTTTCTCCGGTGGCATCGCCAGAATCAGATGGATCATGGCAGTGAGTGGTAACTTCGCCGTGTGTCAAATTAACCCATGTGAACCACAACTTCATACATCATGATGAGTCTGTAAGGCTGAGGAATTTCGTGCCGTGTTATACTTTTAGCAGCCAATTGTGGCCATCTGTGAGTCGCATGATTTTCGTTGCAAGCTACCGCTCTCTGAGCTGTGCTGGCTGGTCCCCAGGAGACTGCGGGATACCCATTTATTCCTATCATGTGATGGTTATAATGCCCGACGCTCATATGCTCACCTGACATATATCAACGCGCGCTTAACATATCCTGTTGCCTACGACAAGTTTTCAAATTTTCCGCATAAATGAATTGATGATATCTTGATGAATCAAGTAGCAGATAGGGCAGTGTAATAAATGGCAGCTACACCGAGGGAATCAGATTTTATGAATAAAGCGAGGCAGATTTCCCAAAACGCGCGGGCAAATAGAGCCGCGCGCGAACAAAGGGAAGGGGGTAATTATGTAAGCGGGGGTATTCAGGGTCTTTGAGAACTCAGACACTCACCTTTTGCAACCTAGTACTCGCTCTGTTCACTCCCTGCTCAACGTCCCCTGCGCCATTTCCGTTGCTGCTGTCGTCGCCGAACTAGTCGCCGTCGCTGCGCTTGACGTTGACAAGGACGTCGACTCCCGCTTCCTTGTTCATTGGTCTATTCCGCCCAAGATTCAAGGCCGTAAAGCAACCAATAACATATCCCACCTCCTTCCAGCCATACCAGTACTTACTTCCTGCCCCTTCTTGAAGAAACGGGCGAACCGTTTTTCATTCAACATCGGCTACTATATCTTCTCTTGATAACGAATTCCTGCAATGTCTCCCAACCCATCCCAGAATTCACCTTGGCCAGCTCAGACAGCTCCACCATCGTCATCGAAGCGAAGGAGCCCTGACATGGGATCTTATTGGCCCTCATCACTGGGAAGGAGACAAGGAACTATTATCTCGAATGAGAGTGCGCTCGGTGCGTGTACAATATAGTTATGCGAGGTTCCGGACGCGAGCAGTCGCGTCTCCCTCATTACTCGTATCCTGCGCTAACGTCTTGTGTTTGTTACGCCAGCGCAAGCCGAGACCAACTGTGAAATATACGCTGATAATAGTCAGGTGACTTGCTACCCAGGTACAGGTGATCTTGTGATTCAACACCAGTGGGCACCCGTTGTCTGTGAGTATCTCCATGTTTCATTTTCTCTGTTGAAATTGACGCGATAACAGGGAATAGTAGACTGCCGCAACTTTCGCAGTTCAACGTCGCCTACCTATACTTGTTTGATGCCGATGCGAACACTCCCATTCTCAATTTCACACGAACAAATCCAACTGCTAGTGCCGGTGAATTGAATACACCTGTGAATGATACGTGGTTCGGAACCAAAGGCAATTCATGGACGCCAGGGCAGAACTTCTCATACCCATTTTATTGGGTAGTGACCAATACGGATACTCTGGATGGCTCTGAAACTACAAATCCAACGTTCATGGCTATTCGTACGTTTATGTCGCGCAGCCTATATGCCCCAACTAACATGCTCGTGAAGAAACTACATATGCAGATGCTGTTGTTTCGTCTATGCAATCCTCGTCATCTGCCGCCGCCGCCTCGTCATCTGCTGCTGCCGCCTCATCATCTGCCGCTGCTGCCTCATCGTCTAGCTTACATGCATCTGGGACATCGTCGACTCCATCGGGAAATGTTCAGACAGCTAACTCAAATACACCTTTTCCTCATTGGGCAATAGCAGTCATCGTGGTACTCGGATTTCTCGCTATCGCAGCTGGTGGTGTCTTGATTTGGTTAATCGTGCGCCGTCTACGAAGACGTGGACAACTCTCGAATCGAGGGTCCATAGGTTCCTCGTCTCCGATGATGGCCAATGCCCAGAACTCCAACTCTCCTCAGCTACCGTTGCTGGGGGCTGGGTTGGTGGGTGCGACGGCTGGCCGGACATCATCAGAACATCATCGGCCTGCATCGATCATATCTCCGGATGGTGCATCTGATATCTCACGGGCCCACTCTGCAGGCGACACCGGTCCATTTTCAGGAGCTGATGCAGCCATCATGGCGGATGCATTTAGGAAAGCATTGCGCAAACCTGATTTTGCAGGGCCCCCTGTCGAGGAGGCCGAGGACCACAGGGATGATGCGATCATGAGTCGTGAATTGGCAGAAGAAGGACGGGACCTACGGAGTGTCAGTTCATCACGGGGAGTTAAAGTGGAAACTCTGGGTGGGACTGGTGATACAGTGCAGGATCACTAGGATTTCTTGTACGCTTTACTTTATTTTATTCTACTTCGACTTCTCAACGTTGGTTGTATATTTTCTCGGATACCTTTCGTAGTCCTCACGTTGTCCCACCTTCGTCGCCGTGTAGTTCGCACCTCTACTTGCCCTTCTAACCCGCATAACTCCACTTCTCTTGTCTCCGCTTTTCCACCCCACCCTGCACCTTTTTCCTGCATTGCAAGGCTGGCTTTTTACCATACATCCGCTATCATCGTGATTCTCGGTAATTTCTGGTAGTTGCACTAGACTTTTCGTTCGGACTCCTACCCCTACCTGCTCCTACTTGCCCTGTATTTCCCCACGGACGCCGTCCTACCACTCCTTACACCCACACATTGCACCCAGAGTTGTGGTTGCACATACCTGTCGGATCACGCCTTCCCACCCCTGCCCGTATGCCGCCCACGAATCACATGCCCTCTCATCTTCAAACTGCTTACGCTCTTTCCAATAATCAAATTTCGGCATGCATGTGGATCATGCCAGCTGGGACGGACGCTCCCCTTACCTAGGAGGACGGACGCGTACTTGGGTTTCTCACTCCTCGAACGCTTTTTCATACATCTTTACAGTCTTTGTTTCCCTTTTTTTTTTTTGCTCGTGCCAAAACCTTGTTGACCATATATGCCATCTGGGTTACTATATGACTAGGCAGATTCTCCTTTAATAATGATGATGATGAAACGATCGCAAACATCGCGTACATAGGCTGACCGACTTGGATCTTGTATGGACGTTTCCTTGATTACTGGATCGGGATATGGTTTTAATTTCTTTGGTAGTGATGTTACAAGTTCTTTTTTTCGGGAAATACCCGGTCCAGGTTGACAACGAGGTGTTCGGTGGTGTTTAAATGTTTACTTCGCTGTCCTCTTCACAACACACACGCCGGGCAAAGGGTGCATCTGAAATAGAACGTCGGGACCCGCTTACAGCTAGATAGACCAGATTTAATTTTTTTTCGGGAGGGGGCGCATCAATCCATTTAATTATAAAACTTGAACCTAATTGAACGCAGGCAAAGTATAACATTAGCATCTTCAAATTGGAGGACGCCAATTGGGCTATGTAGTGCCAGCCAATTATGATGTCAATTATAGCACAGGTATTACTGCAGAGGAACACAGCAAAGGAGGGCGAATGACACGCCATGTAAAAAAGAATGTGCCAATAATGATATAAATATCATACACTGGCTTATAAATCTATACATGAAAGGTTTTTCTAAATGCAGTGTTGAACTCATCGTATTCACCTTTCCTCTTAGGTTGAGAATGTCAATATACATTTGCGCAATGGGTAGAATTATAACTCATTGTTGAGCAGTGAGGTGACGCATAAGCAGTTCATATCTGGCAATTATGTCAACGGAGAATGAGATTGAGCTACGGTCTTTAACACACGTTAAAAGTGTCACGGCGCTGTTTGGCACCGTTCGGAATAGGTTGATTGAAAGACCTTTGTAGAGACCCGTCCAGCCCTCTTTCTGAATGATCTTGCGCGTTATGTAAATGATTCCGCGGCGGGCATGTGTTTTGACCATGCCGTCCGAGGATGCATCCTCAGCTATTGGTAATCGGAGCGTCTGCAGCCGTGTGCGTACAACCTCGTGTGGATACGTCGCAATGGATGCCGCCATCTTCGCTATTCCAGAACATACCAATATCGTGTCGTTCCGTAGCGGCCCATCGGAGTCACCCTCTACGTTTATTTCAAAATTGTGATGCAGAATAGGTAACTGCTACTCACGGGCCCACATCTTGAGCTGTTCGTATAGGGGAAACTGGACAGCTACATGAAATATTCCTAAGAGGCTGGGTAGGAGCCCGCGGTAAAACGCTCGGATGCCCTCTGTGCGGTATATTGCCAAGGCTGCATCGAAAGTATGTCGATATCTGACTTCTCGTCTTGATTGTGTCTATCGCATGCATTAGCCAGGGATGGCAAGTTCATGAACTGGGTTGCAGGTAATTGATATTGAAATAAGACTCATACCATGAAACGGGTTTTGATGACCCACAGTGGGTTGGTACAGGATGTGCTCGCCGCACCGGCAATCATCGCAGAAAGGATGTGGAGGGTCCATGGGTGGTCGCGCATGGCGGGCTGGTAGCCCTTAGGTTGTGCAGCAGGGTATATTCGGTCATGATTCTGCACTTGGCCCAGCGGAGGTTCTCCGAAGCGCGTCTTAATTCCGTCATACACCGCAAAGTAGATGGCCATTGTTGGAAGGTACCCCAAGATTGTAGGACCAAGACCACGGTACATGCCCCGTATTCCATCATGTTTGAGGGTTGTTTTAACGATATCTGTGGGGTAGTACCAGGGATGATAAGGGATATGAGAACGGAGATGGAGGGGCCGGAGAACATACCAAGAACTCCTTGATAACCCTGCTGCCCTTGGACTGTTCGCTGAGCTTGTAACTTGGTCTTGATGACGTCGAGCGGACAGGTCGCAATGCTGGCAACCAGACCACCTCCAGCACCAGCTGTACGTGGAGAGCCGGATATTGTTCAGAAAATGGAGTCGTATACAGTAGTAATAGCGCACCGATCATGCTGTTTGCGGTCCATTTTGCTTTTCGCGTCTGCATATCTCTTCCCCGCTAAGGGGGTCGCTCGAACGCTATGGCTTATGCTGGCGTTATCCTAAATATATATGTACCGAAGGCAGCTGGAATCTGACCAACCCAATATTTATCGTCCCAACTATGAGCTGACACCTGCGCACCCGGATTTTGCCGAGCCATCTTGTCTAAACGACACCGAATTCCGAATCTTGCTACTAGCTACATAAGTTAGTACGACAACCCCTTACAAGCTAGGCAAGCACAACTAAGCAGTGCCACTAGTCCGGATCTCACATACTGATAAGTACAAGGCTCAAACCACCTGACATGTGAGTGTGCCTGCGCCAAAATTGACATGGCGAGGGTATATCATGATCATGATAACGTCGACACCTCCTAGAGGCCCAACACTATCTAACACTACTTAATTATATAGCGCCCATAAACGTCGAGGAACTTTACATCATGGTCAAAGTGACTTGCAAAGACGAAACACTTGCCGACTCGGAGAACTCCAGCCCCGTCGTGGTGGAGGGCAACTATTACTTCCCCCCTGAGTCCGTCAATAAATCATTCCTCATTCCCTCAGACACAACGTAAGGCCTTTTGTTGTTGATGTAATGCCAATGTGCACTGAACTTTGAGCGCTCAGCACTGAGTGTCCTTGGAAAGGGTGAGCGCCCTGGGTCCGTTGCTCAGTGCTGAACCTTTTTAACGGGATTTCCCCTGAAGGACAGCGTCGTACTATTCTGCACAGATTCATGGTGAGACTGTGAAAGATATCGCATGGTAAGGGACTGTATCTGCCAGGCCGGGCTGGTATACTGAGTTATCATCCAAGGTACTATGCGAATCCAAAACCCAAAGCATCACATATCAAAGATCATGTCGCGTTCTACAAGGCAAGGTTATCTTCATGGGGCTCTTCCCCTCTAACATCATGATTTTGCTGCAGAACAAAGTTACTATCGAGTGAAAGGGAAGGAAATCATTTCAGCAGTGTATTATTCAAAGTGCCGCACATTCGTATCCATGTAATTTTACAGAATCGAAGAATTGAAAGTCTACCCCTTGAAGAGTATCAAAACCTATAGGTGTGCCAGCTGTGTCATCGAGATGGGACTTTAGCATCAAAATGAAGCTACATAGTGTATGTTTCTGTGTTATCGTAAGCATCAATATCGTGATTCAATCCAGCACATGATTCAGGTTCGTGAAGGTCCCTGAAGGACTCTTCAGTACCATTCACCTGAATCTTCGGAATCGTCGTCGTCATAATTTTCTTCGTCAGAATCGACCTCCATCCTTTCCTCGCGTTGACGCTGTAGTCGCTTCTGACGTTCCGCTTCCTCCTCTGGTGTATAGATGGCCAGTTCGGTCCTTCGAGCGCAAGACATAAGCTTGCCCTCGCAATAGAGCTGGAAGTTCTCCCGTACGAAAATGCGGTCAGAGACCGTCTTGTCGTTGGCGTCTTCTTCCTATGTTTCTGTCAGGCTGGTCCAAGATCTTGTATGATCAAGAGGAAAACTTACCCCGTAGACAAAGTCTGGAGCGTGTTCGATAGGAGGCTGTTACGCGATGGAATTAATGAGAACGATGAGCAAAGGCGACATTGAGCCACGTACCGCCCCCTGGGCTTGTTTGATGATGGGAACATTAATTGGTGTCCTACTATCGAAGAACAATTCCTTTGGATCGCATGAGATATGCACAGTCCAAGAGTCTGCTTCGAGATCAGCAGATTTTGATGCAATCCTAAAAACGATCCTACCTCCAAGGTCATACTCGTAGATAATGCCAATATCACCGTTTGGAGACTCCCCGAGTGATGCATTATTCATACAATCCCTGGTCCATATTTCACCCAACTTCAGATGGGAGTCCTTGATCGCCTTCGCGTAGTACTCGCCAAAACCTTCGGGGCGCACGCCATATGGATCGACATGATATATAGGTTTATCGTCCCTTTCAAACTTCCACGATATCCTGTCCCCGAAATCCTCCTCCTCACCTCCCAAAAACTCCCCTAACATTGGCTTGCGACCCCATCTCTTCATCATGCCAGCCATCTCGCCGTTCGAGTCATGCATGATGACATACGAAACGACCTCTGCGCGGTGCAAGTGCGAGTTGCTCCAGCCGAACATGTACTGGATGAGTGTGTGTAGATTGGCGAAGGTGAATGTGGCTGGGAGTTGAACGATGCGATATACATTTTTGAAGTTCAAGAGTTGGAATCGTAGCTGGATGTAGGAAGTGGTCGCTGCTGGGAGTGTGGTATATGGATGGGCGAGAGGATTTGGGACGTCTCATCTTTTCTGAGTTCTTGACTACTTGAGGGATGGGCTCGTCACTGGCTCACGATCAGTGAGTTCTTCGAGGCAAACAAGAGTCGGAAGACTCACGAAACATCCATCGTATTTTCGCAACTTTCTGTAGTTGTTTCCGCTCTTGGCGTTGGCGTTGTTCCGGTATTTCTAGTTTTCTTTGGAGGTGGAGCCGCCTGCAGAACAGTGAGTGGTAAATGAAACTACCCAATAGCCAAGGCAAGATTGAGCACATCTACACTATCCACAGAACTGCCAACTTCAACTCTGCTCATAGCCTTTATTACCACCAGAAGGGAACATGGTGGAAGAGAGTACGCACGAGGGCCCAGCATTGACAGTGCTTGTGGTGGCGTTTTTGTCTTCACATTGCATTTCAATTTATCTGAATGGAGTTTCTGGTATTACAGTGGGAGCCTACCAGTCTGCTTCGAACGAGCTGGAGCCTTTCGAGCATTCCGTTTTCGCTGATGAAGGGAGGGCTGCGTCAAGGATATATACTAAAGTTTGCAAGCGAACAACACTTGCTTTGGGTGGCATATTCAAGCGAGTGTACCAGACTGGAGAACAATGGAAGAGAGCTCAGAGCACGTATAATTGTTCGTTAAAAAGGCGTATGGTAACGAGAATGTTGCCAGAAGACTTGTGGCGAGAGACTAGAGAGGGGTTTGTCCTTTAAATAAATTATAGCCAAGTCACGAGACCGCGTGTGACACCCAGCTAAGTACTGTGCTATGGTATATGCTTGTAGGTAACAAAGATGTGATAGAATATGCAAGACATAAGTGATGGTACACGCTATATGATGTACTGTAGTAAGTCTGTAACTGGGAGTCGGCAGGGGCGGGTGTTCTACAGCGCTAGGCGCATAGCCTACACCAACTCTTCGAAGCCCTTCCGGGTCCCACCATCCTCATCACAGACCCTTATAAGGTTCTTCATGCTGCTTGTCACCGCATTAATCAGAGCGTATGCGTCTTGGTTTTGGCTCATCTGCATTGCTGAGTAAATAGGATATCGGCTTGCGAGCTCATATTTGAGCTATATCCAGAAAGCGAACAACTTGAGCGAATCTTTGCATGCTTCCCAGTTGAATTTCTACGTTGACGAAGCGGTCATATATCAGAAAGATAACTGATCGAGAAGGACATATGCCCCTCGTTATTGAAATCTTTGTTGGACATCGACACTACCGTGACGAGGTTGACGTGCTCGAGTAACTGATCTGCATGTAACCGGACCTAGATATCTTGTGATTTCTCTGTTCCCCGAGTGAACTCGAGTCGGAATGTGATTCACTTGAGGGGTCTCAATAATAAAATTTTCTAATGATGTACTACCCACCACAGTTGCCTCTGTGTTTGCTTCCCCATCAGTCTCGGGGCTGAGTTCCGCAGCAACGGTCATGAATCTAAGTATACATTATAGGTCTTATAAATCAGATGTGCAGCTCAAAATCAGGACTTACTGTGCAGCATGTGTACCAGCCAGAACTCTCATGGCGTCCAAGTCTGTCTGAAGCTGTTCAAAGAGGTCTGCTGTCTGCCCGACAGCGCGTGACATATTCTTCAGACTAGCTGCGAGTTGGCTATATAGCCTGTCTTTTGCCTGTGTGGCATTCATGGACGCAAGCGATATCTGACTCTCTAGATGGTGGTGGTCGAAAGCAAACCCAGAAGGGTTCACGTGACACGGTGAAACGCTCGAACAGAGTATCACGCAAGTATGTTAGTATGTGCAGCTCCTTGTAAGTTTAGACATTTTTCTTCTAAAGTTTGAACGTTAGAAAGAAACTGAGAAACTAACAGTTGCCAGTATTGAAACGTTGAAGCACTCTGATAGTAATTGAAAGCCACCAACGCAACTAGAGCAATTTCCAAAGCGCCATTGCATTGGCTGAGTAAGAACAAAAGTACTCGACTAATGAGCCTCCCTCTCCTTCGTGAGGTTGGGGAATCCCGGCCACTGGCAATCTCCTCTATGACATGCGTGTATCTATACGGATTCTGTGCAAGGGATCAGCCATCAAACTATGCAGAAACAAGGGAAACTCACGCTGTAGAACATTGTTAAGCTTGTTGACACGCGACGAAACACTGAGGTCAATGCTCTTATCGCCGAAGTCCACCACAATACCGCCAAGAACTGAAGGGTTGACCTAAAATTCGTTAGAAACAACTTGACGGGGTTATGACAAACCTGAAATACCTTGTTCGAAATTTTCAGCGACTTTGCCTGCTGAGCTGTCTGAGACTGCTTGAGGATAGTCTCCAACCGGGAGGACAAATCCCTGGGTAGAGGAGTAGCAGACGTGACAACTACTTCCAGTTCTCCCTTGTACTTTGCAACCAACTCGTTAAACCCCTCGATAACACCTTGCGTCTCTCCAAGTCTACCATTCTCCGACAGGACACCGAATAAGTTTTTGGTTATGTCGGAGACAGGCTCCTTCTTGGAGCCTTCTGCACGAGAATATATGACAGCGAGGCCAGTAGAGCGATCCTTAGCAGATAGCGTTGGGTTGCTGATGAAAGCTTTGAGGTCGGGCACCTCCTTGATGACATTAGAGATGGCGGTCAATTCCGACTGGACCTTGGTGAGTGTTTGCGGTGATTTCGAAAGAGCAGCCGAATAAACGGCTTTGGAGTACTTTTGAGCAATGGTAGAAGCTGCTCGCCGTCCCAGACCCAGGGAGGCGGTTGCTGAACGGAATGAGGAGCACAACATGGTAGGCGTTGGTGATGTGTGGTCTCCGAGGTTGTAAGTATCGGGAAAGTGCGGGCTTTGAAATGAAAAGCTCAACCCGGCGTCTCCGCGATCAAACGGCATGTTCAAGTTCAGAGGAAATACTGAAGGTGTCGAGCTCGAGAACACTTTCAATTAGCCTAAATTATTCTTATTCTAACTCATACTCGTAAGTTCAAGAGAAATTGGTTGAGAGTCAGTGGTATGGTGGGAATGCACGAAGTTGATAACGTGTGCAGGCCACAAGCTTATCCTGGGCAATACACCCACAACTCCAATGCAAAATCACAAATAATGCACTACTATCCGGAACATATGAATCATGATACGAGGGAATACCAAATGCAGTCCAGCATGGGTCACTACCCAAAGGGCGCACGTCATGAAGCTGCTGCCCCCGACGAACCAACCGCTTTCGCATTGGGCAACTTCTTATCACCAGTAGTCAGCTGCTCCAGGTCTGCAGCCTTGAAGTAATGAGGAGCGACTAAAAGATGTTATTAACATTGCGGGGGAGACAACTTGAATGATAGTACTTGCCTTCCATTAGCCATGACGGCTTAATTTCCATGATTTGTCTGATGGGAAGCAAAGCGGATTAGACACGTGTGGTTTGTTGGAAAAAGGACTTGCCTCATGTATGATTTTGAGGTCATGACGAGCTCATAATATAGCAAGGTTTTGACGGGCGGTTGATGTTGGAAAAGGCTTGATGAGGGGTGGATATATACAGTGTGATGCGTCTTCAGCGTCCGGTAAGAGTCGCCACTCTTCTGGAGTTGGGCCTGAGAATGTTGCATGAGCATACATGCACGCATCGAGTACGAATTGTTCGGCTTACAGTATTGTAAAAGTACCCCGATGTGATAGCTTTCTGCACAGCGCTGATATCGTTTGCGTTGGGATTACTCTGAATAACGACTTCAACACGCTCGCAAAGCCCAGCAAGTTGATCCCGAATATCCCGCGCCCGACTGAGACTCTTGAACTGCAAGAATTGCTCGTAGCAGAACTGTTGCGAATAATTCGTATCGGCCCACTGCTCCCAGACGTTGAGCAACGTGAAGTGATCTCCTCCTGCGCGAACGAAGTTTTGACGTGCTTGGTCTGCGTGCATCTTTTTGTCTTTGGGACGATAGAACAGCGACGAAGACTCGGAGAGCATTGATATAATGGTCAGCACCTGGTGACAGGATAGCGTCAGCATCGACACGTTATGTCAAGACATGAAAGCCCGTACCTCGTCAGTACACGAGTACTTCTCGCTGGAAATGATGGCTTTGGACAACATGGGATCAACAGGGAACTCTGCCATTCGTCGACCCAGTTTGGTCAGTTCTCCACGGTCGTTCAATGCCCCAAGAGCATAGAGCAGCTCTAGTGCCCTGATAAGCGTCTCTCCCGGAGGTGGGTCCATAAACTCAAAGTCCATAAAGTTGTTAATGCCGAGTGATTTCAGCATCAGGACAGTCATCCCAAGGTTCGTCCGCTGGATTTCAGGCACGGTATTCTCCTCGAGCTCGTTTGAAAACGCCCATTTCGTGTATAGCCGGAAAGCTTTGCCAGGCCCCACACGACCTGCACGGCCTGCTCTTTGGTTGGCTGACGCACGAGAACACTGTCGAACGCATAGTGAAATGAGTTGTAAGCGCAAAGGATAATGCAGCGTCATTACTTACCGGAACCACGATCAAGGAAGACATGCCAGTACGAGGATTATACGAATTTTGCTTGACAAACCCGGGGTCGATGACAAAAACCACACCTTCGATAGTGATTGACGTCTCTGCGATGTTTGTAGCGAGTACGACCTTCCTTGCGCCCTCCGGCGTCGGTTCAAAGATCTTGGCTTGCATATCGCTGGGCAAGTTGGCGTAGATTGGACAAACGAGTAACTCGGCGATCTTATTCCCGAGCGCTCGAGCGGTTTCCTGCAGGTTTTCTTGGGCTGCTTCGATTTCGTCTTGGCCCTGCAGAAGAGTGAGTATATGGACGATACAGCAATGAGGATCTGTCACGTACCGTAAAGAACACAAGGATGTCGCCTTTGGGTTGTGTTGTATGGATCTGGAAGACGGTGGTGATGGCTGCGTGCAGGTAATTGGCCTCTGGCTGTGGTGTATAGTGAATGTCGACCGGGTATCGACGCCCAGGAACTGTGGAAAACATTGGCATCACATTTGTCATCTGCAAACCGTAGCTACTCACCATAAAACACTGGCGCGTTGTCAAAGTACTCGCTGAACTTCTCAGCATCCATGGTCGCGCTTGAAATCAACAACCTCAGTTCAGGCCTGAATCTCGCGATATCCTAACAAACGAAGCCTCAGAACCTAAAGCAAACCGTGAGAAGTAGCACCACACACCTTGACGAGAGCAAAAAGAATGTCCGTACTCAGAGTCCGCTCGTGTGCCTCGTCAATAATCAGCGCTGCATATCCGGCTAAATCTGGTTCAGTCAGGAACTCTCGAAGGAGCATTCCGTCCGTCATGTACTTGAGCACTGTCTTGTCGCTCGTGCAGTCTTCGAATCGGATAGAATAGCCTACTTCGTACCCAACTTTGGTACCCATCTCCTCAGCAACGCGCGCCGCTACGGACATGGCAGCCACGCGACGAGGTTGCGTGCAACCCACTTTTTGTCCATTGGCTGTGTACCCGGCTTCGTGCAGGTACTGCGGAAGTTGAGTTGTCTTGCCTGAGCCGGTCTCAGCGACGACAATAAGCACCTGGTGCTCTTTGATGGCCTCCAGCAGTTGCTCTCGGTACGTGTATATTGGCAGGGATTTGCGAGTGTCATCAATGCTTTGCGCTGGATTGAGGCCGTCAGACAACATTAACCAGAGAGGAGACTAAGATACTGACCTCGTTTTTCAGCCTCCTGAATTTGTTGGTGCAAGAGTTTGTCCTTGGCACTCATCATTCCCTCCCCCTTGAGCGTCTGGTCCATGACAAACTTAATGGTCTGACTCTCGTCAAACACGTACTCGTAGTCGTCGGGGACCTCCCTTTTGTCCATAGCGCCCATCCGGAATGTGCTGTGCAGCGTTTGACTGGCCTCCCACTGGTCGACGTCCGTGACGAACTGGTCATCCTTGGGCTTGGCCTCTTCAGTACCGCTTGTAAAGTGCATTCTGCTTCTTCTCCTTGTCAATTTTGCCTTGCTCTGTAATGTAGTCTTCAGGTAGCATGTAACCATCCCACTTGTCGTTGATCTTGAGACGCTCCTCAACAAGCCGCAGAATCTCTTTCTTGCGCTCCAAGTCCTCCTGCTCCTGCTTCGTGAGCTTCATTCCATGGAAATAGGCCTCCTCGTCCGCGATCTCCTTCCTCAGGAGCTCAATCTGCTGCACCTCACGTTTGGTCAGGTATTCCTGCCGAGAGTGCAGCCGCAGTGAAGGGAGTGCATGCGTCCGCGCTTCAGTGTCGTCTGCAAGTTGTCGACGTTGTGCAGCCTCGGCCGCTGCACCTGCATTGCGAGAGGAGCGATCTTCGACGATTTTTTTTGTCTTTTCCCGATCTTTTTCGCGTACCCTCTCAGCAAACGCGTCTCGTTCCTTCATATCCTGCAACCGGTCTCGTTCTTTTCTTTCATCCTCATCCTCTGGAATGTCCATTGCCTCCTCATCCGCATTGGTTTCAATATCATCTGGTTTCCGTCGCTTCCGATGTTTCTCTTCCTCATCGCTCTCCCACTCTCTGCTATCGTGTTCTCTCTTCCTGAGATGGCGTTCGCGCTTCTCCTTACCACTTCCTCTGTCCTCCTTGCGCTTCTCCTTGCTGCTACTTCCCTCCTTGCGCTTCCCCTTCAGCTCCGAAACATCAGGGGTAGCCTCATCTTCAAGCAAAAACTCAAACCTGCGGGAATTCAGCGCCTTTGCCTCCTTCTCCGCTTGCTTCCGTGTGCTGTCTGCTGAAGATTTGTGTTTGCTTTTCCTGGGAACACGAGAGAAGAGCTCGTTTATGAATACATGTGCATCAGGTGTGTTTGGAAGGCCAGAAGTGGTGAGAGAGGAGAAGAGAGCGTCTGGTGTTTTTGATGTCGATGCTAGAAAACAACATTTGAGTAATGACAAGTGGAAACATATAGAATGACCATACCTGAAGCCTGTACGAAGTCGATGATACTCCGGTCTGCAAGACCAAAAAGCTGTAAAATGAGGTTAGGTAGGTGCACAAAGCAGGAGGAACGGACATTACCTTAACACAGTTGTCGCTGATGAATCGGTGAAGGTCGCTCGACATAAGGCTCTAGATGTGACAAGGTTTGGCTGTGACATATATGAAGTCACGATAACATCACACTACTAAATATAGTAATTCGTGCTCAAACGCTTTTACCACAAAGATGCCAAATTTGGTATTTCGTTCGTTGCCCGTCACCGTGCTCGACGTTGAAGACGATGGGAGAAGACCGTGAGCGACATTCAACATCCAAGAATAAACGCAGCAGAGACAAGGACGAGCACAAAAGCAAGAAAAAACGCAAGTCCGAACACAAATCCCACAAACGCAAGTCTCACACGGAAGCAGTCAACATCACGGACGATGACGCCAACGACGATGATATGTGGGTGGAGAAGAACATCGACAACGACGGGGAACGGGTGCGTATGTATTCGTCTTGCTTTCGTGGTGCTGACATGTTTTGCTCACTAGCTTCTTGCAACGGATATTCCAACCGCAGAGAGTTTGAAGATCACGACTCATGCAACTGCCGGAGAGGCAGACCCACCGCTGCCACCTAGCTTGACAACGGAAACGAAACTACAGCGCGATGAGTGGATGCTCATGCCATCTGGCGGTGTTGCAGAACCTTTGAATTCGTCGAGGTCATCGGCCCGAGGATTACCCACAGGAGGCGAGACTATTACAGAGGACTACGGCGAAACCTCCTCAAGCCAACGCACACCTGCCGGAGGCGTCGACTTCTTTTCTTCTCTCGGCACCGAACGCAAGCGACCACCGCGACCTGACAAACCTGATCCTGACAAGGTACAGTACCACTCCTGTCTTCATACATTAGCTGAAGGTATACTTCCAGATCAAAATCAGTTCTAAAGAAATCAACCAAGACATCCGTGCTGGACGTTCAGTCGATAATGATGTACCTCCCCCACCTCCAAAAGCCATAACCCCTGGTGGCCCAGGCTCTAATTGGCGCATGATGCGTCTCCGGCGCGTATACGAGACCGCAGATGAGGAAAACAAACCCATTGAAGAAGTTGCGCTCGAGCGTTTCGGTACGCTTCAAGCATTCGAAGAGGCCAAAGAAGAACGGCGCATCCTTGACGAACGTCCAGGCAAACGTTCAGAACGGAAGGATGAGAGAGGTCGAGGGCGGGAGACCGGCGGGGAGAAGGCGGTTCATGTTTACTGATGTTGGCGCGAGCGGCACTTCGTCCCGTAGCTCGTCCTTCAGACGCCCTGGTTCGGGTCCAACGGGAAGTACCCCGTCCACGCCATCCCCCACCAATCCGCCTGCGAACAAGCGTCTCGACTCTTTACGTTTGCCTTCGCAGGCCGCATCGCCACTCGCGCAGTCACATACGCCAATACCGAGCGTCATGACGCCATCTGTGGCGTCGACGAGCACGCGCCGCGCTATGTCGCCTTCATCGCTGAACAAGTTACAAGCTCGGGTTCTCCGTGCAAAATTGATGAACGCGCCAAACGCTGAGAAGCTTGAGGAAGAGTACGAAGCAGAGGTGAAGCGGGCGAACAGTGAGGAGGGAGGAGTCAGGACGCGTGTGGAAGTGCTACCGACATTGGATGCCAGGGGACAAATGTATGATGTTGGTCATGGCAAGGATGACGCAGAGAAGGGGCCCGGTAATAAGCGGAAGAAAGAGAAGGTAAATCTTCATCCTTCAGCACGAGTCCGCTGACTATATACTGGTTAGTTTGAAACGCGTGACGCGAAGACCGGAGAACTTCTCAGGTATAACGCTGATGATGATGAGATCACGCTGGGAGAGATGGTTAGGCAGGAGCGGTTTGGAGCGGGAATGGCGGACCAGAAGAATTTGGATGCACAATTCGCGAAGGCTATCATGGGAGATGGCAAATTTCAGGTGCGGAAGTTCTATGAACTTCTCTGCTCTTTCGGACACTCATAATACTATCTACAGAATGATCTTGACTACATGGATGATAATGCGGAGCGACTTGGGCGGCAGAAGATGCGAACTGACGCAATGAAACGGCAGTTTGCTGTTCACGGTGGGTTTGCATTCTCTATCTTAGTTCTTGATTCTGAACAATTCTCCTGATCAGACTACAAGCGCACTCAAAAAGCCCTCGCAACATGCCAGTTCTGCTACGGTGAAGACGATTCCCCTCCAAAAGCGCCTGTTGTGGCGATGGGCACACAAGTCTACCTCTCTTGCACCCTGAACGAGGAACTTCTAGATGGCCATTGTCTCATAGTGCCTATGCAACATCACCTTACAATGCTGGAGGCTGATGATGACGTTTGGGACGAAGTGCGGGTGCGTAACCACCACCTTCAACATGCAAGTGTACTGACACATCCCACAGAACTTCATGAAAAGCGTCATGCGTATGTTCGCCGAAGAAGACAAAGGAGTCATCTTCTACGAAACTGTCATCTCCCTCAAGCCGCAAAAGCATACCTGCATTGAGTGTGTACCACTCCCATGGGACAAGTACGACGACATCCCAGCGTACTTCAAGGAGAGCATCCTCGCATCTGAAGCAGAGTGGTCGACACATAAGAAGCTTATCGATTTCTCCGCGCGGCCTGGGGGGTTCAGACGTGCGATGGTGCCGAACCTTCCGTATTTCATGGTGCAGTTTGACTATAAGGGGGAGAAGGGGTACGGGCATGTCATTGAGGGCACGGGAGAGTCTGCGGCAACTGGCGAGGAGGATGGGGCGTTAGATGAAGGGGATAAAGGTGGTGGGGATTTTCCGAGGTATGTCTTTGTTTTGTTTTTACATGCTTGATGATTAGGTGTTGAAGGTACTTAATTGCAGATATTTGCGGGAGAGATTATTGGGAATGTGCTGGATCTTGATCCACGTCGGTGGATGCGACCACGGAGGGTTGACTATCGGCATAACAAGGATCGGATACAAAGGTTGAAGAAGATGTATGACAAGTTTGATTGGACAGGGTTGATCGGGAAGTCATAATGCATTTGTTCGCTGTTCTGTTGTGTTGCTGCCTTGATGCCGTATATTACAAAGGCTTGTGTTTTTTTTCTGCGGCCTGTCACATGAGTCGGAAGCACTCCAGGCTGTGAACGTCCCTATTAAGTCCCTATTAAAGCGCAACTTCGCTCGAGCGGAGCCTCGAATATCGAATAGGCGGTTGTAGTAGGCCTCAGAACGCGGCGATGTCGATGCTGTTGACGCGACTGGTGTCACCTACGCGTAGTGCTGTGTGCAGGAGCCCGAGATATGGTTCTATGTGTATGCGTACACTGAGTACCGCTGGCAATGGCAAGACTGACCAAGCGCTTCGTCGGTCATATCTCTACGGTATGCTATAGACATTCACACGTCTGACTTGGATTTCAAGCTGAATGATGATCCAGTACCCTCGTCGTCTGACCGGATGCTGGATAAGTCTTTGAGCACACCATCCGACGTTCATCATATACGACCTCGAGGACAGCGTGCCACCTTCTCCTCACGACAAAGACAGTGCGAGACAACGGCTGAGTACTGTTCCTAAGCGTACGTGGGCATGTTCGTATTCTCCGTATGTCCGATCCTTGAAACTTCGCCCGCTGGATAGCACACACCAGAGCACAAGCTTCCGCACCCCGAGCGTATCGCTGTCCGCCTAAATGACATTACTACACCTTTTTTCGAGAACGATATATCCGAAATCGTAGGTGTTCTCTATAATTCGGTATTCCCTACCTGAGTTTTGTCTGTCTTCCAGCTGAAGTCACCCTTCGTCCGAACACTCGTGCTGCCCAAGATCCACTCCGTCCGCGACCTTCATCACGTCTCGCGAGCCATTCGAACTTCACGGGACAGAACCTCCACGTCGTTCCCTATACGCATCGTTGCGAGTGTTGAAAGCGCCCGCAGTGCGTGGAATCTCGGGGAGATTGCTTCTTGGACTTCGGAGTACGGCCCAGATGCCGGCGGGAAGTTGGGCGCTCTACTCGTATGTTTCCTCTTTATCGGCATTCTTAGTTAGTTACTGAAATGTTTGTAGTTCGCAGCAGAAGACTGTATAGTACTTTCTACTCGAGCACAAGTGGAAAGCTTATTTTGAAACAGATTGTGCTGATACGTCGGTGGTGCGGACGCCTTCGAGGCTTGAACTTCTCTATGTACGCTCCCAAATTGCAATTGCTGCCAAGGCTTTCGGATTGGATTCCATAGATATGGTCCGTGGTTTTCACTACTATACGATCCCCTAAAATCGAGCATCACAGGTCTGTGTCAACTACAAAGACCTCAACTATCTGAAAGACGAATGCGAAGATGGCCGGAGGCTTGGTTTCAACGGCAAGGTAAATCTTGTCTTGATTTGAATTGGGACACGTACTGAATGCCACTATCGCTTCTAGCAAGCCATTCACCCCACACAGGTTGACATCATTCATTCGACATTTGTTCCTACGGAGAAGGGTGCGTTATCTCCATCTAAAATTAACTTTGACCTACGTCCTCGCATAGAAATTCTTCGCGCCGCAACTATTCTTCGCCAGATGGAAGTTGCGCATTCCTCTCAAAAGGGTGCCTTTGGCCTGGAGATGGAGGGGGGCGGTAAAGAGATGATTGACGCTCCAATGTTGAAACAGGCGAGTCAGTACGGTTTCTTGTTTAGTGAAGTGTCTTATGCATCGACCAGGCTGAGAATATTATTCGGGTAGCCAAGGCAGCAGGCTTGGAAATTCCTGGTGTAGGTTAATTGCGAAAGAATGTATTATGCTCAGGTGCAGTGAATGGCAAGCCCTTGACTATCTTGCTCAACCGGCCAGTAAGCACCCTGGAAACATATATCCTGCAGTGGTCTTTGGAAAAAATCGTCGAAGAAATTGGCAAGCTTTCTCGCCTCCTGCAAATCTTCATCCTCCTCTTTGTCATCGGTTCATTACATCTTTCGGGTAATCCGCTCACATTCTAACTAAGCTCAATGACAGCATTGATGACTCACGAGCAACAGACAACATTGTAATTTGCAGAGAATATTTCTTTCCTCTCTCTCACTTATGCTGGATTACGAGGTTGTCTTGGAAGACGACCTGGACGAACGTTTAACTTCTTACTCGAATCTAATTAATCAGGCGAACGGTCGACCCTCACAGACGGACCTCTCTCATCGAGAGCTCGTCGTTCGCAGGAGTCTCAACGACATCCTTCAAAACCGGACTCTAGTCATTCTACTCGTCTCCCTTCAGCTGCTTTGCGTCAGGGAACTATGATTTAACGAACACTGGATCCACATTTTTCCGTTGCCCATAATTCACTCTTACCTGGGTGATAACCTAATCAACCATGCTCGAAAACTGCGACTTGTGATCAAAGATCTCATAAAGAAAGAACGGCCTTCCGACGGTTAGTAAACAAGATCAAATGCGAGCAGACCTTTTGATGTGTATATCTAATTCCCATCTAGGAACTCTTATCTCGCAATGGCCAATTATAACCCATGTCATGTGTCCTCAACTCCGATTATAACGAGAACGCGGCTGTCGAGCACTCGCTTTACGGGACATCCTGCTCGACTGTACCATATAACCTGAGCAACCACCAGCACCATGTCAGACCTTCCCTCTGCCATCCACCCCGACATTCTTCCCCGCCTCGACCCCGAATACGTCGCGATCCACAATGCCCAAATAGCACATCGCGTGCCCCTGCACACAATCCCCTGGCATCCGGATATCAGGAAGGCACCACACGTCCCCGGTGGCTCGCCTGTCAGAACGGTGGGGGCTGTCAAGGATATCAGTCTGCAGAACTGCAAGATTCGGGCTTTCATACCCGAAGGAACCCCTCCTCAAGAAGGGTGGCCGGTGTTATTATTTATTCATGGAGGTAACGGTCAGTGATTATTCGGCGAAAGTTAGCTGAGACCCCTAAGGTGGATGGACGCTTGGGGATATCGACACCTCGAACTCGTTCATATCACGTCAATGTAAAGGTGAGGTCGGACAGTGAAAATCGTTGTCGAACAGGAACTTAACTGCGTTTGAGAGAACAACTGCGTTTCAGTAGCCGTGGACTATCGCTTGGCCCCTGAGAACCCATATCCTGCAGCAGTTGAGGACACGATTGATGCATTGAAATTCATCTATTACAGCGGGAAGGCAGAGTTCAATGCGAATGTGAACAAAATCGCGGTTGGAGGGTCGTCCAGGTGCGTATCATCTCATCCCGTATGATGAAGCATCAACTTTTGTCAGTGGCGGCAATTTAGCTGCAATCAGCATGTCTCAAGGCGCAAGAACTAAACGCCTCCAATCCCCATCATCTTCCAGCTATTAATTGTGCCTAGTAAGCATAGAGCACTACAGATATTCGTCTCTCTTACCAGCTCGCAGTAATCGACAACACGGCATCCGTCACTGACGAGAGATACCCGTCTTGGAAAGAGTGCCAGAACACCGTTTTGTTGAGCGAAGGGCGGATGATGTGGTTCCGCAACATGTACCTTCCTGATCCTGCGACCTGGACAGAGCCAGACAACTCGCCCATCTTCGCGTCGGATGCTTTGCTTGCCAAAGTCCCGCCTGCATACATTGGTGTCTGCGAAGTCGATATTCTGCAGGATGAAGGAATCGCATATGGCGAGAAGTTAAAGTCGCTTGGGGTGAAGGTAGAAGTAAAGATATATCCAAGAGCACCACATTCGATTCTTGGGATGGATGCTGCACTGAAGGTTGGGAGGCAGCTAGCTGACGACTCCGTCAAGGCTGTGGGTGATGCTTTCAAAGCGGCATAGAGGATTGGTGTAAGCGTGCCAGAGAAGAGTAATAATTTGTGTACAATCATCTTGAATGCGAAGTCATGCGAGGGCCACCTGCAACTGTACCGGGATTGTGACGCCTTGATACTGACTGGGGACATTGCATAATTTCCTGCTTGCCACTCAACTGCTTGAGGCTAAAGCTGTAAAGTGTATCTGCTAACATCGTGTGGCAGTGAAGTTACTGAGCGCGTTACACGCCGGATCAGGCGCGTTGACGAATGGTCCGTCGTCTCATCTATGAAGGAACCTCGCCGATGCTTGACGATCCGTACAATGAACTAATACACCGCAGTCTAATACATAGTAATCTAATATACAGCAATCCGAAAGGCGATGTCCATGGTATGACTTTAGTTGATCAACATCCGCGTTACTCGTATGACCATGCACATAACGCCGGCATGCAGACCTGAGCGCTTCGTTTATACAATATTTGTACAGCATGAGAATACATGGGTGAAACTTCTTGAAGAACGGGTGTCCAACTTCCTCGACTTCGGTCCAAACGTACTCCCGTGCCTCTCGCTGGTGATTGGAGCACCAAGTTGGTCTGAACGCCGCTTTTAAAAGGCAAAGCTGACCGTTCGCTTACTAGCATCTTTGGTATCACGCAAAGATCTCCCGGACGTTCTCAAATCACGGCATAATTGCACCTGCATACAGTCTCAAAGCCGTACCGTGTCAGGACTGAATCCCTGTGTCTGGTCAGAAATGCATCGTGCAATCCTATTGACAATAGTGAAGCAAGCCCGTCACGGTAGCTCTCAAGCAATTTTTTTGAAGATTCCGGCAAACTTCTTTCGCACACATAGTCCACGATCTGCCGTGGTGGAAACCCTGAGCGCCGACCATGCCATCGTCACCCACAGAGACGCGAGAGACGTAAGAGGATATGCCGTGGTTGAGGCCCAAAACGTGGACTACATTTTCTTCTACCGCTGAGATACAAGAGATGCCATGGTCATGCCTCGCCAGAAGATACGAGATCATTCCAGCCGGGTACGAGGTGTTGTGCATCTCCCTGGCGGACGACGCATTATAACATGTTCGGAAGACGGCTCACTCCGACTATGGGACCTGGAGAGCGGTGCACAAATTAGTGATGACTGGCAAGATTGGGGGAACAAGGCACTCGTAATAACCATAGCTTTGTGTCCAAAACGGTACGGTGGTTGCAAGTGGAAGCAGTGATGGAAAAGTAATGTTGTGGAACGTTGAGACGGGTAAGACCATCGCCAAATGATTATGGGACAATGTGCTTGTGCGGCCAGTGCACTGAAGTGCAGATGGTAAACGAGTTGTGAGTAGAACCATTGACGGGACGGGACGGATGTGGGGTGTCAAGAGCAGAAAAATTGCCCTTTGGACCAATCGAGACCGGGTATGCGGAAGTGTATGCGGTGATCTATTCGAAAATCTGGAATGCGAGGACGTACGCGTGCAAGCTGATCTGCTCACTCAAACACGATTGATCTCGCAACCAACTGCCTCGTCAGCATCTAGCTCGAAAAAAGTCATACAAGCCTCAAACCGTCTCTATGACATTCAATCACTAGAGAACGATGGTTCAAATTTTCAAGACTGGAAATTTAGAGCTAAGAAAGTACTTATTGTACGACGTCTTTGGGGAATTGTCACTGGCACAGAAGCCCAGCCCCGGATGCAGTACAAGGCTGGCTAGAGAAGAACGAAGAGGCGCATGCGCAGATCACGCTCACGCTCAAGGATGAACCTTTAAACGGAGTCCTACACACGATGTTAGCGTCGGATGCCTGGATGAAATTGTGCGAGCGATACGAAGGGAAAGGGAAGCAGAGTATAGCCTACCTTATTGGCGAATTATTCCGCGGAACACTTTCGGATGAATCTCCTATGGAACCAAAGCTCAATGCAATGCGACAGAAGGCCCAAGTGTTGAACTCGGACAGGCCCTTGATGACTCCTAGTGGCCATCACTATAGTCATATCACTCCCTACTTCTTACTCGACTCTCCAAATGTCCACGAGCGAAAAGATCACAACCGAAGGCACGATTAGCCAGATCCTGGTCGAAGAAAAGTCTCGGCGAGCTCCAGACTCGCAAACGGCCCTCGTAGCTAAGGACAATTCAGAACTTCATGGACTTCGGATGGACAGAAGCTTGTCTCCGTGTCAATTGACTCAATATGGATATTCGACACAGCCACTTGGCCACTGGTGCTACCACACCATGTTCAATACCAGCGTGTTCACGACTCCGATTTCGTGCTGTTTCTTTGTTGTGCATCTCAGAACATCGATGGCAATGGACAACCAACACAGCAAGATCAATCGCAAGGTCAAGTGCAAAGCCATGCGACATTGTCGCAGACGCAGCAGCAGTGAGATTAATCGCAAGGTCGAGTCCAGGCCCAGCCATCATCATCATCATCATCATCATCATCATCATCATCATCATCGGTCGTCGTCACCATCATCGTCATCACAGACTCAGCCTGCCGCCTCGACGTCCGCGACACCTACTGCCCCTGATCCTTCTTTTTCTTACTCCCCCTTACGCCGATGGGCACTAACACTGTAGTGTGTGAATACTTGAATCTTCGAATATGGTTTTTGTGTAATCATTGTCAATATGTTTCGCTAGTCCATCATATTCATCCACCATTTCCTGAGCCCTGGGTTGTGCGTCGTCTTGGAAGCCCCAGCGTTTTTCCGAGTTTAATTCTTTTCACTCGATTTGAATCAATTGGACGAACAGTTAACGTCCCCGGGCAAGTCTCTCACTGAGAACCTATCTCGTGGGCCTCGTCATTCGCACATATTTCCAGACAACAACACCCATAGAAGGAACGGTCTTCCTTCCATGAATGGTCTGCCCACGAGACGTACCCTTGAATGTAGTCTTCTGACGTGTACAACTAATTACCACATAGGAACTCTTATCTTCGCCAATTATAACTCATGTCATGTGTCCTCCACTCCTTATAACGAGAATGTGACCTTCAAGTATTGGCTTTACGGGACTATCTCGTTTGATTACATCTTATAATCCTGAGCCCCACTAGCACCATGTCAGACCTTCCCTCCGCCATCCACCCTGACATCCTTCCCCGCCTCGACCCTGAATATGTCGCGATCCACAACGCCCATATAGCACACCGCGTGCCCCCGCACACAATCCCCTGGCATCCGGATATCAGGAAGGCACCCTATATCCCCGGTGGCTCGCCTGTCAGAACGGTGGGGGCTGTCAAGGATATCAGTCTGCAGAACTGCAAGATTCGGGCTTTCATACCCGAAGGAACCCCTCCTCAAGAAGGGTGGCCGGTGTTATTATATATTCATGGAGGTAACGGTCAGTGATTATTCGGCGAAAGTTAGCTGAGAGTCCTAAGGCGGATGGACGCTTGGGAGTATCGACACTTTGAACTCGTTCATATCACGTCAATGCAAAGGTGAGGTCGGACAGTGAAGGTCGTTGTCGGACTGGAACTTAACTGCGTTTAAGAGAACAACTGTGTTTCAGTGGCTTTGGACTATCGCTTGGCCCCTGAGAACCCATATCCTGCAGCAGTTGAGGACACGGTTGATGCATTGAAATTCATCTATTACAACGGGAAGGCAGAGTTCAATGCGAATGTGAACAAGATCGCGGTCGGAGGGTCGTCCAGGTGCGTATCATCTCATCCCGTATGATGAAGCATCAACTCTTGTCAGTGGCGGAAACTTAGCTGCAATTGCATGTCTCAAAGCGCAAGAACAAACGCCTCCCATCCCCATCATCTTCCAGCTATTGATTGTGCCTGGTAAGCCAGGAGCATACGAAGCGATCATCTCTCAGTTGTTTCCAGTGATCGATAACACAGCATCTGTGGCTGACGGCCGCTACCCGTCCTGGAAAGAGTGCCAGAACACCGTTTGGCTGAGCGAAGGGCGGATGATGTGGTTCCGCAACATGTACCTTCCTGATCCTGCGACTTGGACAGAACCAGACAACTCGCCCATCTTCGCGTCGGATGCTTTGCTTGCCAAAGTTCCGCCTGCTTTCATTAGCGTCTGCGAACTCGATATTCTGCGGGATGAAGGAATCGCGTATGGCGAGAAGTTAAAGTCGCTTGGGGTGAAGGTAGACGCAAAGGTTTACCCAAGAGCATCACATCAGATTCTCGGGATGGATGCTGCACTGAAGGTTGGCAAGCAGCAAGCTGACGACGCCATCAAGGCAGTGGGTGATGCTTTCAAAGCAGCATAGGTATCGATATGAACGTGACAGAGAAGAGTAGATGAATTGTGTTTCCAACATTAGGGGAGGGGGGTTCTTGTTGAATGTCAGGTCGAATATATGTACCTCACGGATATGTCTTATGTTTCTGAGATGACCCTCGCGGCCGCAGGTGTAAAAGTGAATTCTTTTAGGTTTCGGCGCAATGACTGGGCCTAGTTAAGATGGACACCCGAAGATCTATGCAACGCAAAAATATTGTCAGCAGGTTTCGAACCAACTCCAAGAGGAACAGATTTGGACTCTGTTGTGGCAACCACCTTGGCTAAGATTAGTTAGATGGACCTCTGAGGAAACCATCCATGAGTCAATGTCACTTGAAGGTGTGTTCTGATAGAAAAAATACTGTCATCTGGCAGGTTTCGAACCTGCACAGCCCAAGAGAAACAGATTTCAATTCCGTTCGGTGTTGAGATAACCACTTTGCGAAGACTACTTAAGATGAACATGCCAATAAAATCATCCATGAGTAATTGTCAAGGTTATAGGGAAATAAAAACCTTGTTGTTGGCAGGTGCAACATTCTGTTGTGGTAACCTGGCTAAGACCTCGCTCAAGGAAGCCATCCACGACTGAATCTTCATTGTAGTCATGTTCTGATAGAAAAAAAACTTTGTTGTTAGCAGGTTTGAAACCTTCACAGGTACAGTCAAAGAGACAGATTTAGATTCTGTTACGGTAACCACTTTGGCCAGGACGAAGTTGAGATGACCCTCCGAGGAAACCATCCACGAGTCAATGTCAAGGTGTGTTCCGATAGAAAAAAATACATGGCATTCGGCAGGTTTCGAACCTGCAGGGGAAACAGATTTAAATTCTGTTGCGGTAACCATCTTGGCTAAGACCAGTCAAGATAAACCTCCGAGGAAACCATCCACGAGCAAATGTCAAGGTGTGTTCCGATAGAAAAGAAATTCCTTCAGCAGGTTTCGAACCTGCGAAGACCAAGAGAAACAGATTTCGATTCTGTTGGGGTAACAACTTGCCCTAAGACCAGTTAGGATGAACGTTCCGAGGAAATCATCCTACGAGTGAATGTCAAGGTGGGTTTCGATAGACAAAAACACTTGCCGTCGGCATGTTTTGAACCTGCACTATCCAAGAGAAACAGATTTGGATTCTGTTGTGATAAGACACTTTAGTCCAGGATGCTTCCCTAGCTAGTTAGATGAACCTCCGAAGAACTAGTTCCATGAAGTGAATGTCAAGGTGTGATAAGAGGGAAAATCATTTGTCGGCAGGTTTCGAATCCGCACCACCCAAGAGAGCAGATTTCTATTCTATTCTGGTGCCAGTGGGTTGTGAAATCCATGAGTGAATGTTCAAGGCATAGTAAAAGGGGAAAAGATTGTTAATGTCACGCTTACCACTTGGCTAGGACTGGTCACGCAAGATGGATGTCTACAAGTCGAAGAACATCATGCATCGACAGTACTAGAATCATGTGATTAGGAAATCGCGCATGGCAAGGATCGGTAAATTGCAGCCAGCTGTGACTTGCCTGCACATAACTGATCGAAAAGTTGTTTGCCAGTGACCAGGCGAGCGCTTGAGCAATGGGAACCTCTTAGCTAAGCCTCCACAAAGCAGTGCTTTTGCCGCTGCCTGTGCCAAATCACCATGTATCGTTGTATGTAGTCACTATAGGCCTTTACTGGAGTCACTGGACCGAACGCTCATTCTCCTACCCATCTTATTTTTCCTACTCTCTCGCCCATTACCGGGCAAAGTTCCCTAGTTTCTGTACTTGGCTCGACTTATTCTCCACAATGATCATGCATGGACGATACATTCGTATGTTCATCTCCTGGTTGAGGCACATTGTCAAGACGGCCGCATATCATTCGTACAGGAGTATCCTCTCTGCCCTGCTGCGACTTATCCCACACTTTCAATCTCTCTTTAATGGGAAGGAGGGGGATTTTCAACAACGGCCCAGGGGCCGGTTTAGCATTGAGCTCTCAACCAGTGATCAAGTCGACGCCTTCGGTAACCCTCGCTGTGCCGTCGTTCGATGCACATCTGCAAAGCCAAGGATGCCAACCTGGAATGAGCTTTCCGTCACCAACTGGCGGCCAGCTTAATGCAAGCCCGAATAGCGTAGCTTATGATACACAGTCTCCCGGGCAGTCTTCTGCACCGTTGATACTTTCTATGCCCGTGCCCAACGTTTGCAACCCCGTGGGTATCCATACGCCGCCGCCGCCACCACCACTACCTGTGGCGCCAGGACATGTTATTACTCTGATTCCCATTGTGCCCGGAGAGGTCAACCGGTACGAGAGGCATGTTCCAGTGTAGGAAAAATATATTTTGAATCAGTTGCCGTTCTAATCCATGCTTTCAGTAAAGATGTGTATGCAGCGTTTAAGGTTGAGAAAGGTCCTCTCGACTGTTCCAAGTAAGCATGCTGGTGAGAGAGCCAGCGATGTGATTGAATTGTGCTTGTAGGGAACTTGATACTGTAGCAGGATGGGAGCCTCTCACGCACCCGGAAGGGGCTCTGTTCTTTTGTCATCCGAAAGAAGTGCGTCTACCGTCCACTTCTTCATGGCCTGAAGCACTCATACTGCGCACCAGAGAGTTTTCACTGATGCCGATGTTCGAGACCATGTAACAATAGGTGAAGCCATCAAGGAAGCGCACAGAAAAGCGCGTGAAGCAAACATCTCCATGCCTCGACTCGTCGAGCTAGTGTTGGAGCGTATCGTGACTGATGGCGTAGAGAAGTGGGGTTACTACTTTGCTGATCACGACAAACGCGTTGTTTTCTGGTTCGAAGATCACACATCTGATCTCCTTATGAACAAAATTCGAGGTGTAGAGCGTAAAAGCCACGTTAGTGAGTTCTTTCCGTGGTTTACTTTCTATTCGAGCTTCTGTAATTGCGTCGCTCCCAGGGTATGCACTAGAATCGCAGTACTGGTTCGTACGATTCCTAGCAGTATGCCTGTCTCCTCACACGACAGAAGTACACGCACTTACACTTTTTACAGTCCTTCTTTACCTCCCACGATTTATACATCATATCATTGACAGGAAACATATCGAACTATTTCCAAACAAACGCTCCCTCCCGGAAGATGTCGTCGTGAAACTCAAAGAAATTATCATGCTCGCTCAGGCAGGTGAGCAATAAAGAAACTTGAGTGTTTCAAGCCTGTAAGATTGAGTTGCAACAGAAAATATCACTTCTGAATCATGCCTAGCACCTTTTGCTTCGAATGAGGTTGATAGTATGCTCGGCCTTGTGGATTCGCTCATGAGTCAATGATTCCCTGGTGTGAGGGGTCGTTGTTGATTGTTTTTTCAGGTAGTATTAACAAAGAGCGTGAGCACTCCGTGTGGATTGCCGGTAAGTCTATCACGGAAGATCAGTTGATTGCTTCTGATATGTTTGCCGATTTCAGCCCGATTTACGAGACTTTTATGTAAGCTCAAGCCACTAGTCTGCGCAGCCCATTTCCTGACTGCTCTGCAAGGCAATGCCAAGTTTGTGAATTTTTGTGGACAACCAGGCGCCCGACTCGGAGTAGACCAATCGTTATACGAAAAACCCAATATTCGCTCGAAAAGGATCCTTCGCGTCATGAATGTTTTTCTGTTCGGATCATTTGATGTTCAGAGCAAGGGTATTCACAGAATATGGGTCGATGAAACCATGGTTCAGCCACGGTGGAAGAATTTTATCGATAGGCTTACCACTGAATGGAATGGATATGCAATATATGTGAGTGGTATTTTGTTTTATATTGTCATGCAATCAATGATTACCTCAGTCCACTGTGATGCTTGCCGTTGATATCAGCTTTCTTGCGGTCCCAACTGTCCAAACTGAAATGGCTGCAACCCTTCTAGCATATCTGTCTACCCTCTGCGTCATGGGCTCGTTAGTGGTCTCGCTGGCCTTGGCCGGACAAGTTAATGACACCCGACGACGCTCTGCTGAAGAGGTGGTGCGTTTCCTTTCTATTTTATGACTTGTATTCTTTCTCCATGTCCACAGGCCTCTTTCATGGTAGGGATGTCGCGTTCTATGCTTGGCCTCGAGAGCCTTGCCCTCATGCTGAGTCTGCCGTTTGCACTTCTGATTTGGGCGTGCGTTTCCGGTTACATTCCATGGGTCGATGACTCATCCTTTGACAGAATGGCGTTCTTTGCTGCAGCCTTGTCTGTCCTAATTTTCTGCACTGCTGGCGTTGTCGTCGTCTCGATTGCATCTCCAATTTGGTTCGCTATATTTTGCCTAGCGATGTGGCTCATACTGGCGGCCAACAATTTTCACATTTCTCACCTGAGGTCCTGGATCATAGAACGAGTGTCACTGGTTACCAGCCCCGTCTAGTCTGGGTAGGCTATTTGCACAGTTTACCTCAGTAGGGAGTCGGCTGTAGTATATCTGCTGCTCAACATTTCAATGGTTCTGAATAGAAGCACGATACATAGAAAACTATCTCATCTTCACGTCGAGTTCTTGTGCATTGTAATCTCTTTGTTGATGTTTCTCGCTGGTTCATTTAAAGAACTTAAAGCAAACAAGAGTGGGAAGACAGTGGATGAGCGTTTAGCACGAGAGATTATTGCTGTTGTTAACGGAGACAGCAAAGCTATTAACGACAAAGAGCTGGCACACAAACAAGCCGTGGTCAATAGGTATGTGCGTCGGGTAACTCTCATTGACACATCGCTCAGGGGCAACGCACTTCTGAAGTGAGGATATCAAGAGGATCTCGTATGTTTACCGTGTTTCCTGACTTCCTGCAATAGACCGCTGAATTCAATACAGTCTAATGACGTGGTTCCCCAGCTTCTTCAATGTGACACAACGAATACTGCACCATTTTCAGCACTTCTGACTTGGTGCCGGTAGAAGCGCTCGCCGGTGTGGTTTCTTATGTGCATTGTTGGTAATCTTGATGCCCTTAGCAAATTGTGGAGCTCTTCGCACACTTGTTGATGAACAGAAGTTCCACGATGGATCAAGGTTCGTTAAATGATCCATGTTGATGCAGCTTTAGCCTTTCACAGGGCTTTTTCTCCGACAACGGGGGTCGCATACATTCAGCTTCCCAACATTAGCAACCACTGTCACATCAGCAGTCACCAATGTATCGTGTGATGTTCGTGGAGGAAAGCGAGAGCGATAGGAGATGGACGTGTCGGGGAACCCTGTCAGTACTTCAAGGTCACCCCACATGGCACAGACGAGATTGACTAACAGGAACAAATTGTGTCTTTAGGGCTAAAATGTCGTTGTCAATCATCGACTGGATCCGTCTTCTCATAAATTATTTAGGCGGACCCTAATCCTTTCCTTATTCGGCCATCACCGCGTCGGCTAAACCTTTGCGTTCTACATACACAGACTGACAGTACTGTAGCTAACTTTTAAAGGCTCTATACAGCGAGGATTAGGACGAGCTCGATACTGTGTAGAACGCACGCGCAAAGGTTTAGCCGACGCGGTGGTGGCCAAATTAGGAAAGGTTTAGGGTCCGCGTAAATAATTTATGAGAAGACGGTCGTAAGGTCCAGTCGATGATTGACAACGACATTTAGAATTGAGCAGCTCTATAAAGTTTGACTTCTGATCCTGTTTCTCACTGGCCTCACTTAATTGAAAGACAATAGCCAGTCTGTGCATCTTGTACGGATGTGTGCAGTACAAGGAGGTTAGGCTTGACTGGTTTTCAACAATCACCACCCTGACAAGTGCACTTCTAGGATTGCCGCACTGCCATGCGATGTAAATCAACGGTTCACTGGATACACATAAATACCGCGTCGCACGGCAGCTTTGCCATCACGAAGTCACATGCACCAGAGGTTATGGTCATAAGCGACATAGATTAAACTGCGTGTCCATAATGCGCTGGCCTTCCTGTCTCTGCCTCCCATGACAGCTTCTTCCAACCCGACAGATGAAAGTTCGCATCTGTCCGGTCTTCTTGCACTCTCGAGTCACCAGGACTGTGACTCAATGATATCTGATGCGAAGTTCACTGCTGATACTATAACCGATTGTTACGACCGCAGTCTGACAACTCGCCGCAGATATGCCCTTGTCGGAGTGGCATGCTCGAGCATCTTCAGCTGCTCATGCATCCTTGCAGGCATTGTCACTCTAGCCAAACACGGAGTCGACGGTGCGGCTGTGGCCAACCTGGTCAATCCAGAGAAGGATACTCAGTTGTATCTGCAGGGGGAGATATTGTCCCTGACACTCAACTTAGTCGTCACGTTATGCACCGAGTCCATAGGCTTCGTACACGCCATCTCGTTGCGCTCTGCGCTAGCTTCAGAGTCTCGACTTCGTTTTAACACCAATCTGCGCCTTCTGACCGCAGCTCGTGGATGGTATCACCCTAATGGCGCACTGCTTAACGGTATCTCGACTGTCCTCCTCATTATATCCTACAGCTCGGCCTCACTCGTCGTATGTTTCGACTATCAAATGACGCAACAAACATATGAGGAGGGTATTGCCATCGCAGGATTACCTCTCCTCATTTTGGGCATCGCACTCCTGCTCCAGGTGATGATCGCATTATCAGGGATACGGGCTGTCAAAATATTGACGTGGAGCTCCTCACCTTTCGACTTGACCGCCACACTGGTCCACCACACGCAATTGACCCCTGTTACTTTCCGGTGCATGCGTCGTGTGTCTGACCTAGACATGGGTGGAGGTCCAGCGAAGCCGCCAGAGATACAGCCCTCGGCATGGCATGCCCACCCTAGCATCCGGAAAGTTATCATTTCTCTTTGGGTGATCGTCGCAGCATGCGCTGGATGGGCCGCACTCGTCATGTACATTTGGGACAAGAACGACAGCACGCATATATTTTCCTCCAATGCGCTGACCCTACAAACGTGGTCGTTCTTGCCAAACTCAGCGCTGTCCAATTCCATGGCGTATGGTATGCTGAGTGTCAATGCTGAGGCGTGGATTCTGCTCTTTGTCAACATGGCAGTTGTCCAGGGACCGTTGACGCTTGGGCTGCATTGCTCAGAGCTCATCGCAAATGTCATTCGAGACGAAAAACAGTGGAGATGCGCTACCGGAGAGAAAGGACTTATTACGACGACGAACCCGTTGAAGATGATTTTCAGTCATCCGATTTGTCTCGTACTTTTCGTCGCGAAGCCTTTCCTGCGTGAGCCATTGCCGTATAGTATTTTTATCGGTGTTATTGAACACCATCCTCGATGATCACAGATTGGATGTTTGGACTTTCGTTCATCATATCTCCCGGCTTGATTGGTGGACAAGTAACAGGGTTTTTGGTGGTCATGTTGACTGCCCAGGTTCGCACTGTCTGCCCATGTAAAACTACTATGACATCCTCACACCCTCATGCAGATCTGGAACTTATGCATAGCGCTGTTTATATTTGCCTGTTTCTTCACTTTCGTCGCACTGCGCCGACCGCGCGGTCCCTAGCCGGCTGCATACGGCCACGTCCAGACGCTCGCCAACCTCGTGGACGAGTGGTCGCCTGTGATGTGGTGGGGACACAAGGAGGACGGATCTCCGTACTGTCATGCTGGTAGGGTATTTATGTGCTCGCAATGCTACTGCTCTGACACTTTTGAAAAGGGACGAGCGATCACCCGCTCCCGGATGTGAAGATGGACCGCGTTTATGCTGGTTCTGGTGCTGGGTCCCTGGTGCCCGTCTCGTGAGAGGTACTTGATTTGCTCTTTAGAGGGAGTTTCTTGATTCCTCCTTTTAAACAGAGGAGCTATATTCACGTCAGACTGACGATACATTGACGGCTGGCGGCCAATGATTTTCACATTTCTCACCTGAGGTCCTGGATCATAGAGCGAGTATCACGGGTTACCAGCCCTGTCTAGTCTGGGTAGGCTACGATCACAACGATATTATATTCTGTCTCAGGAGCAGAACATGACGAGGCTATTTGCCATCCATCGACGATTTGCCTCAGTACGGAGTCGGCTGTAGTATATCTGCTGCTCGGTATTTCAATGGTCGCACGATACATGAAAAACTATCTCATCTTCACATCGTATTGCTTCTCAAAGCTCTCGCATCACCAACACCGATGAGACAACCGAACTTCAGCAATGCACAAGGCGATCAAAGCTATTACTGACAAAGAGCTGGCACACAAACAAGCACATGCCACACACGTGCCCTGCGTACGGCGACAGCGCTAACCATACGGTGAGTGTAGCGACGAGTATGGAGGTATACGAGTGCTTTTACCTAAACAGTTTCTCGGACGAGGAGGTATATCATTCTATCAGTAACATTCTTTGTTATGATCTCACCTTGCAATTTAACTGCACCGTATTGTCTGTTTTTTTCCATCTTATCAGATAAAATCAAGCCTATCTTTTATCTTCAGTGAGACGAAGTGGATTATCATTGATCAAGACGTGCGGTTCTCCATCTCTCGTAAATTTTGACCAGCGAAATAAAATAATAACAGCGAAAGCATCTCCACTGAAGTCGTACGTGTTCGTAAGTGCCCGTAACGCGCGCGTCCACTTCAGGGGTTTTGCAGATGGGCCTAGTACTACTACATCGGAAAGTAGCAGTGAATAGACTGCACATACGTGGATTGCGCAAATGTGAATTCAATGCGACTTCAAAGATAGGCTCACCTTGGTGAGAACGAGTGACCAGTCCCCTGTTACTCGTCCGCTTCCCAGAAGTTGCGTCACTTCAAGGCACGAGCATTTGCACCTTCAAGCTTATGCAAGACCCCGAGGGGCCCATCTTTGTTACTAATGTGCGTTACAACAGTTATTCCTTCGCTGACGCGGCCGTTTATCAATGTCTTGCTTCCATGGCCAACACTGCGTCCGCTGTTCAATGTTCTGAATATGCATGTACGTATGTCCTCATGGTTCAATTGTTCGTCGTTGCCACAACACTCTGGCCTCGTCATTCGCCCCTTCGACATCACATCAACCAAGTGAACGCTTCGATGCCACCGCCTATGTATATGAAGGATCGTCGACTGTATCAAAATACTTATATCATCACATCACATGTATAGTCTTCATGCACACATTAATAAAAATTGCGCCGCTGCGCATTGTCTCATTCACGCCCCACTACTCTTCAGCTCCCTGCAAGGTACTGAAAGTGCTTAGTTGATCCTGAGCGGGAGAGATATGCAGATGTACTGCAGACTCGGCGGGAAGTACGGCTGCTGCTGGCACTAAAAGATGGGGAACGTGCTCGATATGTGCACCCGCAGTTAAAACTAATTATTAATGCCTGAATCTGTTCAAGATGCTGCTGCTAGTCAGTCATCAGCGACAGGTCGTCATGGACGACGTGTGTCCACACGTCTCCCGCTTGGACAAGGACAGGATGGTATTGTCGTGATACACAGACTCTCGGCATATGAAACAGGGCTCCTGGCTGACCTCTCCGGCGAGACAGGTGTGAGTGTCTGGGACTGGGACTGGCTTTTCGAAAGGAGCGTGAACGATCTTACAATATATATATATCCTGTGTGTCAATAAAAATTTGGTACATTGTTCGAGGTGACGGGGATCATTGAATGGCTGTACACGCAGTTTGAGCGGTGATTAATTGATTGCTCGTACCTTAATATTTAATCCCAGGGAAGCAAAAAAATTCGCACGAGTAGCAGGACGGTAGACTTGTGAGAACGCCAAGTTGATCAATTGATGTATACCGAGATCCTCACTTCACAAATGAGTACATTGCCCCAGGTTGCCCCTGCACGACATGTCAATGAGAGTTACCCGACGTCAATTGATCAACTTGGCGTTCGCATTGAAGTCACATTTGCGCAACTTACGTATGTGCAGTCTGATATCACTGCTACTTTCCGATGGCATTCACACCTATGGTCATATTTAATCTGCATGTCCATAATACGCTGGCCTTCATGTCTCTGCCTCCCATGACAGCTTCTTCCAAACTGACAAAGAAAAGTTCGCATTCATCCAGTCTTCTCGCATACGATGCATTCCGGAATCACCAGGACCTTGACTGGATGATATCTGATGCGAAGTTCACTGCTGATACTATAACTGATTTCTACGACCGCGGTCTAACAGCTCGTAGATATGCCCTTGTCGGAGTGGCATACGCAAGTATCTTCAGCTGCTCATGCATCGTTGCAGGCATTTTCACTATAATCAATCACGGAGTCTACGGTGCAGCCGTGCCAAACCTGGTCAGTCCTGAAGAGGATGCTCGGGTGTCTCTCCAGGGGGAGATATTGACCCTAGCACTTAACTTAATCGTCACGTTATGCACTGAGGCCATAGGCTTCGTACACGCCATCTCATTGCGCTCTGCGCTAGCCTCAGAGTCTCGGCTTCGTTTCAACACCAATCTGCGCCTTCTGACCGCAGCTCGTGGATGGTATAGCCCTAACGGCGCACTGCTTAACGGTATCTCGGCTGTCCTCCTCATTATATCCTACAGCTCAGCTTCACTCGTCGTATGTTTCGACTATCAAATAATGTCACAAACATATGAGGAGGGCATTGCCATCGCAGGATTACCTCTCCTCATTTTGGGCATCGCACTCCTGCTCCAGGTGATGATCGCATTGTCAGGGATATGGGCTGTCAAAATATTGACGTGGAGCTCCTCACCTTTCGACCTGACCGCCGCACTGGTCCACCACACCCAATTGACCCCTGTTACTTTTCGGTGCATGCGTCGTGTGTCTGACCCAGACACGGGTGAAGGTCCAGCGAAGCCGCTAGAGATGCAGCCCTCAGCGTGGCGTGCTCACCCTAGCATCCGGAAAGTTATCATCTCTCTTTGGATGATCGTTGCAGCATGCGCTGGATGGGCCGCACTCGTCATGTATATCTGGCACAAGGTCGACGGCACGCATATATTTTCCTCCAATGCGCTGACCCTACAAACGTGGTCGTTCTTGCCAAAATCTGCGTTGTCCAATTCCATGGCGTATGGTATGCCGGGTGTCAATCCTGAGGCGTGGATTCTGCTCTTTGTCAACATGGCAGTTGTCCAGGGACCGTTGACGCTTGGGCTGCATTGCTCAGAGCTCATCGCAAATGTCATTCGAGACGAAAGACAGTGGAGATGCGCTACCGGAAGGAAAGGACTTATTACGACGACGAACCCGTTGAAGATGATTTTCAGTCATCCGGTTTGTTTCGTACTTTTCATCGCGAAGCCTTTCCTGCGTGAGTCATTCCCGTCTAGTATTTTTATCGGTGTTATTGAACACCATCCTCGATGATCACAGATTGGATGTTTGGACTTTCGTTCATCATATCTCCCGGCATGGTTGGTGGGCAACTAACAGGGTTTTTGGTGGTTATGTTGACTGCCCAGGTTCGCACCGTCTGCCCATGTTAAACTTCTACGACATCCTCACACCCTCGTGCAGATCTGGAACTTATGCATGGCACTATTCATATTTGCCCTTTTCTTCACTTTCGTCGCACTGCGCCGACCGCGCGGTCCCCAGCCGGCTGCATACGGCCACGTCCAGACGCTTGCCAACCTCGTGGACGAGTGGTCGCCTGTGATGTGGTGGGGACACAAGGAGGACGGATCTCCGTACTGTCATGCTGGTAGGGTATTTATGTGCTCGCAATGCTACTGCTCTGACACTTTTGAAAAGGGACGAGCGATAACCCGCTCCCGGATGTGAAGATGGACCGCGTTTATGCTGGTTCTGGTGCTGGGTCACTGGTACACGTCTCGTGAGAGGCACTCGATTTGCTTTTTAGAGGGAGTCTCTTGATTCCTCCTTTTTAGACAGAGGAGCTATATTCACGTCAGACTGACGATACATTGACGGCTGGTGGCCAATAATTTTCACATTTCTCACCTGAGGTCCTGGATCATAGAGCGAGTATCACGGGTTACCAGCCTTGTCTAGTCTGGGTAGGCTATGTTTACAGCGATATTATATTCTGTCCAAGGAGCAGAAAATGACGAGGCTATTTGCCATCCATCGACAGTTTGCCTCAGTACGGAGTCGGCTGTAGTATATCTGCTGCTCGGTATTTCAATGGTCGCACGATACATGAAAAACTATCTCATCTTCACATCGAGTTCTTGTGTATTGTAATCTCTTTGTTGGTGTTTCTCGCCAGTCCATCTAAAGTTCTCAAAGCTCTCGCACCACCAACACCGATGAGACAACCGAACTTCAGCAATGCACAAGGCGGTCTGCTTTCTCTCATCACGGTCCTCAGTTGCTGCAGTGCGAGACAGACAGGAATGTTCTTCAGGTACATTTTCAACCACTATGGTTCGATAATTTCTGTAAAGTCATCGTTTGTTGTTCGGCGGCCCGAAGGAGATCGTGCCAAGCCCAAAGTTTGCGAACGTTCTTAGTGTCGTAGGTTGAAACGTATCCAGACGTTGTCGATAACAACCAGCGAACTTCACATATGCGATACGTGATCAGTGATCAGTAATGCTCATGTCGTTTAGGGTCGTATCATATAATGATTCGAGGGGATGATATAAGAACTGGCGAAATAAACCGGGTCATCTAGTTCGACATCAGTCACGGTCTTGGAATGTACACAAAATTCACTATAGAAAATAGGAATGTCAGTAAGCAACGTACTACTGTCCCAGGAAGCGTAGATCACGGTATCAGTATAGCGTTGCGCTCAAACTCGAACCTCTGCTCGATATGCGTGAACCGGGAGAAGTTTTACTCGCTTTGGGTGAAGGCAGAGAGGTAAGGTAACAGTGGCCTGGAAGTACATGTCGGAAAAAAGTCAAGTACCATTATAATGGTGCCGGCTTACAACACTCGTCAAGTGCCTTAAAAGGCACCTGTAGGCCGTCTCAATTGTGTGAGGTTCTATTATAATTATTAATTATTATTAATAGAACACTGACTGACCTTGAATTGATAATCATCCTTCTCTCCAAGTACGCCATCATCCCCGCCATCGGTTGGCAGCCTCTACATGTGTTGTAATTAAAATAACGAATCTATCCATATTATATTTTGTTCATACCTGTACCTCCTGGATCCGATGGCTCCAACTCGCTCTGCTCGACGAGGGAAATATAACTATTCTGAAGGGATGCTAACAGGACAGATCAAATGTACTTACTGCAGCCAGAAATTCAAGGCGCAAGGCATCAAGAAACACAAGACCAGCTGCAAGAAGCTCCTGGAAACTGAAGAGGAACAACAACGGTTCAATCAAGATTATGAGAGAGGGCAACGAAAAAGTGAGTCACCCAATTGTGCACCGGCATCGATATCACGATCGTTCAACTGATTGTGTTTGAACTTCCAGCAAAAAAGGCTCGCAGGGCCCTTAGACTTGACACCAGCAAGGCTGGCCCATCAAATCTAGCCAGTATCTCTGAATCCAAGTCTGATGCAAGTGATGCTCACGCTGACGATCACGATGCATTGCCTGTGCCTGAGGAGCAACTTGAATTTGACGGCAATGTGGGAATTACGAGCCCTGGTAAGCGTGTTGACTTCATAAGTGTTGTTGATTCAGAGGCTGACTTATTTTGTACAGTATTATCTGATGCAAGCATGGCCACCATTAACCCTGCGCCTGCAGCATCTGCTCAGCTCCCTGGCGAGTTCAAAACTGAATATCATCCTCGCTCTGGTCGCCAGACACTCTTCCAACCTTTTGATCAATTTGGCATCTCCCCAGAGGCGCAGGATGTGCCTATTGTTGACAAGGAACCATGGCGTCCTTTCAGATTGCATGGGGACTTCGAATTTTCCGAGATCGCAATCGAAGCTGCACTCAACAAGTCTCAAATCAACACACTCCTCAGTCTCATCACATGCATATCTGAAGGCCATGCTCAGATAACTTTGAAGAATGAAGCCGATCTCTCGAAGGCATGGGATAATGCTGCAGCTGAATTAACACCAGTATGTCTCAGCTTTACTTTACCCTCTCACATGATTATATTACTCAACGCTATAGCTAATTGCCTAAATAGTTCTCAAAACACGAAGTTGCTGTGACATACAAGAAGAATGAGCAAGTGTATGAAGTTCATGCACAGCCTATCTGGGACTGGGCACTTGATTTATTGGATAACCCATTGCTTGCACCTCACTTTGTCTGGGATGCGTGTTGTGTTTACAAGCACAATGGCGCGCAGTTCGAGCGTTTCTTCGATGAACCGTGGACTGGAGATAGGTGGTGGGATATTCAAGTACGTACTAGTTGTTTTATACTGTCAAACATATAGATTCACGCCTTTTGTATATCATTGAGAATAATATCAGTCTTCTCTTCCTGACATCGACGGTGCTGTCCCGTTTTGTTTCATTCTGTATGCTGACAAGACAAAGTTATCATCCTTTGGTACAGTCAAGGGGTACCCAGTCGTGGTACGATGCGCGAACTTACCTACGCATATTCGGAATGGTGAGGCATTTGGTGGTGGCCGCATTGTCGGATGGTTACCTATCGTGAGTCTTTTGTTTTTACTTGTCAAATATCAACTCAATCTTAGACTGTATTACATTGCAGGTTCCTGAGGATGCAGGTGAAGAAAGTAAACTTGGCTATACAACACTGAAACATGTTGTATGGCATGAATTGTTCAAGAAACTCCTGGAACACGCTGCACAGTACTCAAAGACCGGGTATTCGCACAAGTGCCACAACGACATTTTGCAATGGCTATTTCCCGTCATATTAATTCTTTCAGCTGACTACGAAGAACAGTAAGTCCTTCCAGTCCTACTCATCCCGTCCAACTTCCCTTACCCATTGAGAAGGTGCATGATGTCGCTCATACGTGGCCGCGGCGGCAAGTGCCCTTGCCCGTGTGCTTGGTACCATTAGAAGAGCTCCATGACCTATTGAAGACCCATGCCCTTAGATCCATAGGGGAAGCAATGGAAGCGCTTCGTGTCTATAAGCGCAGTAAAGCTCAAGGTGAGGAGCTACTGAAAGCTCTTGGATTGCGGCCTGTTGAGGTATGGTGGACTTTTTGCATGATTCAAACTTGCTGATATTAAGAACACACTTAGAATATCTTTTGGATCATATGGTATTCGGATCCACATGATGCGCTCAGCTTTGATCGATTACACTCATTGCATGGCAGCCTTTGGAAGCACCTTCTTGGTGAATTGAAGAAAATCCTCGCGTCGCTTGGACGTGAAGCCAAGGCAGCATTTGAGAAGCTGTAAGTCATTGATACCAAGCCTTTTTCACAATCTGAATCATTTTGCAGGATTGATGACTTCCCTCAATGGCGCAACCTCAACCACTTCAAATCTGCTATCAATATCTCGTTTTCCGATGGAAACAAGTTCCAGGACCTATCTAAAGTGAGTTTTTTCAGCTGTTTTGCGATCATATATGTCACTTATTATCTTGAAGCAAACCTTATATGCATGTTTGAATCTTCTGACCCCCAGAACCTCCCCAGAGGGCCACCAGCTACTTCGTGTCATCAGTACTTATCTCCAGCTGGACAGTTTGATTGGCCTCGATGTACATACTGAGGGCACACTTGCGGCAATTGAAGCCGAACTCCTGATTTTTGATACGGAACTCAAGGTGAAGTGCTTCCTTGTCACTTCATAGCTACCCATTCATATTCACACATTCGTTTTAGGCCTATGTTACATGTGCTGAATCATCCGACATCGAGAAATTGAAGCTCGACTGGAATTTTCCAAAGACACACTTATGGAAGCACATTGTTCGTGATATCTGACGCAAAGGAGCAGGCGCGTAATTACAGTACACGTCCCAATGAAAAGCTGCATGGCCCCCTCAAGGACACCTACTACCATCGAATAAATGGAAAGGATGTTGCCAGGCAGGTAAGTCTGCAGTTTCTCGTTACTGATCTCAAATTGAACTGATGATGATATTTTCCTTAGATTCTTCATGTTGACCACCATAAATTTGCCCTGATGCTCTTGAGGGAATGTGTTGACGCAGTTGACGAATACAACCGGTTGCAAGCGCTTGGAGATGATCTTCCTGACAAAGACGTTGCTGTTGCCTTCAGTGGTCACTGTGAAGCTTGGTGCACCAACACAGAATCCTGTGTCAATCCTTGATCTTGAGAACCGCAGCACAGTGGATCGCTCATTTCAAGCTTTTCGGAGGAAGTTTACTGAATTCATCAACACCTCTCTGCCTACCGATGGGCATCAACTCACGAACTGGATTACATTTCCAGCTGATTATCAGGTATGTACCAGTATCTTTAAATGTTTCTTATTGATTTACTACGCAGATTCATGAACACTGCTATCTCAAGGTCAATTACGAGTCAATGGTTGACTGGAAGCAAACCACTGATCACCTCTGGTGCAACCCGCAATTCCACAGGCTGCCGCGGTTTGACCACGCCCTTATACAGCTTACAGCAGATGAAACGATCTTTGTTCGACTGATACTCTTGTTTAGATGCTCTATCTCGAACCTTGGTCTTTCGAGTTTGCCCTCATTCAGCCTTACACTGCGAGAATCAATGGTTCTCGCAGAATGGACCATTTCTTCAAGCTCACTCGTGTGAAGGCCCTCCCTAGGGCATCTTCAATATTCGTTCCACTCAGTTCTTTCATTCGAGGTGCCGTTTTGGTTCCCGACGCTGATCATCAAGATGAATACCTCGTTGTCAACCACCTTGATAGTGATATGTTTCTTCGAATGAGGGCTCGGGCATGGTAAATGTGAGTCTATTCTCCCCACTCTCTGTCATTCTCTCTCACATTGCTGCGCTACAGTCCACAGTCTCCATCATTCTCTTCCATGTCACTGCAGTAGCCTCCCACCAGACCTTCCTTCCGCCCTGCTATCCTACTCCAGCACCTGCGCAAATGTCCCCATCCTCACCAAAGTATTCTCCCACCAGACCTTCCTTCCACCCTACTATCCTACTCCAGCACCTGCGCAAATGTCCCCATCCTCACCAAAGTATTCTCCCACCAGACCTTCCTTCCACCCTGGTATCCTACTCCAGCACCTGCGCAAATGTCCCCATCCTCACCAAAGTATTCTCCCACATACTTCCCAGCTCGTATTTCCGCACCAGTTGACCCCAAATTCCCACTATGTATCACTCGCATATTGTAAGATTCTCTGCCCAGCTACTAACTCAACTATCACTGACCTTTTTTTTAGCCCCTGCTTCTCCCGCCTATAGCCCAACATCATCTGCCTTCAAGTTTGGCACAGAACAGCCATAGTCACTCATACAGCACATCACCATCCTGGAGGAAGACCGCTGCTCAATGCGTGCAAAAAACTTGGAATAGTAAGTCTCTTTCTACTCGCTGACTCTTTAAATTTCTTACATTGTAACAGTACTTTCTGCCGTGATTGCTCAACTCGTGTAAAAAACTTGGAATAGTAAGTCTCTTTCTACTCACTGACTCTTTCTTACATTGTAACAGTACTTTCTGCCGTGATTGCTCAACTCGTGTAAAAAACTTGGTAAGTAAGTCTCTTTCTACTCGCTGACTCTTTCTTACATTGTAACAGTACTTTCTGCTGCGATTGCTCAACTCGTGTAGAAAACTTGGAATAGTAAGTCTCTTTCTACTCGCTGACTCTTTCTTACATTGTAACAGTACTTTCTGCCACGATTGCTCAACTCGTGCAAAAAACTTGGACCAGTAAGCCCCCTCCACCTGAATCTACTTGCTAACTCTTTCTTACATTGTACCAGTAGGCTTTGCCATCATTGCTCAACGCGTGCAAAAAACTTGGACCAGTAAGTCTCTTTCTACTCGCCTACTCTTTCTTACATTGTAACAGTACTTTCTGCCGTGATTGCTCAACTCGTGTAAAAAACTTGGTAAGTAAAATGTTTTCTCTTCACTACATAAACAATCTTATTGTGGCTCTCACGAGCTGCCATCTATTAGAACATAATGTCACCAGAATCTCCTCCTATGGTTAGGGCGCCATTCATTTGTAAGGTGAGGCCTGCCCTATTACACAGTGTTTGCACTCATTAGCGTACAGATACCTCGGCAAGTTTTGATGCACACTACAATGCGGCTAACATGTTTTTAGCGACGTAATTGCCCTGCATGCGAGTTATTGAGGCCGTCGGCACCCTTGGGGCGACATTTATATAGGGTAACTGTTTGTCTCATCATTGTGTCCTGTCCGCTCACACCAGATACCTTCCTTCTACAGACTGTCATTGCCATGCCGTGCAACCATAGACCTGGACCAGATGATGGTGAAGATTTCGAAGCTGAAATCAATGCAGTCACGTCAGACAAGTCCAATAGCTCTGACGGATCAGACAGTGACCAATCTGGGAGTGACCTCGACCAGTTGAGGTTGGTCTTGGCAGTCCCAGGTGCCAATGCCCAAATGCATGAAGTTCGAAAGGTAAGCACACTCGCAACGCTGGCAAAGTATGTCATCTGATATACACCTATGTTATAACATATGTAGGCTCTCGCAATAGCCCAGCAAGCCTACAATACAACACGATCCAAATTACACGTCCTCAAGAGACAATACCTTACACTATCTGCTGTGATTCCTGCTCGTAGCCGCAACCGCGTGTTCAAGAAAACGTCTCCGCTAGACTCCGGTATCAGCCATCAAGGTCAGCGATACACGTTGTACTGTCACTTCTGGGTCGCAAACGGCCTGTTCCCGACAATGCCTCAACCTGGTATTGATTCACGCAGTGCTACTCACTGGACTTCTCCCGAGGAAAAACTCAAAGGCGCAATGGCTGAACTTTACTCGTTCATACCCAAAGACCTGCACCAATCAATGGAGACCTACTCTCGGTTTTCATCCTTAGTAAGTACATCATACTCTACTTTGAAGTCCCAGACCATGCTGATACTTGTTATCATTAATTTCGTGCTGCGGTCAGCTCCGAGAGGTCGAATATCCTGCACAGCATCAAGGACTGCGCGGGCATCATTTTCTCTTCTTTCAAGCTCGATCCCAGTCTTTTTGCTGACAAACCGTCAAAGAAGGAACACAACAAAGACCTCCTTGGCTTACTGAAGAAGAATGGTGAGGGCAACTTCATCCGTCTGGCGCCTGTATTATTTGCAAAGCCCAATGCCATGGCAGCTGACGAGTTTCTTAAGTCTATGGTCCTCATCAAAGTGAGTACCGCTGATCAATGTACACGAGCATTGCCTAACTCTACTTGTTCTAGATTGTCCGCATTGAAGTCTTTGGGAATGCAATACTTGGTGGAAAGACCCGGGGGCATCCAAAAGGCAGAGGTCTGCGCATGGGCGCACAGAGTGTCTCAGAGGGTATGATTGCAGGCGCAGCTATCTTGGTAAGCATATCATATGTTCTTTACCTTACATTGCTGATTTTCACTCGTTCAGGCACGTTTCTTATTGACTCATGACGCCAAACTTACTGCAATTGGGGCCGAGACCAAAATCGACTACCAGAAAGACTTCGATTTCTACTTGGAACGCCTACTCAAAGGCACACCATGGGCGATTAGTGTGATGGAGTATTTCAACAAAGAAGTCTTCAATACTACTGCAGCACCTAGTGCGCCTACATCTACTGTGGTGCCTGCCGCTGCGCCTTGCACTTGGGAGGATGATTTCTTACAGGAACTCGACAACATTGACTCTGTCCCCCACAATGCTTCGCCATCTCATTCTAGCGCACGTGCACCCTCTCCTGCCCTTTCCACCCTTTCCACTGTCTCCACTTCGACACCTGCAATCCCTGCTGTCGTCCATGATGACCATCCCACCTCAACCACCATGAACTTCACTTCATCAACTCAGATGTCTGTTAGTCAGATGTGCGTTACGTCTGCTTCGACGCAGCTGCATTTCGGCATAAATCAATTATCACTTAATACCAACGACAACATTGCCGATTCTGTCGCCGCAGCACCTGCACCACTGACAACGGGTTCCCAAGTACCTGCTCGTCGTAAGGGCCGTGTTACAGCACAGGCAGCCGCCCAAGACACGCCTACAGAAGCTCCAAAGACTAAGTGCGTCAGTGGTTGCAGCAAGAAGGCAACTACAAAGTATACAAAGTGATTCTGCTGACAATATTACTATCCCATACTGTTGTTTCAGTTATCTTAGCACATTATTTGTTCTCCCTTCATGTATTTAGGTTCAAATACATGACATCTACGTACTCGTATCCACTGTAGGGCTGCATACTATCACTTGACTATCACCGCTTGCTGCCTTATAAGGCTCTTAAAATGTCGATATGGGTAAGTGGGTTCCTAACTATGTATTGGCCCTATGGCCAAGGGGTAACTATGCCCTTCAATACTACGGTCCTTACTAACTAATAAGGTTAAAGTCTAGAGTTCGAATCCTACCTACAACAATAAAATAGTAGTAATACAATTGTAATGATTAGATAGTAAGTTAATGATTAGGATTAGATAGTAATGTAATAACTACAATAGCAAAATAAGTAGAGTACTCAAATAACAAGTTGGTATGAGATGTTAAAAGATCACGTGGCACACTCAAATGATATTTTGTTTGTTTCAAGATTTTCGGCAGCATTATGATGCCTTACGATGCCTTTCAAGGTCCACCCCTCACGTGTCACAACACAGCCATTCTAATGCCTTACAATGGACAGTGGCAACCATTATAAGGTCTTAAAATATAATTGTGTGTCATTCAAATACATTAAGATAGCATGTGTGAAAATCGGTCCTTAAAATGTCTACCAAGGAATCACAATGGTGCCTGGAAATTTCCGACAACTGGATCGGCTTGCAAGCTGGGCTGAAGTTTAGGAAACAAATGATAAGTTGTAAGACTGTCATAGTGTGCGGGACCATGAGTCCATCAAAATACGATCATCCTGGCCACAAGCACAGAGGAACTGCAACTGAAGGTCATGAATGAGGGGGCTACGAGTGGTGCTGGATTCAGAATACAGCATACGGCAACAACATCCTGAACCACCCGAGAACATACTGAACACATCAAATTTGAAGATGGACAGGCTGGAAGGTGAAGCAGAAAGGAGATGTGGGACCCAGTTGAATGGTCATCGAATCATGCAGTACGAATTGATCGAGGATAGGACCGTCTCAGCTTATGGTCGGTTCCTCAAATTGGCAATTGATCAGAGTAGCATATGTGAGTTCGGGGAGTAGCTACTAGAAAAGTGTTGTCTTGAACGATGCACAAGGTGTGGGCATGCGGGAACTGGTGGTAACCGATAGTAGGAATTGAACGCTTGGGCGCGGGGCCGAGTCACATGCGCATCGTCACGCGTCACGCCGCGTTACGGCTAGGTCGAAAATTCAAATAGCTACGCCCCGTCGGTCGCATGTCTAGACTAGTTTCAATCTGGGTTAGATTCTTTGCTTTCGGCTCTCTTTGCGATCGTTAGTAACAATGCGCCCAACAATGTTTAACGCGTCGAGGCACTCGTTTCTATCTTGTCCCCAACGCATACCCCCGTCCATTCGGTGTCGCGCTGAGACGCACACTTCCAGTCCAAGTTGCTCGCCGTGCTAATAGTTCTACTGCCGATGAACGAACACTCAACCAGAGTGCAGTGTTACTTGACTCTATAATGGGGTTTTCGTTAGGCCTCGAATTGAAGACCTCATAGCTATCGGATGTATTATCTTCCTTCACGTCCCCAACCCAGACTTCAAGTCCAGACGTTTCACAAATGCCTATTCCGCCAGCATCCGACCCCCTTCTTCATTTCCTCGCATCTTCCCTGTTTAACCATGGAAAGCCTGCAAGGGCAGAGCGCGTCGTCTCCCGTATCCTCCTTTATATTCACGCTCTTACCCACGCGCCACCGCTTCCTATCCTCCGCCATGCTCTCATCACCGCTATCAAGTGCATATCACAGAAGCGCTCAGGAAAGAATGTTGTGAGATCTGCTGCGTTTACAGAAAACAGCGCATAAGGGTGGGTGTTCATGCTGTATTAACTGCCACTAAAAACAAGACTGGGAAGACAGTGGAGGAGCGTTTAGCACGAGAGATTATTGCTGTCGTCAATGGAGACAGCAAAGTTATTATTGACAAAGAGCTGGCACACAAACAAGCTATGTTCAATAGGTATGTGCAACATTGACGTCGGGTAACTCTCATTGACACATCGTGCAGGGGAAACGCACTTGTGAAGTGAGGATCTCATATGTTTACCGTATTTCCCCCCTTCCTGTAATGGACCGCCGAATTTAATGCAGTCTAATGACGTGGCTCCCCAGCTTCTTTAATGTGATGCAGCGAATACTACACCATTTCCAGCACTTCTGACTTGGTACGGCCAGAAGCGCTCTCCAGTGGGGTTCCTTATGCGCTTTGTTGGTAATCTTGATGCCCTTGGCAAATTGTGGAGCTCTTCGCACACTTGTTGATGAACAGAAGTTCCACGATGGATCGAGGTTGGTTAAATGATTCATGCTGCTAAAACTCAACGCAGTGTTCACAGGGCTTTTTCTCCAACAACGGGGGTCGCATACATTAGGCTTCCCAACATTAGCAACCCCTGTCATCAGCAGTCACCAATGTATCGTGTGATGTTCGTGGAGGAAAGTGAGAGCGGTAAGAGATGAACGTGTCGGGGAACCCTGTACTAGCTGCGCTTTGGAGCTCATTGAATACCAGTAGTCGTCCCATGTGAGTTTGCAGACCATCCAAACAAGGATTGACTAACAGCAACACAATTATCACGCCTGGGATGCATCAATTGATCAACTTGACGTTCTCACCAAGGTGAGCATCTTTGAAGTCGCACTGAAGTCAGATTTCCGCAATTTACGCATGTGCAGTCTATTTATGCCACATATCACTGCTACTTTCCGGTGATTCACACCTGCAAACTTATTTGACTCCTGATCCTGTTTCTCACTGCCCTTACTTAATTGACAGCAACGGCTGGTCTGTACATTTTGCACGGATATGTGTGCAGTACAAGGGGGTCAGACTTGATGGCTTTCAATGATCACCATCCTGACATGTGCACTTTTAGTATTGCCGCACTGCGATGCGATGTAAATCAACGGTGCACTGGATACACATAAATACCGCGTCACACGACCGCTTTTCCATCACGAAGCCACATGCACCAGAGGCCATGGTCATATTTAATCTGCGTGTCCATAATGCGCTGCCTGATTTTCATGTCTATGCCTCCCATGACAGCTTCTTCCAACCAGACAGATGAAAGTTCGCATCTGTCCGGTCTTCTTGCATATGACGCACTCCCGAATCACCAGAACTTCGACTCGATATCTGATTCGAAGTTCACTGCTGATACTAGAACCGATTTCTACGACCGCGGTCTGACAAGTCGCAGTTGTGCCCTTGTTGGAGTGGCATGCTCGGGCATCTTTAGCTGCTCATGCATCGTTGCAGCCACTGTCATTCTAGCCAAACATGGAATCTACGGTGTAGCCGTGCCCGACCTGATCACTATTTTCAATGCGACGGAGTCTCAGTTGTCTCAGTTGTCCCTGCAGGCGGAAATATTGACCCTAGCACTTAACCTAATCGTCACGTTATGCACCGAGTCCATAGGCTTCGTGCACGGCATCTCATTGCGCTCTGCGCTAGCCTCAGAGTCTCGGCTTCGTTTCAACACCAATCTGCGCCTTCTGACCGCAGCTCGTGGATGGTATCACCCTAATGGCGCCCTGCTTAACGGTATCTCAGCTGTCCTCCTCATTATATCCTACAGCTCAGCCTCACTCGTCGTATGTTTCGACTATCAAATGCAACCATATGAGCAGGGTATTGCCTTCGTAGGGTTACCTCTCCTCATTTTGGGCGTCGTACTCCTGCTCCAGGTGATGATCGCATTGTCAGGGATACGGGCTGTCAAAATATTGACGTGGAGTTCCTCATCTTTCGACTTGACCGCCGCACTGGTCCACCACACCCAATTGACCCCTGTTACTTTCCGGTGCATGCGTCGTGTGTCTGACCTAGACACGGGCGGAGGTCCAGCGAAGCCGCCAGAGATACAGCCCTCGGCATGGCATGCTCACGCTAGCATCCGGAAAGTTATCATTTCTCTTTGGGTGATCGTTGCAGCATGCGCTGGATGGGCCGCACTCGTCATGTATATCTGGGGCAAATACGCTGGCAAGGGTAACATTCCCTGCGATGGGCTGACCACAACAACGTGGACGTTCTTGCCCAACGAGTTGGACAATTACATCATGTATCTTATGCCGGGTGTCAATATTGAGGCGTGGATTCTGCTTTTTGTCAACATGGCAGCTGTCCAGGGACCGTTGACGCTTGGGCTGCATTGCTCAGAGCTCATCGCAAATGTCATTCGAGACGAAAGACAGTGGAGATGCGCTACTGGAAGGAAAGGACTTAGAATGGCGACGAACCCGTTGAAGATGATTTTCAGTCATCCGATTTGTCTCGTACTTTTCGTCACGAAGCCTTTCCTGCGTGAGTCATTCCCGTCTAGTATTTTTATCCTTGTTACTGACCACCATCCTCGACAATCACAAATCACAGATTGGATGTTTGGGCTTTCTTTTAGTATATATCCCTCCGTATTGAATGGGCAACTAACAATGTTGTCGGTAACCATGTCGACTGCCCAGGTTCGTACTGTCTCCCCATGTAAAACTACTATGACATCCTCACACCCTCTTGCAGATCTGGAACTTATGCATAGCGCTGTTTATATTTGCCTGTTTCTTCACTTTCGTCGCACTGCGTCGACCGCGCGGTCCCCAGCCGGCTGCATACGGCCACGTCCAGACGCTCGCCAACCTCGTGGACGAGTGGTCGTCTGTGATGTGGTGGGGACACAAAGAGGACGGATTTCCGTATTGTCATGCTGGTAGGTTATTTATGTGCTCACGATGCTACTGCTCTGACACTTTTGAAAAGGGACGAGCGATCATCCGCTCCCGGATGTGAAGATGGACTGCGTTTACGCTGGTTCTGGTGCTGGGTCCCTGGTACCTGTCTCGTGAGAGGCACTCGATGTGCTTTTTAGAGGGAGTTCCTTGCTTTTTATACAGAGGAGCTACATTCACATCAGAATGGCGATGCATTGACGGGCACACAATCAGCCATGCCGTTGAACAATACACGTGCTATTTTTATGCTGCTTGATACATTGCAGGTAGTTGGTCTTATTCTTATACCATTCATATCTAGGACAACTTTTAGCGGACTCGGAGACACACTTAATTTGACCTTCAAACAATTGCCGAATCATTGTAATTTTGGTCGATGACATGTCGTACAGTCGACTTGCAAAGTCATACTTTGGACTGTTCCGCCCTGACTTAAGTGAGCACCATAACCCGGGATTCAGATGTTTACTTGGTGATCAGTAGAAACATTCGTATGAGCATTCCCGCTCAAAAATTCCTTAGCTCGCTGCTTCGCCACTGAGGTGGGACGAAACCTTCTTAAAACTCATTGTCTCCCTGGAGTTCATGTACTATGTACCATGTCGGAATCACTATCCCAGCACCATATTGGTCTACGTTGATCTTCCGTTGCAATGTCTTAAGCATGCGATTTCACGAGCCCATTATACGAAAGACCGGCATGACACTTGGTCATATCGATGCGTTAATCAAGTTGAACAAGTTTTTCATAGTGGTACCATACTTCAACGCTCACGCCGTTTGCCAGCTACCTAACCCTTGCAGCCTCTACTTCCGCGAGGCAAAGTAGTATTGCTGAATCGAAATTTATCGTCCCAGCCAAGTACTAGCTCCTGGCTAATAATTGCGCATTCAAACCCATGATATTCATCTATTTTCCTGGGGTATGGAAGCGCAATGATCATAGCTACCCTGTCCCTGCAAGCGCCTGTCTATCACGACATTCATGATTTAAATTAGTTCATGCATGGAGCAGTAATAATTCAAATTCAATGTACTTATGCAAACTCCACCCGAAGCTAGCCACCAAAGCCTGGGCCAGAGTTTACTTGAGTCTTGGCAAGTAACGCCAGCGCCGCACCTGCATACATTGTCTCGACGCTGTCCTGTGGATCAGGATTGAATTGCTCTCGCAGGCGTTTCGTGAGAAACTCATGCGCAAAAATCGAGTAAGGTAGGTCCGCCGACTCACTAATGGTCCTTACCATCGCCAGACTACCCATTCTAACTCAAAGATCCCGGCAGGCTTCTCCTGTATACATAGGCCACGATCTGCTGTGACCGAGACCCCGAGGGCTGAGTTGTAAGAGACGTCAACCATGCCCCGTCGGACGATGCAAGGACATACCAGCCGGGTACGAGGTGTTTTGCACCTGCGCAACGGACAGCACATCATCACATGTTCAGATGACACATCACTCCGACTATGTGATTTGGAGAGCGGCGCACAGATGGGCGATAACTGGAGAGATGAGGGGGATACATCGGTAATGTCTAGCATAGACTTATCTCCACACGACAACACCGTTGTGAGTGGAAGCACCGATGGGAAAGTGAGGTTGTGGGACGTAGAGACGGGGAAGATCATCGCGAGGTTGATAGGGCATACTGCTTATGTGGAGTGTGCAGACGGCGAGCGGATCGTGAGCGGATCCAATGATGGGAGGGCAATAGTCTGGGATATTAAGACCGGCTATTCGACTCACCAGCAGTCTTTGCCGTTGCCAACTAGCACTTTCTGATTCAAAGATCCTGGCAAGCTGCTCTCACATATACAGTGCACAATCCAAGACCCCGAGGGTCGACCAGTGAAAAGCAACAGGCGCCAGTGGTCACTCGCTGGAAGATGATGCGAGGCCATACCACTGGCAGCCTACTAGGTGCCACGCCACTACCTGGTGACCACTGACCAGCACGGCACATATTCAAATGACAGCTTGCTCTGATTATGGGACCTGGAGAGCGGCGCACAGGTATGAGATATCGATAACTGGCAGGATAATGGGGACAAGGTGGCAGTATTCGCCATATGTACGCATCAGTGGACTGGTGAACAGATTAGAATAGTATTTACGTAAAGCAATATTTTATGGGCCAGGTGAAATTGACGCGGTCCTGCCGCGCCTGCCGCGGTCGTGACGCGCCTGTGATATGATGTTATAGGTGCACATTTATTATTGCGCGTTGCGCGGCCTGCGCGGTGCCCGCTTTGGTGACCCGTTTGTTGTTGCCCATTTGGTACCTGTTGTGATGTCTGCGCACTGCCCTTTGTATAGTCTGCGCGCTGCCCGTTCAATTGGTGACTCGGGCTCTAGCCATGTCTTTCCTTTTTTTTGCCAGTATTTTTTGCAGGGCTGCATTATCTTCTACATGTGTCCCCTACTACCTGGCACGTCAAACAGTCAACATCAAAGCAAAGAAGGGGATGCTATTGTCCTTGTCCTATGTAGTAGATGTAATGACAGTGCAAAATCATTAGTCGTTGAACGTTGATGCCCGATTCATTCAGCTCGAAGAGTATTGTAAGGATCATGCTGCAGTAGTGCAGTATAGTGCAAGATAAGCAAAAAAATGCAATTAAACACGTAGACAAGATACTGAAACGTCAAAGGATCAAATGAGGTAATGGACAGGCCTGATAGCATATTTGGATTCCCAGGGATTGACCATCACCGGTGCAAAAGGGTCGTCGGGTTGAGGCTGGCTGCGCCACAAAATATCATCCTCACTCACAGAGACAATCACAACTAGATATGATAATTCAGGGAAAGTAGGGCATGGAGCTGGTACACCTGGAACACTCAGCTGACTGAGTGAAGGAGGAGACTCGAAAGGCAGGTAACGTGGGATGGTGGAAGCCATTTCTAATGAACAAAAAATGTGAGTCCAGATTTATGTTATAAAAGGCAACAGTAACAACTTACCGCTCTTGAGTCTTTTCACTGCTACTCTCTGATTTGTCAGCGATTCATCAGGGGAGAGTGCTGTGTGAGTCCGTTTGGCTAGATACACAATTGTCAGCTTTTTTGTTCGAGTCAACTGGAACAGAACGCAGACCTACCATTGACCATTGGTGTCTTCAAGATCCTCAGCTTACCTTTTCCTTTGTAGTCAGGCATGAATGTCTCCAGAGTCGCTTAAATCCATCTCCATCAAGGAGCTAGCAAGTTCAGGGTTATGGTCGGCATCTTCTCTGATGCTGTCTATGTCAGAGAAAAGCTCTGAACTGTCACCATCGCCTTCGGAATCTGAACCAGCTATAATGGGCTGGGTGTTCCAGGATTCGTACACAGTGTCTGGAATACGGTTCCTGGTGACTGACACGAGTTATTAGCACAGCAATCAGGTGTATATAGTGGTGATCGCACCAAACCAAAGGTGAGATTCTGTTATGCTTGCTTTGTCCCGGCCCTTGTGCTTGGCTAAGTCTGTTCCAGTCAGACATGCAATATTGATGACAGTCAAGACTTGCCCACTCTTGTTCAAAAGTCTCCAAATTGGCTTCTCATCCTGGCCCGCTGACGACGACACATTCCTGGACCTATCTGCATCCAGATAATTGAAGACCTTTGGAAATAGCTTGCGTAGTAGTTGAGTGATTCTGGAGTAAGACCAATCATGATGGAATGTCGCTTGTTCATCCACATAACATCCGCGATTCTTCATGGCCTGGATCTCATTTAAACTGTTCTTGGATGGAGCTTTTGACACTCTGATGACGCCATGTCTCTGAAGAGATTAAGAATATCAGCGATCTTTTTGAGCAATGTTAGTGAAGGTTCGCGACTGACATCAACACTGCAAATGATCATGCCAACTGACGAAACACGGAAAGTAGATGTTGTGGATGCGGTGTTCCATTTTGCCTGGCTCCCAGTAGGTTGCGAACTAGCAGTAGTATCCCTCCGAGTCTAGAGCAAATCATGAATATGTAGATAACATTTGTTAGTATATTAACAGTACATTACCTTTTGCAAGCCAGTTGATGGCCCTGGACACTTTGAAAGCTTACTGTAATTCGCAAGACAAGTAGAAGCAAGCGTTGACAACGCCTCCTCTCTGGCAGCTTTAGTTGAGAGAATCGAGCCTCCTCGCTTGGCAGTTACACGGTTAAAGATCTCTTTTACTGCAGCAGTACTGGAGGAACTTGGGCAAACCTCTTCATCCTGGGGTGTTTTGGAACGTTCAGTGTCTACTGTCCTCCGAGTCCGAGGATGTTTACTGTGTCCATGTCCACACTCGGCACAGCGTCCTTCATCCCCATGTCGAGCATAGAAGTCTTCACAGTCGCAGAGTTGACCATCAGGAATAGTCGCTCTGCAGAAGTTTTCCCGGTTCATACTGTTGGTTGATTGTGGGACAGGTCAAGCAAGTCGCATCAGGGAAGCTTAAGGTATAGGAACGACTTCAAGACATGAAAATTAAGTTACAATTTAAATTTATTCAACAAGCACATGTTCCGACTAATCCCTATCGGCTAAAAACATAGTCAAAACTAGCAAGGCTTGACACCATAGTTTCACTCGATGAAACCAAATTGGCTCTGCAAGGGAGACTTGAAGCTCTTTCACACCTCGTCGACCAGCACATATCGTCTCAAAGGCAGGATACTGGTCACCTTCCCATTCATCTGGCGTCAGTCGGCAATACGCTGGTGTGATTTTCTTTGCAACAACTTCAGCAAGAACTGTAAAAAATTGTTCTCGCGTTTCTTCGTCAGTACCAAAAGCGCTCCTGTGTGAAGGAACTCTGACAGCGTCATGATGGATGTGCTGCCATTGCTGATCATTGATCAACTCAATAATGTCGGGCGACTGTTCATCCGCATCATCTTCCTCGTCAGCAGGATGCCCTGCTCCAGTTTGATGTGGTCGTCGGGATGCAGGGCGACCATGAATGCCGTAGTACTCCTCAATCACATCAGGGTGAACGCCCTCACAATCGTCACGATATACACCAAATAGTGTTTGTCCCAGGAACTGTAAGTCCTGGATAAAATTGAGGTCTTCAGCAAGTTGAAACGCAATCACAAGCTTACCTTTGGACTCTTGTCATTAGTGTCAGGTCCCCATATTGGATGGCAATTCCACTCTTCCTGAAAGTCAGAGCAATCCTGATTGATATCGTCAAGGAAAAGTGCGTGAAGCAACCAAAGATGATTGGCGTTCTGAGGGTTGAGCATGTGCCAATTTTCGAGCCGAGTAAAAAATGCCCTCCATCGCCTAGCAAACTGAGTGCCGACTTCAACCCACAGCTGCTCAATTCGAGAGTTTCGTGTAGAGCTTATGTATGGAGTCAGCAACTAAAACAATTCGAGCAAGAAAAACTCACAATCCCCACATAAATGAAGCGCGGCACGGTCCATTTTTCATTATCATGTAAGTGGCAACGTCGAGGTTTTCTCCACCGCGATCACCTTGCACACGAGAAGGAGTACCATACTCTCTGATTGCGAGTTTGAACAAGTCCAAAACGGTAGCTGAACGGTTGTTATTACTGGCTTTCAGTGCCGTTATCTGATAGAAAAAGAGGTTGCATTAATGAACTGCTTGTTTTATAAACACAATAAGCATATACTTACCGTCCTGCAAAAGCCATCGATGAATCCGTGAACTACAATCCCCCATCTAATTAACTTATGGTGGCCATCCATGTGCCAGAGTGTGTTGAGCCGCTTGACATAGTATTTTCGCTGTCTTTTGACCCGTCGATCTCGCAGGACCTGACCCAACCGGTCTACTTGACGAAGTGAATGTACCACTCAATGATGCTGCACGCGGATGCCATGCCTGCGGAGAAAGCCAATAATATAGCATATACTGGAGTCCGGGCGCTTTTTCTTGAACTCCTGGATAAGAGCATCAAGATCAGTGTTTGTGAGTTCAGAGTACTTCCTTTGGATACCGTGGCATTTCATATAGAGCCGCAAAGTATTTCTATGAACTCCTAATATATCTGCCAGTTCCCTAAGCTTGATTTGTCGAGAGTTGGACAATGCGTCGGCAAGGAATTCGAGGTCTATGATATTCTTTGGGCGACCTGGGCAGCTCGTTCGCAACAAGGTCACTGGTTCAGGAAATATAATATCACTATCCACCCTGTCAATGCAGTCAGCGATTTCTTAATGTAATGGTAAGAATAAAAGGAATCACCGAGTCTCAATATTATGTCGAAATGATGATAATTGGACGGACAAACTCCCCAGTAAAGTAGCAGCGTCAGATAGCCAATCCTGCACTTCCAATCCTCGAGGATCAACTTCAAATGCTTCGAGTAATGGTATGGCATCAGCCATTATGGCCTCTAAATAAAATGTGAGCTGAAGAGGGTCTGCATCCTCTTGGTTCAGAATGTGATAAGCGTGTCTGTAAATGTCTGACAATGTATCATGGGCAACAAGGAAGTTAGCTGGCCATGGAGTATGGGCCATTGTGCAAGGTGGAAAGTGAGGAAGCATCTGTGGTAGCATACTAGGCATCACAATAACTTCGACGAGTTCAAGCAGCAGGACGCTCACACTCACCAAACACTCACATACACACATGACGTAGATCTGAACACCTACAGTCAGTCATTTGCATATATCTACATACTGTAAGAAACAGCACCAAGAGAATTCGTTAATTTTATAGTAGTAGTGTCAAAACCCGTGCATATGGCAGGGTTGAAATGGAATGCGCCGCACACTGAATATGGGCGTATGGTATAGTAGCAGCGTCGAAACCCATGCCATATGGCAGGGTTGAAATGGAATGCGCCGCATGCTGAACATATGGGTGTGTGGTATAGTAGCGAAACCCATGCCATATGGCAGGGTTGAAATGGAACACGCCGCATGCTGAATATGGGTATGTGGTATAGTAGCAGCGTCAAAACCCATGCCATATGGCAGGGTTGAAATGGAATGTGCCACGTGCTGAACATATGGGCATATGGTATAGTGCATGGGGGAAGTATGATGCGACATTTGTGCCGATGAGGCCAACAAGGAGAGGATCCAGAGAGACGATCAGCATAAGATAGATGGAATAAAAGTAATAACGAACCTGTCAAGAATTCCTGCTCAATGATGACAGCCTGGGTAATGATATAGTGAGTTGTACTCGTTATTGAGTGGGGCGGGCAGGCCTTCCTAATTAGGCAATAGGGCGCTGGTGCAAGTGCTTCGCTTTTGCACCTTTGTTTGGTGTTGTTTGGATTATGCAAACTGCTTGTCTCAAACTTCCAATTTAGGCAACCCAAAAATTTCTGGCATCCAGAACAAAGGCTAGCTGTTTATAAGTGTCAATGAGAAGTGAGTGAGTGTCGGAGTGAATGTTCTCTATGATTTGGAAGCCATTGTGAAAGAGTAATAGCGACTAGGCTGGTTAGAAACTAGCGCTACTTATCCAAATAGGTGCGAGTGTAATATTCGACCCAAGAGGACTGCTATTGAAGCAACTCCCTTCAAATATGCAAGGGTAGCGATGATGCGAAGGGCTGATAACCTATAGCGACCTAAGACCAAAAACCAATGAGTAGTGCTGTAGTGATCAGCAACTAGCGACAAGTGAGTTCCGACAGAAAAACGTGCGTATAAGTAAGTAGCGCTATGCAAGTTGTCCTATGCGATAGCGCTATGCGACGTCTGACTAGCAACAGCGAGAAGAAATCAAAAGAAGGGAAAGCGAGGGATAAGGTATGATAGTGCAAGTGGAATGCCTGATAGCAACTAGATTATAGCTCGACTACCGATAGCGATCCCGACGTTGTGAAAATCAAACTTATGAAGGAACTTTTAGCGACGCGCACTCGAAGCAAGTCAAGCGACACACGATCAGAGAGATTGGCAAGAGCGGAATCGATTGCACCAAAACTAAGATATAGCGACTAAAGTGACTCCGATACCAGCAAAGGTCCGGGGAAGGGAAGTACTGTACTGTATGTAGGATGGGTCATTTTATCATACTGCATAGGGGTTCGGGATGCGTAGGCGAGTATAGTAGCAACACTGGCGAGGGCACGATGTAGCGACAGGTAATAGAACATGCAGCACTGTGGAACATGAGGACACATGTAATAAGACCTGCGACTGATGAGTAGCGACATTTAAGGAAATATAATGCACCAGTGGAGGTAGGTGGACATAGGCAGGACATGGAAGGGCGGAACACATAGACGTTGGACCGGGTAGCGCGCTATGGGGGAAAGGTGGTACCAAAGCGGATAGCTTGGGAGCTGAATAGTGCTGGTGACTAGCGTCTTACTCTTTTCTTCTAGGCAAGTCAAAATATGCCTATGACATTCATATGCGCCTAGTGCCGGTATGATTGTCACACCGTAGAATCCAAAGGTTAAATGAATGTTCTCCATCATGATTTGGAAGCAGTAGAAGAGTAAGTCCATCAATCCGTGACTCACATGATGTGCTATGCTGTGTCGTGTTGAACATTTTTTGAACTTGATTTTCATCAAACATCAAAGTGTAGAAACTATGCCAGGCGCTCCCGCTCCTACCATGCCAACTCGACATCCTGTCTATTATTTTTCTAATGCAAGCCATGTCTTTCAGGTAAGGTTTTTCGATTGATGTATCAAGTCACTTACGCAGTTTGGGTGCCCTCACATTAACAGATCGATAATGTACTATATAGGCTCTGCGGCTCAGTCTTGTCCTCAAATTCTGAAACATTCAATGACATGTTTTCTGCTACTGAAACTGCTGGATTGGAAGAGATGGACGGGAAAAGTGATGAGAGGCCCATCCGTCTCGATGGTACAACACGGGAGATGTTTGAATTGTTCCTTGAACATACCTTTGGCAGGTAAGTTGTTGTTCTATAGACCTTTCATTGAGCTGCTAAACCAGTTGTAGAGCACGCACCGGCCAATACACCATTGAAGAACTGTCAAATTTTCTGCATTTCTGCGACATGTATCAATGTTCTCATACTCGAAAATTCGTTGTTTCTCGCATTCAGTCTACCCGCTATCATTTCCACCCCGCTCAGCTCATTAACCTTGCCATACAGTATAACACGAGCGCAATCTTCCCATTCGCCTTCAAGCGACTTGTCGACACTCCCATTACCCAATTGACTGCACAACACCAGGAACTATTAGGCAATGATGTGTTTACGACCTTGGTCTATGTGCAAGCGGCTCTCGAAGAACATCGTCGTATTGTGGCTGCAGAAGAGCCCAAAATTTTGATGCACACCAGCAACTGCCAAGATCCAGTAGGCTGTAATGAGGACTGGCACACTATCTGGTGGAATGGCATGGCTCGTTTCCTTCTCGATGGACGAAACCCACAACCATATCGTGAAGCTGTCAAACACTTTAAAGATTTGCAGTTCGGGCGTGTTAGTGGAGGGTGCAAGGAACTTATGTTCAAGATTATTGGGGAGGGAGCAGCATTCAATCACGCTGATCAATTCGTCGATGAAGCTTGTAACCGCCTTGCAGATAAATTGATTTTCGAACCTTCACTAGAAGCATAGAATACATTGTTTTGATGTCCTTACTCGTCTTGTTGTATTCCAATGAGCTCTATTTTTAGTAGTAAGATGCAGCCCTGCAAAAAATACTGGCAAAAAAAAGGAAAGACATGGCTAGAGCCCGAGTCACCAATTGAACGGGCAGTGTGCAGACTATGCACAGGGCAGCGCGCAGACTATACAAAGGGCAGTGCGCAGACATCACAACAGGTACCAAATGGGCAACAACAAACGGGTCACCAAAGCGGGCACCACGCAGGCCGCGCAACGCGCAATAATAAATGTGCACCTATAACATCATAGATTTCCTGCTATGACCGCTCGGGTGCGCTGTTCCACTGATGCTCTTTGCGAACTCAAATTCGACAAGTAGAACAGGTAATGTAATCGACTCATGAAGCAAGGCTGAATGAGTGGGATTTACTCAACCATTTATTACATTCTGGACCGATTGCGACTCCGAGGATCCACGTTCTCAAGCCGAACTCAAAGATGGAGCAAGAGCGCTCCTCAAAGGTTGTCAGCAGCATTATCAGTCTCAGGTCACACGCGTCAAAAAAAAATCAGTGAAGTCATTGACCCTGCCAAAGCGTCTGAGACAACTTTCCCGCGTCAAGGCTCGTCAGTGCCAAGAAAATAGTCATTAGCTGATGACTAGCTTGTAGTATATGTGCCTATGGTGAATAAAATCAACGAAGGAACGATCATGAACCCATTCAACTTGATGTGAGAGTCGAGTACATCAGGGAAAACCTCCCGTGCTAACTTAGATCTAACTAGACAAAATTACCCATAATTGTGTACTTTAGCGGTTTATGAGAACTCTTTTACTGCCTTCTAACTTTTTCGTAGTTATCACAAGGTTTTCGCAAATTAGTACTAATGTTCTGGTCCCTTATGTGAGTTAGTTCATCCTTAGTTCGAGCTTGTATACATGAAAACAATTAAATTTGATTAAAAAGAGTGTAGATGATGTGGATTTTTTAGTTTTATGAGATACGAAAAGCGTGAATTATATACTGTATTGGACAGCTTCAAGATCAGCGACATAAACCACCATCAAACGCCTACTCATCCATCCCATCAAGATCGAGGAATGCAAGTGCATCAGTTTTCGAATCCGTACCAGCCTTCTTGGTATGCGTGAGACCACTGCCAGCGAAAGACTCGGGGTGAGTTTAAACTGTCAAAGAAAGAAATCAGACATACTCTATTGCAGCAAAAATGTCCGCCATGAGTTTGTGGAATTTCTGTGGTGCGTTCTTCTTCAGATCCTCGAGAAATTGCACATGGAACACGTAGACTTCGCTAAACTGATTCCCTGTGAAGTTAAATTTAGGCGGAGAGCCCTGGGCCTTCCAAAAGAGTGCCGCGTACACCTACATAGATGGTTGCAGTCAAGATTTGAAATATAACAGTATTGGATATCAGAACACATTACCGAAGTGCTGGTCAAAGCGACCATAGGAATCAAGACCTCAGGCCGTTCAGCTTTGTTCTTCGCGATTTCAGTAAATTTGTGTGCAAATACGACACCAACCGACTTCAGTCCGTTGAAATAGCGACCTTTCATAAGGTGCACCATGATATCACCCTGGTAAGGTTTGTTTCGCACCGGTTTCGGGACATCATTGTCCTGTAATGTATAAGTTAGTGTAATACACAGCCAAGGCTTCAAAACATACGCCGAACTGCATGGAATAGTGGTAACTGTGGTTATCGATGAAAAGTTTAGCAGAGGCAGTGCTATCGGATCCTAAACGAAGGTAGGCAGTGACTTGGTTGCAAGCGTTGTCCTTGAGATCACCACGAAACAATGGTACACGAGCTTTGACCTGCAAATGCATTATTAGGTGAGGGTATAGTCATTTAAGCGATGTCAACTCCCCAAGCTTGCAAGAGCTGATGCGTATGCATCATTCTTCTTGATCTCCATCTCAATAGACGTAGCACCGCGATCACAAGCTGACTTCAGGAGCGCATCACGCGAAAAGGTAGTTTTTTCTATCAATTCCAGGTAGCCATTGACAAACATCATATACGCCTTTGCCTCGAGAATGCCACCTTGAATCACTTTTCGAGTTGCGATATCCTGGTCGGTCATCTTCACCTTCCCGTTATCGGTTAGGACTAGCTTTGCACGTGAAGATCCGGAGTGGCGCGAAGATGATTCACTACCCATGCGCTCGGCATCAGACAAATCTTGCTCTGACTTCACCTTTATGATGTCAACTTGCAAAATTGAAAAGGAGCAAAGTCGATGTACTCACAAAGGTACTAGTATCCGAGTCAGACTTGGGTGCCGATTCATCACGAGACTCTTCTGATTCACTGGCGTCATCCGCCCACATAGGTGTCTGAAAATCCAGGAAATTAGAGCAAATCCTCGACACAGGATGTTTTTACCTCTGAGGCTCGTTTGCGAGTGCACGCAGACTGCTTGTTCACCTAGTAAAAATTTTATTCATTGATTAGCTCAAATTTAACATCAGCTTGCACACTTACAGTTACTACAGCTTGGTTCTTTGCCTTGGTGCTTGAGACGAAACCTGGAATCTGTCACATGACGGTATGTGTGACTCAGATTTAGATATGACTAAGCTGACGAACCTCTGTTGATAGCGTCTTCGCAATAGATTTTGGGTCTTCCAAGTCGCTCGAACTCGAATCGGCCCCATCAAAATTGGTCCGATCGCTGTCGTCATCTGCTTCACTCTCACTCTGTTCTGATCAACCTTCCTTGATAGACTCAGTGAGTTGATGAGTGGTGCGGTGTCTTCTTACTTGAGGGTCTTATATGTTGATCAGAATACAATGACTATCACAATTGTACTCTTTAAGACTAAGGTGCCAGCTCCTCAAGTTCACGGTCAACAGATTTTCTACTTCTTGGTTGATAAAGTGGTGTTCGTGAGTGGCCAAAGGGTAATAAATTACTTCTTTGCTAGATCACTTCTTGATAGTAAAGGAGTATATATATTTTGTCAGGTTAACTTAAACCTAGTAGGTAATATGGACCTCTCTGTACTGAATGCGGCACGAATACGTAAACGATGGATAAAACGATAGATTATTGTATAGGCGATCCCTGTAAGATAGTATACAATCAATCTAGACTAGTGAATACGATTGTTTTCAAAGGCAACTCGTAGGCCTTCACTTTCTTCGTGATCTCACAGTGTTGAGACAGAAAGTGGGAAAACTCCTGACTTCAAATTCCTATGTTCCCACATGGTTTGGGAAAAGAATGGAAGGGGAAAAACTTAATATATTATGTGAGAATGGAGTCCTTATATACATTTTAGAAACCATCCTTACTAAGCAATAAGTCATCACTGGATTGGTAAGATTATGCTTACAAACCAAGCCTTTTGGTGTGCTGAATCAGCTGCTTACTAAAGTACATGAGTAAAATATTACAAAGCACTGTAAATTATTACAAAGCATGACAAATCATGACAAAACATGATGAGTCATGGAAAGTCCTTACAAATCAGAATATTACCAGTCACATGACATGCTTACAAACATATCTGAATGGCTCACTGATGTAATCAAGTGGCTGAATAAACATAAACAAATAATGGAAAGAGACAGAAACTAATGGAAACTACAAATACAACCAAATAAATAGAAACAAAGCTTACATAAGTGAGAAGTATATCCTTTGTACACTCCTCTACTCATCTCCTTTTATACTGCTATTCGTATATGTCATGGTATGAACTCCATACCATGCATGACAGCAGGTGTGGCAGCCTGAAGACTTTTTGGTGTGCAGCTGCGCTAGTGGACCAATATCAGTGAGTATGAAAAGCTGTACTTGTATCATCGACAACTTACGGCGTTTGTGTTTCTTCACAGCCTTGGCTTCATCCTCTGATGTCGCAGGTGAGATTTCTACTAGCGTTACTAAGTGTGATTCGATGATTCAGGGAGATACTAACGATGATATTTCTTGATCAGTTTAGGCTTGGGTCGTGGTTGTGAACCCCACCATGGTTCTCCAAGTTGTTCTGAATCAGAAGTGTCTGGTGACTGGTGCTGGGTTTCCACCTTGTCTTCTTCTGCCACTGGTGAGATATCTACTACTCTTGTTACTAGGTATTTCAAGATTCAGATAGGTACTGACAACGACTCTGCTTCTTCACTGTTTTAGGCTTGGACCGTGGTTGTGAGCCCCATTGTGGGTCACCTTGTGCTGAACTTGCTGTGTTGTGTTGGGAACTCGCCTTCTCACGTTGAGAACTAGCCTTGTCATGTTGGGCGCTCGCCTTGTCCGGTTGGGTGCTCGCCTTGTCACTTTGGGTACTCGCCATGTCATGTTGCTGCCGCTTACCACGCATCTTGACTGGCAGCCAGACTATGTTCTTGCACGTGAGTTTTATAATTTTCATCAAATTTTGATTGTACTGACCTGCGTTATCTAGAGCCTTCTTCTTTGCGTTCCGGACACCTGCAGACATGCAAGCAGCTGTAGTGAGTCGTATAAATGTCATCAAATGTGAGTACATACCTCGAGAGGGATTACTTTCGCTGCTCATAGCGTGCTAATAAGATTATAGGTAGAATTAAACAGAATGAATGTGATTTTTGAATGAGCGGGGGAAAAGGTTGAAGAAAAGCAAGCAGAAATTTTTGGGATGCTGTCTGAGGCTTTTGATGCTTTGCGCTTTCATAATGCACTAATATATATACATTCCAGGGCAACGGCAATTTTATTCCACTACCCATTTACATTACAAGGCCGTGCCAATCTTGTACTCAACGGTACTGGTACACAATCCAATATGTTATATCCGCTCAGCACTAATTTTCATCCAGATGATCCTTGTGCCGCTTAATCAGACATCACTCCCAGCACCAATGGTAACCCATCCAATATGTATTATAATCATTCAATGCTAATCTTTGTCCTTTCTTCCTTGATCAGCCATCACATTCAGCACCCATCTGGCAGCCACATCCACTCGCACTCAGCGCAAGCGCAGAATATCTACCTCACCTTCATTTGAACAAGATACCTCACCCTCATTTTAAGTAAAATAAAAGGTCCGTAATTTGAAATGGGCAGGGTGACTGCCGCATAGCACTGATTTTCATTCTAGACTATCCTTTTACTGGATACCAACATCATCCTATCTTCCTTAATCAGCCGACACATCCAGTGCACGTGTACCACCCACGTCAACTTGCACTCAGCACACAACATCACCCCACCCTCGTTTTATGTAAGATAAAAGGTTTGTAATTTGGAACAGAGGCTAGTGATGAGGAAGATGCCGCTGAAGAGTATGAGTGGGAGCCACCAGTCCAGGAGAACGAGAGTGACATACCGGGTGTAGAACTGGATGATCTTATGGATGATGATAGTAATGGACCTGATCGCAAGTCATGCCAGGATGCCGAACGTCAAATCCTTGAACAAGACAAGGTTCATGTTGTGCCATATCCTGATTCTCGAGCAGGAAAGCCAATCACTCAGTCCAAAGTTCGGGATGTGAACGTCACATACGGTTCTAGTATCAGTGACACGGAAAACCCGTATTCACCATTTTCCTCTCAAATGGACTGGGAGATTGCACAGTGGGCAAAGTTACGTGGCCCAAGCTCAACGGCGTTTTCAGATCTGCTCAGTATTGATGGTGTAAGTGATCATTTCGAAGTGCTGACTGGTTCGGAGTGCCTAATATCTGTTTGCAGGTTAGCGAATGCCTTGGCCTCTCATACAAAAATTCAAGGGAGCTGAATGGCATCATTGATAAACAACTTCCTGGCCGTCCGAAGTTTCAGCGTGAACAGGTCATAGTTGCGGGAGAAGCTTTCAATATTTATTATCGAGATGTCCTTGAATGTATCAAGGCTCTCTTCGGCGACCCGGACTTTGCGGACTATCTTGTATTTGCACCGCAGCACCACTACATGGACGGACGACGAAACAGTTCGACTATACAGCGACATGCACACAGGTAGATGGTGGTGGAATACTCAAGTGAGAACTTTGTGCGGTATTGCTTGTGCATCAACTAACTTTGATTTGAAATAGAAAAAGCTTGACGAGCAGCGGCCAGGTGCAACTATCATACCTGTCATCATCTCGACAGACAAGACTCAAGTGACCATGTTCCGGAATAAAACTGCGTACCCTGTGTATCTCACCATCGGGGATATTCCAAAAGAAATCTGTCGAAAACCATCTCGACGTGCTCATGTTCTCCTCGCCTATCTTCCCACCACTCGTCTCGAACATATTACCAATAAAGCATCGCATCGTCGAAGTGCAGCAAATCTCTATCATGCATGCATGGCACGTGTGTTATCGCCACTAGAAAAAGCTGGCCTTGATGGCTTGGCAATGCGGAGTGGTGATGGTATTTTGCGCTGCTGTCATCCACTCTTTGCTTGTTTCGTCGGTGATTACCCCGAGCAAGTACTTGCGACCACGGTCAAAACTATGGAATGCCCTAAATGTGATATCCCACCTGACAAACTGGAGAGTCACACAGCACCCTTCGAATTACGCGACCTTCATGCTGTTCTTGATGCACTCGCTGCCATTGATGTCGGAGACCTCGAATTTGTTCAGGCGTGTCGTGATGCTGGCATCAAGCCCGTCATTCACCCATTTTGGGAATGATTACCCTACGCTAACATATTCCAGGCCGTCACACACCTGACATTCTCCATCAACTGTACCAAGGTCTCATTAAGCATCTTCTAGGCTGGCTGGTGCAGGCATGCGGACCAAACGAGATTGATGCGAGATGCCGAAGATTACCCCCCAACCACCATATCCATCTGTTCATGAAGGGCATTACTGGCCTCTCTCGTGTTAGTGGTGCCGAGCATGCTCAAATATGTTGTTTTCTCCTTGGTATCATTATTGATGCTCGACTTCCTGGCAATATGTCTTCGACACGTCTTTTACGAGCAGTCCGTGGTCTCCTGGACTTCCTTTATTTAGCGCAGTACCCATGTCACAGCTCAGAGACACTACTGCTCCTAGATGAAGCTCTCACCCTATTCCACGACAACAAACAAATATTCATTGACCTTGGTATCAGGAACCATTTCAATCTCCCTAAACTTCACGCCACTCGTCATTATATATCAATGATTCGCTTTTTCGGCACGACAGATAACTACAATACAGAATATACTGAACGACTTCACATCGACTTAGCTAAAGATGCCTACCGCACAACAAATTGCAAGGATGAGTTCATTCAAATGACGCAGTGGCTCGAACACAAAGAGAAGATTGTGCGCCATGCGAAATTTATTCATTGGCGACTCCACAACAATACTCCACACCATCCTCGTCCTCGACCAGCAAGTCTATCATTTGACCAAACACAAACTTTGGCCAAGCATCCAAGTGCCAAAGCTGTACCCTTTCGAACTTTAATCTCAGATTATGGTGCCACGTACTTTCGTGAGGCTCTCGCTCGATATATTGTGCAACAAAATCACTTGGGTGAATCACTTTCTCGCACTCGTCTTGAAGCCCTTGCTGCAAATGTTCACCTACCATTCTACTCTGTTGCTGTATACCACAAGATCAAGTGGTTATCTGTTGATGCTCGAGGTCATGGTGACCCACTCGTTACAGTGGATAGCGTCCACGTCATGCCCTGTCGCACCGGCACTCGCCGAAAAAATGATGCTCTACCTGCACGTTTTGATACAGCACTCATAAATAATGGTACTGGACAGTCTGTGGGTGTCGAAGGTGAGGCTTGATACTCTCATCTTTTGTTACCTTTGCTTATACAACGACTCATACTTCAGGCTACCGGGTTGGTCAAATTCGGGCAATTTTCTCCATGAGAGAGAAAGATGCGCAGTTCCTATTTCCTCCAGCACATCAACCTCCGAAACACCTCGCGTACATCGAGTGGTTCAGGCTGTTTTCTTCGACACCAGATCTAAGACATGGCATGTACAAAATCACTCGTTTGGTCCATTCAGGTGAGAGAGTCGCTAGTATAATCCCCGTTTCGAATATTGTCCGCAGTATACACCTTATTCCAAAGTTTGGACCAGTTGCACCTCATCACTGGACAAGTAACAATGTTCTCGAGGAGTGTGATACATTTTTTGTTAATTGTTACATAGATTGGCATAGTTTTGTGACCCTTCGATAACTTCGCGATAATTACATGGATGTTAAGAGCAATATCGAGTTTATGTATATCTAGCTCTAATTTGTGATAGTCTATCTGACTTAGATGTATTTTGTCTATTTACATCTAAGTTAGCACCGGAGGTTTTCCCTGATGTATAAACATAGGAATGAGTTACACTAGCGCATTTAGTAGCCGCGTGAATGCCGCGTCAAAATAGCTACGCCCATATTTTATCCAACATCACAACAATTTAAGATCTGCCACCCACTTTCACATGGATGATGGGAATGTGTGGTATTGTACATCGAGGAAAGACCAAATTATATACTTCGTGAGACAACGTTCCCACTTGAATGGATCTAAGAGGATATGTATGAAAGATGTCCCAAAATTAAGGAGGTTGCAGTGTGCGAAGGATTCAGAAACTTTGGTGACGGCCAGTGTAAGGACTTCTGCCATCACACCAATGCATGGATGCTACTTCACAGGAATCACAGCAAACACTGCTTGTCGTACCATCAAGTCCTTTTCTAGTTTATGCAAGAATTCAACAAAGTGTAGAGAGCTAATCCCGACAACACGACCTGCGATGATGATGACGACGTGTCACACATGTGGGACCTACGTACGTTATCATAATATCATTTCTTTGCAATTCCTTACGGCTCTCTTCGTGATCGTTGGTGACAATGCGCCCAGTAACGTTTAACGCGTCGAAGCACTTGTGAATTCTATCATGTTCTCAACGCATACCTCCATCCATTGTCGCGCTGAGACGCATGCTCCCAGTTCTTGCTCGCCGTGCTAATAGTTCTACTGCCGATGAACGAACACTCAACCAGAGTACAGTGTTACTTGACTCTATAATGGGGTTTTCATTAGGTCTCGACTTGAAGACTTCATCGCTATCAGATATATTATCTCCTCCCGCGTCCCCAACCCAAACTTCAACTCCAGACGCTTCACAAATGTTTATTCCGCCAGCATCCGACCCTCTTCTTCATTTCCTCGCATCTTCCCTGCTTAACCAACCATGGAAGGCATGCAAGGGAAGAGCGCGTTGTCTCCCGTACCCTCCTTCATTCGCGCTCTTACCCGCGCATGGCCGCTACCTATCCTCTGTCATGCTCTCATTACCGCTTCCCCCGCTGTCAAGTGCATATTACAGAATCCCTCATGAAAGAATGTTGGGTGACCTGCTACGCTTACAGAAAAACGGCGCATAAGGGCGGGTGTTCATGCTGTATTAGCTGCCAGTAAAAACAAGAGTGGGAAGACAGGGGGAGTGGTTAGCACGAGAGGTTATTGCTGTTGTTGACGGAGACATCAAAGCTATTGCCGACAAAGAGCTGGCACACAAACAAGCTATGGTCAATAGGTATGTGCAACATTGATGTTGGGTAACTTTCATTGACACATCGCGCAGGGGCAACGCGCTCGTGAAGTGAGGATCTCGTATGTTTACCGTATTGCCCCCCTTCCTGGAATGGACCGCCGAATTCAATGCAATCTAATGGCATAGCTCACCAGCTTCTTTAATGTGATGCAGCGAATACTACACCATTTTCAGCACTTCTGACTTGGTACCGGCAGAAGCGCTCTCCGGTGTGGTTCCTTATGCGCTTTGTTGGTTACCTTGATGCCTTTAGCAAAATTGTGGAACTCTTCGCACACTTGTTGATGCACAGAAGTTCCACGATGGGCCGAGGTTGGTTAAATGGTTCATGCTGCTAAAAGTCAACGCAGCTTTCACAGGGCTTTTTCTCCAAAGCTTCCCAACATTGGCAACTACTGTCATCAGCAGTCACCAATGTATCGTGCGATGTTCGTGGAGGAAAGCGAGAGCAATAAGAGATGAACTTGTCGGGGAACCCTGTACTAGCTGCGCTTTGGAGCTCATTGAATACCAATAGTCGTCCCACGTGAGTTTGCAGACCATCCAAACAAGGGTTGACTAACAGAAACAAATTTATCGCGCCTGGGATGCATCAATTGATCAACTTGGCGTTCTCACCAAGGTGAGCCTCTTTGAAGTCGCATTGAAGTCACATTTGCGCAATTTACGCATGTGCAGTCTATTTATACCAGATATCACTGCTACTTTCCAATGATTCACACCTGCAAACTTATTTGACTTCTGATCCTGTTCTCACTGCCCTTGTTTAATTGCCAGATCCTGACATGTGCACTTTAATGTAAATCAACGGTGCACTGGATACACATAAATACCGCGTCTCAGGACCGCCTTTCCATCATGAAGCCACATGCACCAGAGGCTATGGTCATATTTAATCTGCGTGTCCACAATGCGCTGCCTGGCCTTCATGTCTCTGCCTCCCACGACAGCTTCTTCCAACCCGACAGCTTCTTCCAACCCGACAGATGAAAGTTCCCATCCGTCCGGTCTTCTTGCATATGACGCACTCCCGAATCACCAGGACTTTGACTCGATGATATCTGATGCGAATTTCACTGCTGATACTAGAACCGATTTTTACGACCGGGGTCTGACAGGTCGCAATTGTGCCCTTGTTGGAGTGGCATGCTCAGGTATCTTCAGCTGCTCATGCATCGTTGCAGGCATTGTCACTCTAGTCAATCACGGAGTCGACGGTGTAGCCGTGCCCAACCTGATCGATCTTGAGACGGAGTCTCAGTTGTCTCAGTTGTCCCTGCAGGCGAAAATATTGATTCTGGCACTTAACATAATCGTCACGTTATGCACCGAGTCCATAGGCTTTGTACTCAGTATCTCATTGCGCTCTGCGCTAGCCTCAGAATCTCGGCTTCGTTTCAACACTAATCTGCGCCTTCTAACCGCAGCTCGTGGATGGTATAATCCTAACGGCGCCCTCTTTAACGGTATCTCAACTGTCCTCCTCATTATATCCTACAGCTCGGCCTCACTCGTCGTATGCTACGACATTCAAGCAATGTCATCAACACCTGGGCAGGGTATTGCCTTCGCAGGGCTACCTCTCCTCATTTTGGGCGTCGCACTCCTGTTCCAGGTGATGATCGCATTGTCAGGGGCACGGGCTGTCAAAATATTGACGTGGAGCTCGTCACCTTTCGACATGACCGCCGCACTGGTCCACCACACGCAATTGACCCCTGCTACTTTGCGGTGCATGCGTCGTGTGTCTGACCTAGACACGGGTGGAGGTCCAGCGAAACCGCCAGAGATACAGCCCTCGGCGTGGCATGCTCACCATAGCATCCGGAAAGTTATCATTTCTCTTTGGGTGATCGTTGTAGCATGCGCTGGATGGGCTGCACTCGTCATGTATATCTGGGGCAAGTACATCGGCAAGGGTTTAATATCGTCCCCCGGCAGTGGTATAATATCGTCTTCCGGCAATAGTATAATATCGTCCCCCGACAGTGATATAATATTGTCCCCCGATGCGCTGACCATACAAACGTGGTCGTTCGTGCCCAGCGGGCCGTACAATTACATACAGTATGGTATGCCGGGTGTCAATCTTCAGGCGTGGATTTTGCTCTATGTCAACATGGCAGCTGTCCAGGGACCGTTGACGCTTGGGCTGCATTGCTCGGAGCTCATCGCAAATGTCATTCGAGACGAAAGACAGTGGAGATGCGCTACCGGAAGGAAAGGACTTACAACGGCGACGAACCCGTTGAAGACGATTTTCGCTCATCCAATTTGTCTCGTACTTTTCGTCACGAAGCCATTCCTGCGTGAGTCATTCCCGTCTAGTATTTTTTATCGGTGTTACTGAACACCATCTTCGACAATCACAAATCACAGATTGGATGTTTGGATTTTCGTTCAGTATATCTACCTCCGTATTGAATTGGCAACTAACACTGTTGTCGGTAACCATGTTGACTGCCCAGGTTCGCACTGTCTGCTCACGTAAAGCCGCTACGACATCCTCACACCCTCGTGCAGATCTGGAACTTATGCATAGCGCTGTTTATATTTGCCTGTTTCTTCACTTTCGTCGCACTGCGTCGACCGCGAGGTCCCCAGCCGGCTGCATACGGTCACGTCCAGACGCTCGCCAACCTCGTGGACGGGTGGTCACCTGTGATGTGGTGGGGACACAAGGAGGACGGAATTCCGTACTGTCATGCTGGTGGGGTATTTATATGCTCACAATGCTACTGCTCTGACACTTTTGAAAAGGGACGAGCGATCACCCGCTCCCGGATGTGAAGATGGACTGCGTTTATGCTGGTTCCGGTGCTGGGTCCCTGGTACCTGTCTCGTGAGAGGCACTTGATTTACTTTTTAGAGGGAGTTTCTTGATTCCTCTTTTTAAACAGAGGAGCTATATTTACGAAACATGCTGAACACATCAAATTTGAATATGGACAGGCTGGAAGGTGAAGCAGAAAGGAAATGTGGGATCCAGTCGAATGGTCATCGACCAATTATCATGCAGTACGAATTGAACGAGGATAGGACCGTCTCAGCTTATGGTCGGTTCCTCGAATTGGCAATTGATCAGAGTGTCATATGTGAGTTCGAGGAGTAGCTACTATAAAAGTGTTGTTTTGAACGATGCACAAGATGTGGGCATGCACGAACTGGTGGTAAATGATAGTAGGCAAGCTTGGGCGCGTCAGGACCGTGTCACATGCGCGTCGTCACGCGTCACAGCCCGGTCAGCAATTTAAAATTTAAAACAGCGGTCGCATGCCTAGATTTGTGTTAGATTCTTTGCTTTCTCTTTGCCATCGTTAGTCACAATGCGCCCAGCAATGATTAACGCATCGAGGTACTCGTTTCTATCATGTCCCCAATGCATACCTCCGTCCACGGTTCCAGTCCAAGTTGCTCGCTGTACTAATAGTTCTACTGCCGATGAACGAACACTCAACCAGAGTGCAGTGTTACTTGACTCTATAATGGGATCTTTGTTAGGCCTCAACTTAAAGGCTTCATAGCTATCAGATATATTATCTTCCCTCACGTCCCCAACGCAAACTTCAACTCCAGACGCCTCACAAATGCTTATCCCGTCAGCATCACATCCCCTTCTTCATTTCCTCGCATCTTCCCTGCTTAACCACGGGAGTCCATGGTAACCTGTTATCATTCGGACCTTTCTTGGTTCCTTCGAACGACTTCAAACCCTGAGCAAGCAAAGTCCGGACACCCTCATTCACAATGCAAAGACCCCAGACTATGTTCAACATCTCCGCTTCAGCTTAATGTCGTGGCCGTCACCGAGCAGTATATAACGGTCTCAGCATATCCTCGTTCCCCCGTATGCTTCCTTCCCCTATTTTTAACTCCAGTTTCGTCCGTTCGATCTTCTCCTCGTCACCTCTTCGACATGTTAACGTCTTGCATTTTTAGTGTATTAGCTCTCCTTTATTGACATTTTGTAACAAATGTGGATTTGTTAATATACACACATACACACATCATTCAACTCTCCGAGCAGACTGGGATGTGGGCCTGCAACGCACTCGCTGTAAACATCCGTCGACAGCTTCCGCATGACTCCAGCACCACAATAGCGTCATACCTCTGCCCTCTGCGAGTAAGTGCAGTATCTCCTGCTCTGTCAGAGACAGACTCGCTAGTTCGTCAGTGAGGATGCTGGTAGAACCACTGGCAACGCGCACATCAGCAGATGCGCGGCTATGGTAGCATTTGTGTTAACAGAGTTCAAATACTGACATGGACAGGGAATACTATTACCTGTGATTCGACGATGACGAATAGACACATTACGGACGGCACTGCCTCACTGGGATGCACCACTGCTGAACTTGGAGCCGCAATACTAAACCTTCGAAGTACGGGAAAAGCTTGAGAGAACGCGCTTCTAACGACCGAGCGGCACAGAGCATTCATATTCACGCGTCACTGGGTATTGGTACTCATGATCGTGATTCCACTCATACCTACCGTGCGTCGAGAAGTATCACTCGTTCAAGGTATGCGTCTTCACTCACGCCATTCAAATTTTGATAGTGATTTAGCCCTATTGCAGCGTCGCTATGTCGCGCAAAATTCCGCGGCACGGCCTGCAGGCACTGACAACGGATATCAGGTTCAGCACTGCGGTTCCCAACATTACGCCACACATCGCGATGCACTGCAGCAACCAGCGCCTCGAATAACCATGCCATTCACGCCAACGTCATCCTGCACACTTGTTCGACCAGATATTAGAGGAGCACCGGAGCCGTATCTGTGGCCGCGGCATACTAACTATATCACCGCACTCGACTCGTTCCACTCCACTTCGCCGATATTGCCGTCTCACAGTTCAGTACTCTCGATGGCGCACTGTGTGGATGATGATATATCTGATAGCCTAGGCGCCACCCAAACCTCAGTCTACTCAACCTACAACAAGACACTCTGACCCATTTTACGGCCATAAGCAGGCTTCGCGGCTCTGAGCTCATTTTTTTGCTTGTCCAAAATATCCCCCTTCTAACTTACAAGTAAAGCTCCCCCATTTTATCGCATATGCACTTCATCGTACCAAATCACATTCTTCCAGTAACTTCCGTCGCTCTCGTCCTGCTCCAGAACTCGAGGGGCGCTTTATTTTACGGTAGCTGGACACGCGCCCTTGTATAAGACTATCCATCATATAGTTGTATTCATTGATGTACTAGATGCTAGGATACAAATAACACAACGTCCTGACGAAGTGTAATTGTCACGTCATCGACAGGAGTAACGACTCAGAAGGAGAGACGCTAACGAGTGTGCCAGTGGGCAGTGGGGAATTGAGGATTATATACTGCTCGGTGATGGGGCTGCAACATTAACTTGAAGCGAAGATGCTAAGCAGAGTCTGAGGTCTTTTCATTGTGAATGACGTGAGGGTGTCCGGACTTTGTTTGCTCGGGGTTTGGAGTCGTTCGAAGGAGCCGCGTTCGAAAGGTCCGAAGGATAACCATGACCAGAAACCGATTATTTAATGCTGGTGTCGGGAAATTACGGCAATCAAGTCTAAGTATAGTTGGCGAGGCACGTTAACGTTATCGCGGGCTAAGTTTGAACCCAACTTGAGCTTGAAGTTTGAAATTTGAAATTTGAGCTATGCCATTCCGATATACGACAATTGCAAGGATGTTGGTTGTCAATAACATTATTCATACCGCCACTCACCTAATCTTTTTCTCTCCATTCTACTCTACCCTGTCAGGCGTGACGCCAGGCTCACTCCCTTCTGCCTATGTGCACTTTTATACGGTATTGCCGCATTGCGATACAATGTAAATCAACGGTGCACTGGATACACATGAATACCGCGCCACACGACCGCTTTTCCACCACGAAGCCACATGCACCAGAGGCCATGGTCATATTTAATCTGCGTGTCCATGATACACTGCCTGGTCTTGATGTCTCTGCCTCCCATGACAGTTTCTTCCAACCCGACAGATGAAAGTTCGCATCCATCCGGTCTTCTTGCATATGATGTACTCCAAAATTACCAGGACTTCGACTCGATGATGTCTGATGCGAAGTTCACTGCTGATACTAGAACCGATTTCTACGACCGCAGTCTGACAGGTCGCAATTGCGCCCTTGTTGGAGTGGCATGCTCGGGCATCTTCAGCTGCTCATGCATCGTTGGAAGCATTGTCATTCTAGCCAAACACGGAATCTACGGTGTAGCCGTGCCCAACCTGATCAATCTTGAGACGGCGACGTTGTTGCAGTCTCAGTCGTCTCGGTTGTTCCTGCAGAGGGAGATATTGACCCTGGCACTTGACTTGATCGTCACGTTATGCACTGAGTCCATAGGCTTCGTACACGGCATCTCATTGCGCTCTGCGCTAGCCTCAGAATCTCGGCTTCGTTTCAATACCAATTTACGCCTTCTGACCGCAGCTAGTAGATGGTATAACCCTAACGGCGCCCTGCTTAACGGTATCTCGGCTGTCCTCCTCATAATATCCTACAGCTCGGTCTCACTCGTCGTATGCTTGGATGATCAATACATATTATCAGCAGAGGGTATTGCCTTCGCAGGGTTACCTCTCCTCATTTTGGGCGTCGCACTCCTGCTCCAGGTGATGATCTCATTGTCAGGGATACGGGCTGTCAAAATATTGACGTGGAGCTCCTCACCTTTCGACCTGACCGCTGCACTAGTCCACCACACGCAATTGACCCCGGTCACTTTGCGGTGCATGCGTCGTGTGTCTGACCTAGACACGGGTGGAGGTCCAGCGAAGCCGCCAGAGACGCAGCCCTCGGCGTGGCATGCTCACCCTAGCATCCGGAAAGTTATCGTTTCTCTTTGGGTGATTGTTGCAGCATGCGCTGGATGGGCCGCACTCGTCATGTATATCTGGGGCAAATACGCCGGCAAGGGTTTCATTCTCCCCGATGCGCTGACCATACAAACGTGGTCGTTCTTGCCAAACACCCTGGTGACCAATTACATCGGGTATGATATGCCGGCTGTCAATCTTCTGGCATGGATTCTGCTCTATCTCAACATAGCAGTTGTTCAGGGACCGTTGACGCTTGGGCTGCATTGCTCAGAGCTCGTCGCGAATGTCATTCGGGACGAAAGACAGTGGTGATGCGCTACTGGAAGGAAAGGACTTTGAACAGCGACGAACCCGTTGAAAATGATTTTTACTCATCCGATTTGTCTCATACTTTTCGTCGCGAAGCCTTTCCTGCGTGAGTCATTCCCGTCTAGTATTTTATCGCTGTTATTGAACACCATCCTCGATGATCGCAGATTGGATGTTTGGACTTTCGTTTACCGTATCTCCTGGCGTAAATGAGGGGCAACTATTAGGGTTCTCGGTAATCATGTTGACTGCCCAGGTTCGCACTGTCTGCCTATGTAAAGCTGCTACGACATCCTCACACCCTCGTTCAGATCTGGAACTTATGCATAGCGCTGTTTATATTTGCCTGCTTCTTCACTTTCGTCGCACTGGGCCGACCGCGCGGTCCCCAGCCTGCTGCATACGGTCACGTTCAGACGCTCGCTAACCTCGTGGACGAGTGGTCGCCTGTGATGTGGTGGGGACACAAGGAGGACGGAATTCCGTACTGTCATGCTGGTGGGGTATTTATATGCTCACAATGCTACTACTCTGACACTTCTGAAAAAGGGACGAGCGATCACCCGCTCCCGGATGTGAAGATGGACTGCGTTTACGCTGGTTTTGGTGCTGGGTCCCTGGTACCTGTCTCGTGAGAGGCACTTGATTTGCTTTTTAGAAGGAGTTTCTTGATTCCTTTTTTCAAACAGAGGAGCTATATGCATACCAGACTGGCGATGCATTGAAGGGCACACAGTTAGCCGTTAAACGATACATGTACAATTTTTATGCTGCTTACTGCATTGTAGGCAGTCGCCTTGTTCTTATACTATTCATATCTGGGATAAATTTTAGCGGAGACACATTCAATTCGACCTGCAAACAAATACCGAATCGTTATAATTTTGGTTGATGATACGTCGTATAGTTGACTTGTAAAGTTATACTTTAGACTGTTCCGCTCTGACACCATAACTTGGGATTCAAATGTTTACAAGGTGTTCAGTAGGACCATTCGGACGAGCTTTCCCACTCCAAAATGCCTTGGCTTGCTGCTCCGCCACTGAGGGGGAACGAAACCTTCTTGAAAACTATTGTCTCCAACTCTTTGAGCTCAGTAAGTATTCTAAGACAGCCTTGCAATATCAGCCGATATCCGATCTTTAGGAAATCCCGTCCCCTGTCCAGAATAAGAGAGGGTGGCATACGTGCTCTTTGTCAAATATGACGGATTGACAACGACTGAATTGTCCACGACCTGCAGCAGATGTTGAAGAGATGACGGTGTGGTATTAAGGAAGCGGATTCACCTTTGAAAAGTGTTTCAACCGACTGGGTAGTACCATCACGTCAGGGCCTGGATCGTCAGGACTTTCGGCGACTCTCAACTCTGCGGAATGCGATACGTCAAGATTGACTTCGTGTGCAACGTCCAAGGAAACAGGGAATATCGGATAAAAGCTACACAGAGCATCGGATGTAAGCTGCTGGAAGTTGAATGATAGTAAAAGTCTCACCTTCTCTGCTGCAAAACATATCTGCTGAGATTTGACATGGGGTCGCTAGCAGCCTCTGGTTCGCATACGATAGAATCTACTTCTTCTCCACGTCTAAAGTACTCCTCCTTCCGCAGGTGATACAACACATCCACGCTGCACACAGCGAAAGAAATCCCGTTTAGTGAGAAGCGTGCAGGATTAGGAAGGAGTCGTATCCGCTGAAGTCAATACTTAATTACCCCGAGTAGGAGAATAGCGCACAAAAACCCACTGGATCGCCACGAAACTCGTCATCAAGCTCGCATTGAGGAAAGACTGCGTGATCGCTGATGATGTCCTTCACACTTGGTACGAGAAGGACTGTGCTTGTTGGTGATTGAGAAAGGAAATCGCGGATGGGAGCGATAAATTGGCGTTTGAAAATGTCTGATGGCGTCTCGCCAACCATACCGTCCTGTATGTGGGTATGTGTAGCGTCTACGAATGGCCCGAGCTAAGTAGATTGTGAGATTCGAATATTAAATTGAATAATGAGTGTACGCACAAGCAGGACGACGGCAGGTTTTGATGCATTGAGGTTGCTGATGAGAGTTTTCCATGGTTTGTAGTCGAGGTTAGCATCTGGAGTGAATGGCCCGCATGCTATGCACATGTCGAAACTTGCTGCCACGTTACTCGGTGGGGCAGGAGACGCTGGCATTGGGGGTATCTGCGAAGTACGTCTTGGATCTCAACAAGAAAACTAGAGACTCGGAATACTCACAGCCAGAATCTCAGACGCAATGAAATAGCCTCCACCACCGTTGCGCCCTTTGAGTGCCACAACCGCACCAGGAAATAGGCCCACACCACCCAAGCCTCTATACCCTCCCCGAATCTTGAGATCTGGCGCGAGTTGCAGAGGCACACGGTGTCCATCGCCGTGCGCTCGCGATGCCTCGAGAATTAGCGACTGATCATTCAACTTGACGCCTGGCCCAGAAGCCTCAGCGTCTAGCACGATCCGGCCCACGACAACACAAGATTCCTGCACCAAAAATCAGCTAACAAGATCAGTCGTCAAAGCACTCATACCTCGGAGAAAACACCGGGATGACCCAACTGACCGACATCCCGATAATGTTTCAAGATGAGTTCGCCAAACCCATCGAGTTGTGTGTCCAGAGCTAGAGAAAGTCTCAGCCGGAGCAGCATCCACAAGGTTTGCCAGATACACACGCACTTTCGCTTCGTTCGCCCAATGTTTCGTACATGTACCGATCTTGGGCTGGATGAGCAGGAAGACCGGGGTCGTGATGATTAACACTCACAAGCGCGATTTTGTCTAGCCTCTTTCTGACCCACAAAAGTGACCCTACTTGAACTAGCGATCGGGCCATCAAAGTCCTGCTCAAGCTTCACAGGGACGCTCGCCGTGCCTCCAAGAAGCGCTTTCGGCGGTTGAGCCGCAGCCTTAAGCGGTCCAGTAAGTCCCTTGGCGTTCACCCCCACAAATTTCGCAGAATTCGCTAGCTTTCCGCGCGTAAAGCCGGTCGCTGTTGACTTGGACACGCTGCTAGCATTCTTGGCTTGTATCTCCCGCTGGATCTGGGCCTTTATGTCTGCTGCAGATTCGCGTGTAAAGCGGAGGATAGTCTGCGCTTGACCGTACGAGAAAGCTTCCCATTTATATTGGAGGTCCTTTGCTGTTAGATTGTACATCTGGCATATGGATACACCTGTAGAGCGTGTTCAATGAGCGTGTTCTTTGTAGATTCAAATGTAAAATCGTACATTCGTTTATAAGGGCTTCTGAGTCCTCCTCTGAGTCTGTAGCTCCAAGCCATTCGCAAATATCGCTGCGTAAGGAAGACATCTTTGATCAGAGCTGAACAGGATGAGAAACGCGTGAAATGGACGCGTCCAGCCACAAGCGCGCACTGCGCCATATATTAGTCATCTACACCACGGAAGCAGTCACACAAGTAACATCACACCAGCTTTCCAGAATTATTATAGATATGTAGCACCTGCAGAATACGAACAGATGAATGTACGATAAGCGGATCCTACTATGTAGTTACTGATACAAACAGATTCAAAACAACAACAGACTACAGATCAGGAAGGGTAGCCAAGCATTGAATCTGGAAGGCATGGGTTGGGGGGTACCGATGATACATAGGGAATACACGAGCGAAACGTAGCGTCTTCAAGCTCTTTGAAGAATCAATAAGTCGGGGTGTGGAAGGGCATGGAAATCAAGGAGAAGAGTAAAAGTCTATGCTTCCTCCTGGTCCCCTGCATCAGCATCTTCCTTCTCTGGCTCTTCTTCCTCGGAATGGGAAAGCGAACTCTCTTTTGCGGGACATGAGCTGTTTGTGGGGGATACGCTTAACCCGCCGGTGTGGGATGTCGGCGGCGATGATGCATGTGGGATGCTGTGCGTGGTTGTGGGTGAGTCACTGTGCGCAGTAAGAATGGAGAACGGAACTTACTTGTCTGGATTGGGGATCGCAGTACCGACAGTGTTCTGTGGCGCGACGCCGGCTTTGGAGAGTGCATAGTCGCCTGAATCGAAATATTTCCGATCCTGGAGCGCATACAATAAGAACAAAGGCAAATGGTGAAACATATAACTTACCCCTTGCATCTTAGTCAAGATGTTCTTGTGTGCTGGAAGTTTGCCGTACAGTCGAAAGAGCTTCTGCTCCTCCTCCGACAGTTTCTGTGTAAGCCATGATGAATACGTGGGTTTGGAAGGGTCACGAGGCATCGATAACTCACACTGATGTCGATCTTGTTGCGCTTGAACGGCAGCATGGCGAAGTGATGAGCAGAACGAGCTAGAGGCAAAAGAAAATGAAGGAGGAGGAGCTAGAAAAGCCTTCGAAAGCGTCGAAGAGGAGCTCAGCTGTAGCGATGAATCGAATGGAAACAAAAGTTTGTCGGATAACTTGTCGTTTCAAAGTCTTTCCCTCAAAGACGTAATTACCTAAGCGGAGTGGCGGAGTCTTAATCGAACATTTCAATTATACCCGGCATCGCATGTCGGATCTCATATGTCACAATCAGTTTCAGCCAACTTGTTTCCCAAGTCAGACTTTGTTTGCAGAAAAACACGTTACTATAGATCCCAGACATCCGTAAAACAGTCATCTGTGCTACCCTGGACCACCTGACCATCCATGCCAAAGTGTGTGTCGAAATCGTATTCTTGATCCGCGGTATTGCTCTTCACCTGTAAGAAGATATCTTGATCAGGACCTCCGTCCGGAACTTGTGAAACAGCAATAGATCCAGTCTCATCTTCAACACCAAGACCACCCGAGTCATCGAATACGTCGGCCAGATCGAACAACAGCTCGTCCTCGCAGCTCCATTCTTCATCAACAAGCACGTCAAATTCCTCCACTCCTCCAGGTTTTTCTTGGCGCCCCAAAAACGTCAACTTCGCGTGATGACTTGACAGGGATGGGTGAAACACAACACATTCGAAATCGGCATCTTCCATGTTCGCATCCTCTTGCTCGTGATCGGGTTCTAGATCCAACGCGAAGCTGTCGTCTTCACTTTCAGTTAGATAGGACAGTGCCAAAGGGGGCGTAGTGCTACGTGGTTGAGATGAAGAGCCTAGGCCTTCGATAAGAGAATCGGCCGAATGCGTGGTCCATGCGCCAGAAAACGTGGACCAGGGTAACGCTTCTTCGGCCCAGTCCTCTAAAAGATCATCCATGTCATTCGGCACGGTCTGCTGGATATCAATAGCCGGAACGGAGTTATCCATGTGAATGTCAGGGAGATTGGGCCAAGTTAAAGGGAAATCGAATTTTGTGTTGTTGATTATGGCGTCATCCTCAATTAGTTGATCGTCATCCCCAGCTGAGGAAGTCAATAGAGTCGAGCGTGCGGTGATGACCTGTCTCTGAGTAACTCGCACGTTTGTGGTCCCTGAACGGGAGAATCCATACCTTGAAGCGGGTCTGGGGGACCCCCGCTCTGAATATCTGCTCCAAGGACTCACACAATACGGCTTCTGGTGTGAGATTCGAAGTATTGATTTGCTCGCCTTCATCCGAGTCTTCTGAGTCGCGGGAGGCGAAACACAAAGAGAGGGCTGCCACGGAGGTTTGGAGTACGGACTGATGGCGAGCGCGTGCGGTCTAGAAAGATATTTGTGGCGTACACGGGCAGAAGTAGAAAACGCACCTTAATTAGTCGCTTACAACGTGCTACAAAATGGGGATTGGGGGACCGCCCCATAATTTCGAGAATGGACTGTGCAACGGAAGGAAAGTACTCGGACTCCATGTCGAGTCTCTGTACATTGTCAGGGCGGTTGAGCAGAAAAGGTACCAACATACTCTGCACCACGTGCCAAAGATAAGGGGATAGCGTCTGAGTCATATGAGAGCGCATATATTCAGCTCTGACTGCGGAAACGCACCCAACAAGTTGATTGAAAAGCTGCTCTGTGACGCGCTTGAGGAGGAGCTCAAAGGGCAGGTACAGACTGTCTGCGAACGGGTTGACATTGCTGAGAAGGTTTGTGGAGCCAGCTTCGCGATCGCCTGCGGTTTTCCAAATATAACATAGGTCCACCCCCACGAGAATAGCATGTGGGCGGGATGTATGAGATAGGGACCGCGATGGCGTCAGAGTGACTGCCGAAGCAAAATGTGCATGAGTAGATGACGTAGAGTCAAAAACCTTACTTTTAGCGCGGCCATCGTCATCGTCAATGTATGCCTCAGAAATGATGTTTAAACCAAGCTGAAGTGCATTCTAGAGTGGTTTGTCACATCAGAAAAACGGAAAAAAGTAGTTTCGATACATGCTTCGTCGAGTTCATTGCGGAGATGGCGCATCAATGCGGAGCGCGCGATTACATCTGTAGGGACAGTCTGACCGTCCAGAGAACCTGAAATAGAAAAAATCAAATCTGAAAGTAGGAGAACGTCCAATTCTTTTGGTAATCTGCCCTTGACTTTATGAAAGACATTAGAAGGAGAGCCATGATAGAGCTTGTGCACAATTTTTACGTTCAATAGACACTGTTCGGACGCAGCACGAATTGACGAAGAGGAGGAAAAGGAGGGCATTGAGAATTATTGAATTATTATTATATGTCTAAGTCTATATGCAAGTCCAAGTCCATTTTGTCAAGTCTATATATGGGTGTTAGCCAAGCCTGTAGCTATGCCCCGTTGGGCGTTTATCGGTATATCAGTAATCTGCCCAGGCCCACAGCCCCATCCGCTGCTGTATAACGCCCTCTCTTACTACGACCTACAGACAGCACAGGTCTTCAACGGTCATGGTGCGCTCTCACTTTCTGCTTTAAATTCACAGTCAAACAAGTCTCCTTTATCATAGTCGGCCGTCGAGCTAGACCAGAAAATACAAGATGTCTTCAAGCGCATCGAGAAGGAACGCAAATTCATCGACGCTTCACGCTTGATCAGACAAGCAACCACAAATCCTGATGTTCTGCGTCAAAATGATGCAAAAGTTCGCGAGGCAGAGCGTTCGCTTTCTTATTTTGAGGACACTCTCCGCGAGCTACAAGCTCGCAAGCTACAGCGCGATGATCCCTCTAGATCGGGTACTGCTATATCTCCTCATCAACAACTATTCAAACCAGGTCGTTCCACTGATAGAGATCGTTCACTTCCCCGAATCCCCCCCTTTGATCAAGATTCTACTCGTGGCGCCTCTTCTAGCGCCACTCTCGTCCCCGGCGATGACACAGACGGCATTCCCAAGGCAAAGCAATACACAAATCTCGATCTTATCAAAGCAGATACCCCCCTTACAACTCCAAAGATATCTCGTATGCTTCATCAGCTTGAGTTTAAAGTACAAGTCGAAATGCAGTACAAGAAGGGCATCGACAAGATGTCCAAGCTTTATCAGGCAGACGGCGACAAGAAATCTCGCGCAGATGCGGAGAGCAAGCGCGTTGAGAGCGAGAAGAAGATTCAACTCCTCCAATCCGCTCTCAAATGCTACAAGAACCTCCACATCCTTGATGACGTTGAGGAAGAAGAGCAGCCAGCAGGTCAGTTCTCCTTTTGTGCCCCCCAATCTACATAATTTCAAATCTCATGGGCTAGGTCCCGATGGCGAACGTAAAGATAATCTACGTTCTAAACCGTTATCCGGCAAGCTCTATGTGACTGTCAAGGGAGCACGCGAACTCGAACATACTCCAATCGTAACCGGTTTTAGAGCCCGTCCTTCCTCCAAACAGGTCCGTGAGACCTTCGTATCCCTTAAAATCGAAGGAACGCAACGCGCTCGCTCCCACCCCTCACGAACCGACCGCTGGAATGAAGACTTTGAAATCACCGTCGACAAAGCTAATGAAGTCGAGATCGCGGTCTATGATAAACAAGTATCCGAAGTTCACCCGGCTCCTATTGGATTGCTCTGGATAAGAATCAGCGACCTTGTCGAAGCACTCAGACGTCAAAAGGTCATGATGGACAGCCAGGGTGGCTGGGTCACTGCTGGTGCCATGGATGGTGACTCTCCTGTCAATCGTTCTCCTCAGCATATGGGTGGATTTGGCGATGTCAATGCTCCTCTCAATATAGACCCTGATGGGGCAGGTAATCCACCAGGTGGCACAACGGCATTCACGAGCCAGAACGAAGGCATTGATGCGTGGTTCGCGGTCGAACCAGTCGGCGCCCTTGGATTACATCTCAACTTCGGTAAGTGACTTCCAAGTCTGTGAGTCGGATTCTTATGCCGAATTTCAGTCAAGGAGAACGTGCGCAAGCGCCCGCTAGATGCGCCCGGTGGACTCGGCCGTCAAGGCGCTGTCAGAAAACGAAAGGGTGAAGTCCACGAGATGAATGGCCATAAATTCGTACAACGGCAATTCTATCAACTCATGCTTTGTGCCTTTTGCAACGACTTCCTACTCAACGCCTTGGGTTACCAGTGCGAAGACTGCCGATACACCTGTCACAAGAAATGTTACGAGAAAGTCGTTACCAAGTGTATATCGAAGTCAAATACTGGGGTACGTACCTTCCCCCCTCTTTCGTCGTCTCTTACACCTCCCTCTCCAGGAGGGCGATGAAGAGAAGATCAACCATCGCATCCCCCATCGCTTCGAGCCCCTCACAAACATCGGCGCAAACTGGTGCTGCCACTGCGGTTACATGCTTCCCCTCGGTCGCAAGAACGCACGAAAGTGCTCGGAATGCGACATCACTTGCCATGCCAACTGTGCACACCTCGTGCCTGATTTCTGTGGCATGTCAATGGAGACAGCTAACCAGCTCCTCCGTGATTGGCGCGATATCAATCGCGCGCGTGGGGGTAAAGCAGCAGCAGTGGTATCACGACCCGTAGCCCTTACTCCTACCCCGCATACCCAAACGCAAGTGCCTCCACCTGCGGAAGTGCCGCTTAGCGATAGTCTGGACAGGATGCAACTGGGAGAGGTGGCTCCTGTACCTGAGATTATTGTGGATGCGTTTGGGCGCCGCACGCCTATGCAGGATGGTGCTGATTCTCGTTATTATCAGCAGCAACCACTGTCTAGTGTTCCTCCTCGTCCTCCCCCAGGTGCTCGGGTTCCGGTCCCCCCTGCTTACCCCAATGAACAATTGTTGCCTCCCCCACCACCGCCTCCGCCACAGGCACCTATGGTGTATGAGCAGGAAGAGTATTCGATACCCGCGCCACAGGTATGTTTCTGTGTTAGTGGTGTCAGCACGTGCGCTCACAAAGGTCTAGAAACAGACCTCGTATCCGCAACCGGGTTTGCCGATGCAACCTCCTCCTGGGCCCCAGTATGCATCACGATCTCAGGACGCTCACTTAGTCTCACCAGTTCAGGCGATGCCTCCGATGCAGCGAGTCGCAACTCGCAAGCGTAAAGTTGGTCTCGACGACTTCAACTTCTTGGCTGTCCTGGGTAAGGGTAACTTCGGTAAGGTTATGCTCGCGGAGGAGAAAAAGACAAATGGGTTGTATGCCATCAAGGTGCTCAAGAAGGAGTTTATCATTGATAACGATGAGGTCGAGAGGTATGTCTCATGATATTGATGCGACCAAGATATTTAATAAGGATTTGTAGTACCCGTTCAGAAAAACGAGTATTCTTGGCTGCTGCTCGTGAACGGCACCCGTTCCTGCTTGGCTTACACTCGTGTTTCCAGACGGAGACGCGCGTATACTTTGTCATGGAGTACGTTAGCGGTGGTGACCTCATGTTGCACATCCAACGCAAACAGTTCTCGCTTCGCCAAGCCAAGTTTTACGCGTCGGAGGTTCTTCTTGCTCTGGAGTATTTCCATGCGAACGGCATCATCTACCGTGATCTAAAGCTTGATAATATTCTGCTTACCCTTGACGGACACGTCAAGGTTGCTGATTACGGTTTGTGCAAGGAGGATATGTGGTATGGCTCGACCACGAGCACGTTCTGCGGTACTCCCGAGTTTATGGCTCCCGAGGTACCCGTCACATCTCCTTGTTTTGAGGACCAAACTGACGTTGATGCAGATTCTGCTGGAGCAACGATACGGCCGCGCCGTAGATTGGTGGGCGTTTGGTGTCTTAACGTATGAGATGTTGCTCGGACAATCGCCTTTCCGTGGTGATGACGAGGATGAAATCTTTGATGCCATCTTGGAGGATGAGCCTTTATATCCCATCACCATGCCAAGAGATGCTGTTTCCATCCTGCAAAAGGTTGAATGTTTCCGTGCTCTGCTTTCTATGCTTGCTGATGGTGATCTTGCAGCTGTTGACCCGCGATCCCACCCGACGTTTGGGATCTGGGAAAGCCGATGCTGAGGAAATCAAGAGACATCCCTTCTTCAAGGATGTGAGCTTTGACGATGTCTTGAACAAACGCATCCCGCCGCCATACTTCCCCACTATAGTAAGCCCGATGTTTCAAGTACAAAGGAATGATGTTGATTTCATTTGCAGAACGGGAGTGCAGATACCAGTAACTTCGATGAAGAGTTTACAAAGGAGCAGCCGACATTAACGCCCGTTCACGGACAGTTGTCTGCAAAGGACCAACAGGAATTCAGCGGATTCTCATGGGTGAGTGCGGTGCCTGTTTCTTGGTTACTCCCCACTAAACAACTTGCGCAGGTCGCTTCTTGGGCAGATGTATGATTCGGACTCTACGCAGCATTGTAATCATAATCTGTCTTTGTCTTGTCGCAATAATGCATACTTTTTGTTCTTCTCACCTGTACTTGGATAGTCTTCGCAAAGTTCATGAAAGTGATCATGTAGCGTACCTGTCGAACAATTTCACTTTCTCTCTTGAGCGGCTCGGCGGCGTTGGCGCTAGCGTTTGGAGTTTGTAGACACGACGTGGGCGCCTGTGCCGGGGACGGTCGTTCTATCTTCGAGCACTTCATCTCGTTGTCCACGCATCAACTCGTGGAAGCTTTGCCACAGGGAAGCGATGGTTTCGTATTCACGAGTCATGCCTATTACTTCTTCGAGCTTTCGATTGAGTACGTTGCTGGATGAGAGAAGGTCTTCAAAACCCTGAGGATGGCGCGTCGGCTTTAAGATGTGTTGGGTTAGGTAGTACTTACTGCTGTGATGTCTAAGGATAGTCTGTCGCGCTCGCGTTCAAAGAAGGAGGGTTCTGATTGCGACATCGAGTAGTACTTGGTTAGTGGAGGATTTGGCTGATTATCGGAGACCGGAATATTATCGCGTCGCGTCGCGTTCTGAATATTATGTCATCACACTTCAACGTTTCAACTTGAACTCGGCCCTAAATTTGGCCTAACGTTCGACCAGCAGGAATCCATTTTTGACTGAGAAGCTGGTAGGTGAGCTTCAGCGATCAATCGATCATCCATATTAATAGTCCTAGTGTGCGACGTTGATGCGAGATAGAAGGTGTGCGAGCTTAATCAAGGATGGTACCCTCGAAGTTCCGAACGCTTATTGAAATTCGCAGATTAGCAAACTCTGCGCTGGCTGGGTACCTATCAACATGCGGCATCGCTCCCGGTGTTCTCCTGAGGCAGACTGCAAAATCGATGGCAGTCGATGGTTTAGAATGGCCGTGATGTGCCAGGATATTGGGTAAACAGTCTACCCTCCTACTACTGCCGTTCACCCAGAAACCGGGAACTTCGGTTCTGGGTGCACCATCCCAATCAGCTATGTGGAGGTCAGTTAATCAGCTGCCAGCTTTTCCCCAGCACGTGTTGAACCCTTATCAATTTTCCGTGACCTTAAAAGCAAGTCTGAGCAGAACGCTTTGGCATTAATGATTCCCGCACCGTGCTCTTTCGTCCTTTCATATTAGACCTTCCTGCTCACCTCCCCTACCTATTGTTCCACAGCCTACGTTCGCGACTCGTGGCTATCACGCAATATCACATTCCGATCTAGGACAGGCGAAAGGTTGTTATATACCGCCATATACACCTCGTCAGATCGAACACGAGATGTTCGCATCACACATCTTGGCCAGTGGAACAATTGCTCTTCTCCCAAGCTGTATGGTCTGCGAACCGTGTGGTTCCAACTTATCGTGCACCTTCATATTTTTCCACTGTTCTCTTAGAACACTCCAGACGACAAAGGTTGGTGGTGCGATATTGTTCCATTAACTTTCCTCTATCTTCGGATCCTTCGGCGCTCGAGGTCTCCATGACCAACCTGTGGCTGCTATATCAGCGCGCCCCCGCGCATCGTCTATACGAATCTGCAAACCAATAGCATTGATTTTCAACCACTGCTGTTGGTTCGCTGATCCGGTGCGGGTACTCGGAAGTTTTGATCACTGTTTTTCTAACAGGTAAAGAATCGCGCTGACACCACGATGCGCGCTTTCTAGACAAGATGATAATATCTCTCTTCCATTTGGCTTTGACTACGCATTTATTTTCTATTTATAGGGTGTGCCCCACCAAAGCTAGTGCTTATATTATACAAGAGATTGCTGCTCGGAGAATGACTTGATCTCCGGGAACTCGAGTCAGACGGTCTGCAAGGGTAAACCCTTGAAGGTGAGACAATGTTTATGATATGTCAAGAAGAGGAACTCCTGAGGCGGGTAACATGCCTTGTTTTCATCGTATTTGGAGAGCATGATTTTACTCTGCACGATGCTGGCAACATTATCATTATAGAAGATAACGAGTTTGAGCCCTGGCATCGACATTTTTTCCACAAATGATTCGCGTAGAGTAGCAGGGGGTGAGGATTTACCAGTACTTGACGTAAACTTTTTAAAGGCAAAGCTCTTAGCTAGTATAGAAAGCTGTGCGCTGCCCCAAATGCGGATCACGGTATCGGATGTTTTGGCAATCTATTATGTAACGAGGCACGAGCGAAAGAATAGAGTAAGGTCTTCGAGCGAACAGCAGATGCGGCACCAATCCTCTTGACTTCGTGCCGCGACCATCGTTCGTCACTGCGTAGCTATCTGTGCTCGTTTTTATTTTCCACAAACACACAAGACAATAGAATAATACTAGAACCATACACCCTCATTTCATATACCAAATCTTACAATGCCCTTAGCCGCAGACCCATCACTCGAAGTCATCCCAGACTTCGCAGGTAACCTATATGCCGGAATTCGCACAGACCTCGCAGACGCCACGAACCAAACCGAAGAGCAAGTTATAGACCGTCTAACGCAGACATGGAACACAGACCACGACGCAAGAGTAACTGAATGTTACAGTCAAGTACGCCCCTATTCATTTTCTTTCTCTTACATCATTGTATTACATCACGATCGCATCTTGCCGTCGCTAGATGATCTATTCTTGGTATCTCTGACTCGTCTTATCTCTGACTCGTCTTATCTCTGACTCGTCTCTATGATCTCATAGTACCAGCCCTAAAGTCGTTACCGCTTACTATATAAACTCGTCCTGTACTATGTAGTTCTTTACTTTAATCTTACTAGGTTTTACCTGGAACTTCCTTCGCTTAAGACCTCCAATCTTAAGTCGTATTGAACGTGATTCAAGTCGAGGACACTCTCCTAGACTTGTCTTAGAAACCACTGGACTTCGGTATACGCCGAAGCCTTGAACCGACCTTGGCTGATTACTCTTATCGAGTAGCCATACGTCAGAACCATCCTAGTTCGTAACACTGAATGGAACCAGGACCAAGAGGCGGAAGCCCAAGCCGCAGCAGAAGCCAAGAGGGCACGAGTCGCCCAAGATGAAGCAGGGCGAGTCCAACGGGAAGCAGAAACGGAAAAGGAACGCCTGGAGACAGAGAAGAAGAAACCAAAAATGAATGGGTTCGAGGAAGCCTCCACTGTAGGAGACTTTTTAGCTCCTCGTCCTGCGCAATATGCGATTCAAAAACTCACCAACTTTGAATACGTAGAACTCTGGTACTTCTCACCAGACGGATGCAGAGATGCCCTCAAAACATCACGTTCTACAGCGGAGAACGATTTGAGCATCACAAGGACAGACGACCAACTCACGTTGCGCCCAACCTCAGCTTTCAAGGCATCAAAATCAGCACTGGCTGACCACGAACTTCCATTCTCAATCTTCCTCCGAGCAAAGAACTTATTCCTCGTCCAAATCAGCAAGGCCAAGTGGCCCCAGTCACACATTGACGCCCTGTCTTTTTTCTTCTGGCACCTGGAAAACCACTCCATACGGAACAACAGCGACATCGGAGACACGGTCGTCCTGACCTACGCATCCCGAGTACGCCATGACTGGCATGACCGTCTCAAACGCGATGAAGGTTTCAACATAGGCAACATCAATGAGAACCTTCTCCGGGTAATCAACGAGGAGCTGTGGGACAAGATTTGCTCCTGTACATTAAACGCCGTACGTACCAAAACCCAAACCAACCATAGAGAAACCACTAACCTTTCATCTTTTGTTTTCTCTCACTCATCCAATCCATGCATTGATATCCGCATATCACCCATCCAACATAAATCCCCACGATGTGTTCCCGCGGATGCCCGTAACCTTGACACGGATGCCCACGACGACCTTCCTGTGGACGCCTGCGATGGCATTCCCGCGGATGCCCGTACTTATTCTAACATGGATGCCCGCACCCATAACGCGGACGCTCACAACTAAACTCGAACACCCACAACCATAATCACCCCACAGCCCACAAGCAGAGAAGCACCCCCAAACCCATATCGAAGGGCCAGCTACCGTGACCCTCGGGGAGGTCCCCATGATCAACGGAACCGCAACTCGCGGTCACGTTCTCCCCAAAGGAACCATGACAGCCAAAGGAACAAGGCTCCAGGATCACCAGACAACACCTGCGATCGCCAACAACGCCACTGGGGGTTTTTCCCGTGGCGCAGGTTCACGAGGCCGGTCTGCCTGCACCCCTCTGTCTCGGCCGTTTTGCCCATGACATCCAACGCTGCGAGGCGCGTGCCATGTGGGACGGCACCAACACCCATTGTCGACGGGCGGACGACGGGCGCATCACCAACCCTCAAGGCCTTCCCATCTGCTACAAATGGCAACACCCAGGGGGTTGTCAGCTCCCAAACCACGAATCATACCACGAATGTTCTGGATGTGGGAGCAAGGAACATGGAGCTCAAATGTGCCCTCGCAGCGAGAAGGCTCAGAGCACAAACTCCATATGACCCAGAAGGATGGTACCACTTACTTGCAGAAGCAGATCTCCTTCGTAGATACCCGTCCATCCCAGAGGGACTTGTCTCTGGTTTCTCTGGGGGCATACCCCAAATCACGCGTACCTATACACCATCAGTAAACCCCAATTTTCTCCACAGACATAACATTTCCGACAGTTTCCCACAGTAACCCACAGCGCCCCACAGCGGCACAGAGCTCACAGTAGATTTCTCCCAGCATCGACATTTTCTGATACTAGTTCCTCACAGCAACCCACAGAGGGACAGAGCTCACAGGGTGTACAGCTGCTTACAGTGTTTGTCAGTAAAATACTAGTACTAGTCACCATTTCCATTTCTCAAGCGCTACTACTAGTATGTAGTTTGAGCTAGAGCTATACTTAGAAAATTAAAACAATTTGAAGCACATCCGCCAAGGTCAAGACATAAACAAATTTCATGGCCGAATCATATTTAGTGAGAGTACTACTGCCAAATACAATGTTTCTATTTGATACAAATCAAAAGAAGGTACTTGTCATCAGTCCAACTGGATGGCGACCTGACGGACAGGATGCGAATGAGTCTATGATACGAAGGTGTTAGTTGGTAGTACTATGTAAATGATAGGCATACTTACCATGAAAATTGTGTGGCGCTGGGTGGTGAGAAAGACCATGTTTCCTGAATGTGATGCGCATATGACCCAATCCTACATCCGCCTTGTCGAGCTTGCACTTAGAGATGGCGGACTTGTGTTTTGAAAGAGACGTCATGACTTCATGTTCTCGGACAATGCAATCGGCAAGTGTTTTCTCTGCATCGAATACATCACGTCGGGCCCTTGCAAGGTCCATGATGAGGTTGGCTTCAAGATCATCAACATCGTTGATGGTCTGTGGGCATGTGAACGAGCATTGCCTAGTAAGATATCACAGTCACTTACCATTGAGCCAATAGCGTCGACCACATCGTACAAATCTGCGATACCACTGCCAGAGTCACCCAGGACATAGTTGGCTTGCCACTTATTGCATCGCGGTGTCCTGCATGATTTGGGAATCATGCATGGACATGACTACTAGGTATCCCCCTAAAAGACAAAGTCTGTTAGCTTAGTCCTCAGACTAGTCAACCCATACCTTGGTATCAAACCTTGGTCCAATAGTTTCGGTTTTCCCTCAGTGATTCATGAATCCACCATGTTTTGAAGAAAAGTCATATGTGAGATGGGAATCACATAATGACCTAGTTGATATGAGAAGCAAAATGAAGGTTAATGTATTGCCTTTCATTTGGCTTATTCACTTTGGCTAGAGAAACCCATAGAGAAAAGTTCAAAGCCTAACAAAAACCTATCTAAAAAGCCCGCGTATTGTGTACTATTATTTGTTCCATTATTTCTGAGTTGTTTTCTCTAGTGTTTCTTTACTTTACTTTTCTATTAGGATGCTCTGACTAATCAGATGCTTCATAAAATTGTACCTACAGGGTATGATGTCATAATGATGTCATAGGACTTCACCTACACTCCTGCAGGTATTTTGGTTGAAAGATATGATATCATAGTGATGTCATAATGATGTCATGTTCCATGGAATTTGCTAGAACATTCCAATGACTCATAATGACTCATAGTGACTCATAGTGACTCAGAATGATGTCATTATCCCACCATGAATATTCTGGAATGTTCTTTTGCACCTGCTAGAACATTCTGCTCCAGTTTTTGGAATATTCTTCCCACATTCTGAAGTCATTACATCACCTTTTTACTTACATAATATTCCCACACAAAATGTATATAAGGAGAGCCCATTCTCCCCCAAAAAAATAGATCTCCCACTTGTTGCATTCAAGAATCTCCCTCTTGAGCAAATTGAACTCTCACCTAAGAAGCTTCAGTCTGAACAAATTGCTGCTTACAAAGCCCATTTCCTTTGTAAGAACTGTCCAGGCAAGTGCAGGGAAAGTGTTTCCCTTGAGATTACATAAGTTTCTCGCGATAGAAACCCAGTTTTGTGAGACCAGTGTTCTCACCACGTAGTGTTTACTGACCAACACGAGCTTTGGTCACCGTTGTTATTTTGTGAGACCAGCATTCTCACCAGGTATTTGTATACTGACCAACACGAGCTTTGGTCATTGTTGTTATTTGTCATTGTTTTATATTTGTCATTTGTTGTTATTTGTGAGACCAGCGTTCTCACCAGGTATTTGTATATTGACCAACACGAGCTTTGGTCCACGTAGTCACATTTGAGACCAGCTTCTCAACAGTTAACCGTATATTCAGGAAACCAGTTCAAGTGTCTAGACGGTATATCCTAGACAATCCCATAGTTTCAATCAGAGATAATAAAGCTCCGGCTAAGTTAATCTGACTGATTGGTTTAGCGAGCCTCCCAAGAACTCACACGTTATCTACCACGAAAGAAGAAAAGTCGTAGACCGTGTTAATCGAGGACTGGCAAGAAGTCTTATCCAGTGTAATTGTGGTGTCATTACATTCTTACACGTATTTATATAAGACCCTCGGTTATTAAGACATCACTGGAGCCCAACCGCGAGGGAGGCTTCTTCTTGATTTCTTATTGAAACTACTCGTATTCAGAGTACTATCCAAACGTAACCATTCAGAATCCAACACACCAGGTAACCAAATTGTCCACGACAATTTCCCCAGCATCTATCTTAACCACACAGTTAACTATGTCACCATCAACACTGCCTATGATGACACACTCTATTCTTACTATGCCTATCCCCGGGAGTAAGGCAGCTCCCAAGAAGTTTAAAGGAGACTTTACAGAAGTCAAAAAGTTTGTCAAGCATTATGAAAAGTTATGTGACTATAACCAAGTCACCACTGACAAGGACAGATGTGAAACTATTACCCAGTATACTTCACGTCATGTCACCGAGTTCATTGAAGGACTGGACTCATATGAGAAAGCCGATTGGAATGCTCTCAAGGCAGACATTCTAAAGTATTATGACGCTGATTTGGACACAAAGCGTTATAAAGAAAGGATTTACTCTCCTATGTTAAGGCTATGAGGGGACAACGTATTCCCACTCTAGCAGCATGGAAGAAGTATGTACGAGGATTTATTAGGATTGCAGGTTGGCTTCAAACTGCAAAGAAGATTTCAGCAGATGAGTATGCAGGTTATTTTTGGAAAGGAATTTATAAGAATTTGCGTGCTAAGATTGAAAGTAGACTTATGGCTAAGGAACCTGACAAGGATTTATCCAAGGCATTTGGCGTGGATAAAGTTATCTCAGCTGCAGAGAAGCTACTTCACAGGGACCGTTTCGATTCAGATCTGCTTATCTCCGAGGAAGAGACTGATCTCTCATCTTCGGACTCTGAGGACTCTGACTCTACTGAATCATCCTTGACTTCAAGCGAGGAGTCATCTGATTCAGATGATGAGGCAGAGATTAAACCTCGCAAATCTACTAAGAAAGGTTCGAAGAAGCGACATGTTGCTAAAGAAACTCCTAGACATAAGGACAGACATTCTGGCACAACAACTCCTATGGAAACCTCCAAGAAAGCCAAGGCTAACAAGGAAGCTATAAGTATGGAACCACGTGATGAGATTGAGGATCTGATCAAGCAGCTCAATATCATGTCACTTGAGGATCCTCAGTATGCTCTTTTGTATTATCGTGTTACTAAGTTAGACCCAAGAGTCATGCAGATTATTTCTCCACCCCCTCCCAGAGCTGGTGCAGGAATGTCTCCTGACTTACAAGGTTCTAAATTGAATGCTACTCCCAGTAATGGTGGTGGAAGAGGATATGGTCAAAGGAGACCTCAACCCCAACCTGGTTCCAGATTTTACCAACCACAAGGAACACCATTTCAGAATAGGATTTGTTTTGGATGTGGAGAGATAGGACATACTCTCCCCATTTGCCCTCACCTTGCCAAGCTAGAAGCTGAAGGAAGGATCAAGAGGAATGAAAAGAGACAAATTCAACACCCTAATGGGAATGCAGTCAGACGTATGCCGGAGGAAACAGTCATTGAAGCACTTAATAGGGAAGCAGCTCCCATGTCACACTTTGTTGCTATTAGACCCGATGAGGTCAATCGGGAGTCTTTGACTAGCAATGTGATAAGGAGCAGGAGGACTAGAGTTGATGATATCTCTAGTGACGAGGAAGAAGATGAAGAAAGTGATAGTAACAATGATGCATTTATGATCCCTGCATATGGCGATGAAAGTGACGAAGAAGACTATTATGTATATCCAGCAGAAAGAAACCATAAAGACCGCTGCCAAAGCTAGACGAGAACGCTTTGACGGAGTCTTTCCCCCTACCAAGAAAAATGTACGTGATCAGGAGACTGGATCAAAGGGAAAGGAAAATGTGATAGGGAATAAACCTATGACTGCCCCGCGATCAAAGCCAGCTCCTGCATCAAAGAAGGAACACATTATCAAAGAAAGACCCGGACCACTAACAAGGAGTGAAAGGGCTAATATTGATAAGCAGAAAGCTCATATTAATCCAGATTATGATGAAAATAATGATGACATAATCATGGAAGATGTGCCACTTCCTAAGCCAAGTTTGGCTAAGGAAGACAAAAAGAAAGCAGACCCTGGTGAAAAGGAAAACACGAGTCCTAATCAAAAGATTACACATCGTCGTATCTCCGATTTAGCAGTGCGTGCTAAACCTGAAAAAGTTTTGGAGTCAGTCCTTAGGACTCCAATCTCTTTAGAAGTTGGTGAAATTCTTGGATCATCCCGTGAGTTGTCAGGAATTTTAGCCAATGCTATAAAGCCAAAGCCAGTTGTTATAGAAAAAGCCCAAGCTCACTCGATTTGGAGCAAGACCCGTGGCTTATTGATCAGGATGACAATGTATTGTGATGGAGAACCCATCAATGCTATAATTGATACTGGAAGTCAGCTCAATATAGTGAGCCGACAAGTTGGAAAGCTCAGATTAACCGCCCCATTGACGTAGGAAGAAGCATCTCTATGAACGATGCTAATGGAGGCGAAGGAAAATTACAAGGCTTAGTTGAGAATGTTCCACTTACTTGTGGAGCAGTCCAAACCAAAGCAAATCTTTATGTAGGTGACCATGTACCCTTCAATTTGCTATTAGGAAGACCGTGGCAACGCGGGAACTATGTTAGCATTGATGAAAGACAAGATGGAACATGGCTCGTATTTAAAGACCCGCATAATCTTCACATTACACATGAATTGCTATGTACCCCTGATGGTATTAATCCCGAGTGGGTATTTGAACCATCAACTTGGTATGGTTCAAGACTCCCTAGCAGTTACCTAATTTTTGGAGATGAAATGGCCATTGATAATGAGCCAGAATTAAATGATACAGACTTATCTTTACTTAGCATGGCTGAATTAATGGGAAATTCCCTAAATAATGAGAATTTTGCATTTTTGGCCGATGTTTTGGGATTACATAATCAAAGTTCTACCAACAACCAGAAAGTTCGAGAAAAATATGACATCACCCATGATGTCAATGTACTAGGCCCTCAATTTGATTTTATACCTACTCCCTATGGTATAAATAACCCCAGAAACCGGGGCACAAAAGATAACCCCCCACCTTTGCTCTCAGAATTGTTGCTGCCGCCTGTTGCGCCCAATTTGGAAATCCACGTGACCGGCATGCAAAACGTTGCCGAATCCCTAACTGCCGTTTTGGGCTCCGCCGGAAGTTACCGGCTGAGTCCAAAATCTCAAAACAACGATTTGTTGACTCTGCAACTTCGTCCTAATACAGCCTCTCCCACCTCTAAGTTCTTCTTGCCGTCTCCTTGTTTCTCTCCCGTTCCGCCGGCGAATGCCGAGGCTGGATGGGAGGGATGTGCACTTACTGGCGACTCCCTCAAGCCCACATATCCGGATGACGCCGGAGTTGGAGGAAGTGGCGCCACTGTTGGAGATGGAGTGAGTATGTTGGGAGAAGGTGTGTTGTATGACCCCTCCCTCTTTGAACAGCAACTAACGCGTGTTTTGCGCGATGCCTTAGAGCACAACACCTCCCTCCATCATATCC